TGGGAATCCACTGGAATCCATTTTGGAGGTGGGAATCCACTGGATTCCTTCAGTTCGGTTCCCTGGATTCCAGCCTGCTCTCTTGTAGCTGTGAGGCCAACCTGGTGCCAAGGGTTCACATGGGCACCCACCAGGAAATGAGACTGCACAAAGGTTGTCTAAGTGCTTCCATGCATATAACTTGCAGCTTTTGGGCTGCAGAACAGGGCTGTCAGTTGCACCACCAGAGCTCCACAAGTGTTTGCAGACTTCCTCTCTGCTCAGCTCACTCGCTGTGTCAGGGCTGAGCCCAAGAACGGTGACAAACAGGAAACAGCCAGATTCTGGAGAGGACTGTCAGAACCCTAGCCACTACCAGTGCCAGCTCTTCCCGATGTGCCCAAGTCCTTGAGGGTGGCTGGTGCTGTTTTGCTGCCCTCTCCACTGTGATCCAGAGCCGGTTTTGGCTCTCCACAGCTTTTGTATACAGTGGTACCTCAGCTCACGAATGCCTCAGTTCACAACCAAATCGAGTCGCGAACAGAAATTTGGCAAAAAATTTTCCTCAGGTCATGAAATCCGCATCAGGTGATGATTGTGATCGCACCCGTCTTCCCTGCATGAGCACGATCACAATCGCACCCCTCTCCCCCCCACCCCGATCATGCCCGCGATCGTGCCCGTCTTCCCTGTGATTAAAAAAATATTTACAGAATGGATTAACTTTATTTACAGTGAACCTTATGGGAAAATTTGACTTGGCTCACGACCAATTTGGGTTTCGATCAGAGTGCTGGAACAGATTAAGTTCATGAGCCAAGGTACCACTGTAGTTTAAACTTTTTTTTTTAAAGGAGAACTTTTCCACAAAAAGCAGTTGGTGGAATGTATGCCTCATTCTTAGCAAGATGCTCTGATAGCCCTTTGGGGAGCTCAGTCATTTATTTATTTATTTATAACATTTTTACGCCACACCCATCGCAGAAGTCTCGGGGCGACTTACAAAGTCATGCACAATTTGCATTTTTCCTGAGACTCCAGCTGTTTGGGGAAATGCAAAAGTGTTTCTCGTCCCCTTTTACCGGGGAAAGGAGTCCTGTCAGCATTGACAGCCAGCAGCCAAAATGCTGGGTCCCCTCTACGAGGGGTTTTCACAGTGCAGTGGGAGTTTTGGCCTGGGACATATTAGAGAATGTGCCCCTGTCCAAAAATCCCCATTGCCCTCTCAAAACCCCCTTTTAAAGGGAGAGAACTTTGTTTGAAAAAAGGGAACCGGAGAGTTCAGGAGAAGAAAGGGGCAGGGGAACCAGCATGATTGCTGCAGGGAGTGATGCGGCTGGGTAATTTTAAAGCCTCCTCTTGGCTTAAGGGTCTTACGGGGAGCCCTGGAGATGCTCATGCATATTGACATTTTGTTTCCCTTTGGCACCCGTCCATGCTTTCACCTGCATCTGTGCTACTGATAAATTACTGCCACAAAATCACTATTTGCCAAAAAAATCCCAACCAACCAAGCAAAAGAAATAACTCGTGCAAACAGTTTGTATTTTAAATATGTGCATGCCCAAACAGCCACCTGCTGACTACATAGGACGACTGTTGAATTGGCCAGGCCTCCCTAGGCCTGTGGCAGCTCATGAGCTCCCAGCAGGCCTTTTAGCTGCAGGCTCCGGTACTTGCTTTCTGGGAGGCCTTTTCTTGGCAGGCGGCACTGCCAGGCACTCGACTGTAGCCCCCTAGTTGCACTACTAGCCGAGGAGAAAAGGAGTTGAGTTGTAGAGACTCACTGAAGTCAGCAAAAGGGGCTTGTGCAGAGATTCAGATATTACTGCTGCCGAAACTTTCCTGCCTCGAGTTCAGTTCTCCGTCCCCAAAGTGGTAATAAGCACAGTAGTTATCACTTTGAACATGAGGGAGCTGCTGGGTCAGCCTGGCTTTGGCTTTGTGTTTCCCTTTAAGGGACGTGAAACTATGCCCCGTGACTCCCAGAGAACAACAGCCTCCTTCTCCTGTGACCCAGGACTCCTTCTGCCCTTCCTGCAGCTTCAGCTTCTCTTGCCAGCCCCATTAGGCACACATGTGCTAGCGCGAGTGCCATCCAAGATGCTTTTGGGCACCCCATCCTGCTCAGATCTCGGCAAGCCCTTTTGTACTAACTGTGGGTCTTCTCTCTCTCTCTCTCTCCCCCTCCCTCCCTCCCTCCCTTGCTCAGAACATGGGGATCTCCCGCTCCCCACCTCGCAACTGGAAAGGAATCGGGATCTCCATGCTGGTGGTGGGCCTGTTGGCCTCTGTGATCATTGTGGCTATCCTGATGCTCACTCCCGGTGAGAGCTCACGACGCCAGTGGGCAGCGTGATACATCGGCGGCTGCTCCCCTGGAGCCAATTGGGCATGTTTCTTGCCCTCTGGTGGCTAAAGGGAATACTCAGGGCTGGTGGTTTCTTTTTAAGCAAGCAGCACTTAAAAAACGAGTAAATCTACTGCCAGCCCCTCTGATGATGTCACCTGCATAAATTGTGCATTGTGAGTGCATATATGCATGATGAATCATTTGTATACCAGGTTGTTTTTCCAAGAAGGAAATGTTTGCACAGAAGTCCAAGTGTTTCTTGAGAATAGCCTTTGGCACCCACAAGTTAAGAAGAATACAGAGAGATACAGACTTGCATGGAAACAGGAGCTTCTTCTTCTTCTGTTTTCTGTAGCACATTCATTCTTCGAATAATTCATGTTCGTCTGTATCTCTAGTGAATGTTGGTTTCCTTGTTAGGTTGGCTGCTCCCTAATGCTTCTCAGTGCTTGAGCTTTTCCAAATTTGTTAGTTGTTCTTTTTGGACTGATTGTTTAAAGTACAATTTGTCTGATAATGAAAACATTGTTCAGACAATTGCTCTTTGAGCAGATGTTCCATGCCATATTCACCCATGAGTAAGCCCCACTGAAATGAATTTTGCTTACTTCTGAGTAGGCATGCATATGCTTTTGTTACAAAGGGATTCAAATCCCCTCAAATGCTTTTACAGTTAAAGATTGCATATACCTTTGTTTTTTCTTGACAGCTCACCATCAGACAGTTCTCAAGAAAAACTAAAGGGGGGATATATTTAGAACTTCTTCTGGGCTATGTTTGCAATTTTATTTGCAAAAAGTAAAAAACAACGTTTGGTAGTCATGAGTAGCTCCTCCAACATGTTGCTTGGGCAATTTTATAGGGGTCAAAATGGGATTTCCAGTCTCCAAGGAAAAAAAGCTACAGCAAGCACAAAATGGCTCGTGGCAGCAGCAGGGAGTAGGGAAACGAGTCCTGTGGTGTCCCCTGGGAAGCCCATGGAAGGACCAAGCAGGGAAGGACGGCACCAGCAATCCCCAGTGAGCCTAATAATCTTCTGGGGCTCACTGTGGGTTGTTAGTACAATTGATCGTGGCTTATTGCCAGCATGGGCTACCATGATGTGCAAATGTGCCTTCTGTAGGAATGGGTATTGAGGACCCACTCTGAACTCACTTATTAAGGTAAGGGGTCGGGGTCAGGTGTGGGGAGTTGAAGGCCTGAATAGGACTTCTGTGATTAAAATCCCTGTGGAGATGGTCTGCAAAGGGTTATAGACTTTTCCAAATATTTTATATTGTTAATTCGTTTTATATTTTTAGTGTTTTATATTTTAATTGATGTTTTGTGAGCCGCCCCGAGGCTTCGGCGAATGGGGCGGCATAGAAATTTTCTAAATAAATAAATAAATAAATAGGTATGAGGGTAGCCATTTGCACATCACTCAAAAGGAGGAAATGCATCACCCAAAAGAGGATGCAGACTTACATAGCATTTGCATATCCTGCTTGATATGTATAGGTATGAATTTAGAAGGAATTACTATGATATAAAACAGAAATGCAGTGCACCCCATCCTATTCATGAAGACCGTGAGCAGGTGCTTGCTTAGTCTGCTGTTGCACTGCTAAAAACCCCTTCCTGCTGTCCTGTCCCTTCGTCAAGTTACCTTCAATGCAGATTTAAACCAGACAGCTTTTCAGACACAAGGTGGGCAGAAAGTAGACCTCCAGAAGTAGCCCTCCCAGTGTTCCTGATCATGGTCTATGCTGGCAGAGGCATGAGGAAGCTGGAATCCGAAGCAGCGAGGGGTCTCCCTGCTGCCAACCTGCAACAGAGGATGCCTTCAAATACAGAGCTGTAAAGTAGGCCACACGGCCCCCCTAACAGGCGTGCAAGGGGTGGGGGGCAAACTACTAGCCAGCTGTTAACCGTGGTCCTTCTGCATCTTTAAGACACCCCATTGGGTTTCCGCACCCCACTGACTCTTGCTGACCTGGAGAGCGATGACTTCCAGTTCCACCAACCCCACGTCCACTGGGTAACAGGTGAGTCACTTGGTTTCCCTTTGGTGCGTGCCGCCGTGGGGAAGCATCAATCAGTCATTATCAGAATGGACTGGGTTAAAAGGCAGCCAGATATCATTTATTTCAGTGCAGTGAAATACATTTTCAAATGTGATACCTGCAGCCTTTTAGAAACTGACGGGGTTAGTTAAATGGTTATATTCTGCCGTCATGGATGCCTGTACTCCTTTTCTGATTGATTGATGTACCCCAATAACCTTACCCCAAAATCTTACAGTATACAACTTCAAGCTAAGCAAATGCTATGTTAAATATGAAATTTAGCTATATTCCTAACTTTCTTTTTTAGCTTCAGATGAGTGTGGGGCCAGTCTGGGTTAGAACCTTCATGCACCCCCTAAATTCACCCCCACCCCTAGATGGGGCCTCAGAAGGGAGGAAAAAACTTCATTAGTGCTAATGGAGGTTCCCCTTCTTTTTAGCCTGGTTGTGGGAGAGGCAAATTTAGAAGAGAGGGAGAAGAGGCTAAGTAGGAAGATGTAATTCTTCCCTACCTGTGCATACTGATTTTGATCTGGACTGGCGCAGGGAGCCTGTGTTTGCTTCAAAGCAAACATGAAAGCATTGCTTGATATCATGTCTACTTTTGTCCTTCAAAAACACTGTTAAAGAGCCTCATTTTTGTCCTCCAGAAGTTTTTTTTTTTTTTTTGCATGCTTCAGCATGCTTTTGTAACTCAGTGCTTGCCTGGATCTTGACTCCATACATCCTGAAATGTCTTTAGGGGGAAATGAAATTGTATTGGGTGAAGACATCCTGAATGATAAACTGCATGCGAGTTGAAATGTTTTGCAAGACCAATTCTGTACATACATATCCAGTGAAAAAGTCACCTATGTAAATTTCAGTTTATTTAAAATTCCTCAGCCTTTCCCTATCTCTAGTCTAGATAGGCTGGATTATAATGCCCATTATCCACAGCCAGTCACTTTGCTGTTTGGGGATGATGGGTTTGTAGTCCAACACACCTGGAGGGTGCCAAGCTGGGGAAGACTGGTCCTCAGACGTCCCTTATTCCAGACCTACTAGGATGTGACGTTAAGCACCTTTGTGACCTCAGGGAAACGTGAGCCCCTCAGAACTTCAGGTTGTAGGAAAGGACCTCGGAGCTCTTTTTCTTTCTGCTACAGTCCTGCCAAAAATCTCCTCCCTGAAGCTGCCATTTTCATTTAATATTCAGTGGCTGTTTCCCTCCCTAGAAATGCAGAGAGCTTCCAAGAGGGTTCCCCCCACCCACCACCCTCTCTGCTCTAAGAACATTGTTGACACTTTGAGGATGCCCAGGCAGGGATACTGTTCAGGTAATGAAAGAAACTGTGCACTGATTGTGCTCGTGTAACTAATGTTGTGTGTCGTTTGCCTCAGCACCACAGCATCCCTTCTTTTTAAACGCTTGATCTGGCTGAGTCCTGGATGCAACATTCAGTTATGAGAAGTGATTGGAACCTGGCAGTTAAAGAAAAGATGGATGGATAGAATCTGTCTTTCTGTCTGTCTGTCTGTTAAAAGTTTTTCTACCCCATCCCCCTCTAGCATCTTGGAACGGCTTACAATAAAGAATTAGGGGAGGTTTCTCTGTAGCATTGAAAAGGGAGGTTTGTGGAACAAAAGCTGGTCTGGAAAGCAAAATTCCTGGCTTCTTTTCCTTCTTAGAGAACAGAGGCAGTTTTCTTTCCTTTTTGGAACACAGGTGGTGGTGGTGGTACTAGTAAAAACCCACATTGGAGCACACTCTGTGCAACAGAAGCCAGAAATTACCCCTGGACAGAGGCTTGTGTGTGTGCATGACTTGCCTTCCTTTATGTGTGTGTAGATGATGAACTGGTGGTGCTAAGCAACTCCGGGACTGTGATGAAATGGCACCTTCACCAAAAGAACAGCACCCTGCTGGTGGACGGCAGGGATCTGGTAAGAGCAGCTGCTTCTGGTCCCTTGCTAAAATACAGGTTCTCAAGGAGAGCTGAGACCTTCCTGAAGCAAATATTAGGGCTGTTCCCCTCACATATGTATGTTCCGCTCCCTGAGCTGGGCCTCAGTACATCTTTCGTCCTGGACTGGCTGAGAAGGGCATGAGTGGCGTGCCCCTGGCTTGTTCTCCCAGACCAAAACAGCAGGAAGGAGGAGTTCGCCCAGCTGCAGTGCTTGCTGGGGCCAGGGCTGACCGGGGTGCGACACTCAGCGCCTTTTCATCAGCAGGGACTCAGACGTCTTCTGCCATCCTTTGCAGAATTCTGTCCTTCTGCGCTTGGCTTCAGTAGCTGAGGGTGGGAATGGCAGAATGGATTTTCTCAGCCACAGCATGTAGTTGTGAGCAATCCCTCTTGTAATGCAAAGGTCTTGAATGGGTAATTTTGATCCAGTAGCATTACCAGTAGAGATGGAAATGGCTAGAATTGGTTAGTTGATAGGAATGAAAGCAGTTGCCTGAGCCTTTGACCTGTTCTTGGGGGATGGTCATGGGGACTGCAGTTAGTAATCTAATGCTTCACCACGGTCATCAAATGGAAGCCAAGAGCAAGTCTGGCTCCAGAGCTGACTTCCCCAAGCAAAGAGCACACGCCTGATGAGCTTGCCACCCCTGCAGCATTGCTCTGGTTTGTAGAAGGTGATGCCATCTTGCCATCCCCACAATGGCACAATTTAGAACTACCCAGGGGCATTGTGGGAACATCAGAACAGCAGCTTTCCAATGCCATATGCTGCTTGTTCAATAAATTTAGGATAGAGAACATGAGTTGTCAGAACAGTTTAACTCAAGGCCTTAACTGTAGGTGCTTCCTGGGGTGCTGAGCTGTTTGTAGGAGAGTTTCTTCTTTAAAAAAAAAGATTTAAAAAAAGATTGTTTACTTGAGGCCACCCAGCTGGGCAAGTGCATGCTTACAGACAGGGGCCTGGTTGCCCTCTCCTATAAACAACAACCCCCCTCACCTAATTCATCTCCTCTCACTCTTCCTTTCCCTTCTGTAGCATTTCCTGAAAGCCCCCCGGGGCCAGGTGTCTCCAGATCTGCAGTTCCTCCTTTTGGCCTGTGATGTGCAACAGGTAGGCTGTAAGATGTCCAGCTTGCTTCAGTCCAGGCTGGTTAATTTCCTTGCACTATGGAAAAAGCAAGGAATTAAACCTGGAATTAAACCTCCGAGGCTGTGAGCTTTCTTTCTCCACTGCCCAAGAGAGACTCAAGATTTCTCTTTCCCATAAAAATGTGAAGGGACCTGTTAGGGTTGGAATTGGCTGCCTTCATCTGTTCCTCTTTGGAGAGCTATCAGCCATGCCGATGCGGAGAAGTGCTGAGTGACCACCTTGCAGCCCAGCCCTGGGGATTATTCTTGCTTGTTCAGCCATCCTTGCTAATATTGTTTGGACTCAAGCACAAGCTCCCATATTTTAAATCAAATCTCTGCAGGATGAGTTCTGAATGATTTTGAACTTACACTGAGGAAGAGTTGTACTGGATCAGATGAAAGACCTATCTAGTCCTAGTTTCATTGCAGTAAACTGCCTAGAGTGTCCTATGGGACCACTGGTGCAGAATACAAGTTTAATTAATAAATAAATAGTAGTCCAGCCTTCTGTTCCCATGGTGGCAGCTAAATGCCTCTGGCAACCCCGAAGTGCAGAGTGCAATAGCATCTTTCTGCTCATGTTCCTCAGACACTGGAGGTCATACCTGCATGGTTGGTTGATTGATTGGATTTATATGCCACTTTCCACAAAGTTTCAAAGTGGTGAAAATACAGCATCCTACCATTAAATCGTCCATAAATACTAATCACTGATACAATTGCACATGCTGCTGTGCAGTACAAATCATGGCTGTGGGGAAAGCCTGTGTGAAGAGACAGGTCTCAAAAAGATGTCTCGATTTCAGAACTGGTTGTGTGTTTCTGAGGGTGGATGCTGTGAGACTGAACCCTGCACCATCGGTGCTCTTGAGCCAGCTCTCCAGAGCATCCAGCGTTCTCAGGTGCGCTTCCTCCCATGATTTCAATGATTGGTCAGGAACATAAGTGGGGAGGTGGTCCCTCAGCTAGCCTAGTGCCAAGTTGTTCAGGGCTTGAAAGCCTTCTTCTCTCATGCATTTGTCCAATCCCCTTTCAAGTTGCCCAGGTAGGTGTCCTTGTGGTAGCCAATTCCATAGTGTTTCCGAATTCCATTCATGCCCTGCATGCAGTACCTTTTTTGCCTGTCTTGCCTTGAATCTCCCCACATCTTTCAACTTCACTGGATGACTTGGATCCCTGTGATGAGAGAGGGTCAGCTGACTCTAGTATATGAACTAATATACAACTGTTGCTGACTCTGTGTCTGGTGCCTGGTTTTTGTAAACTACCTCAGAAGCTCTGCTGAAGGATGCTATAGAGACCAAACAAACAAACAAACAAACAAATAAATAAATGCTAGACATTAAATTTAGGCTTCTACTAATAATTATAAAATCTAGTCCCACATCTTTTCTCATCCCATTTTTGGCAACTTTATTTATATATATATTATATTCTGCTGATTTTCCTTCAAGAAACTCAAGGTGGCTTTATAAACCTCCTCCTCTCAAACTTATCCTTACAACACCAACGCAAGGTAGGTTAGACTGAGAGTCAGCGACTGGCCCAAAGTCACCCAGTGAGCTTTGTGGCCAAATGGAGACTAGAACCCCAGTCTCCAGGATCCCATTACGCTGGCCCTCAGGTGGTCAGAGTAATTTAATGGTCGATAGTTAAGCAGGGGCGTCATAGATTTTGGAGGGTTTTCATTTATTTTTTATTTTATTTATTTTTCGATTTATATCCTGCCTTTTTCCTACAAAGGGCTCAAGGCAGCTTACATCATTCTCCTCCTCCATCTTATCCCCACAACGACAACCCTGTGAGGTAGGTTGGGCTGAGAGTCTGTGACTGGCCCAACGTCACCCAGTTGGCTCCATGGCTGAGCAGGGACTAGAACCCGGATTGTCTGAGTCCCAGTCCTGTGCTCTTAACCACAACACCACACTGGCTCTCATTCATAGGGTTACTGTAAGTGGGAGCCGGCTTGATGGCACAGAGCAGCAACAGTGGCAGAGGAAGCAGGAAGAGCCAGTTCTGGAATGAGCCGGGAATCCTTGCAGTCCACAAGTGGCATCCACACCTCGGATCTCATGTCTCACTGTGATGCCGGATCCCAAATAAGCCCAGTTAGCTTGGCCAAATGGAAAGAGCCCGTTAGAATAAATGGAAGCAATCCCTTTGGCTCTGAAGAGAATGAGCCGGTGCGCTCGAGTGACTGGAGTGCCGAACCCCGTGCGGTGCCTCTCACTCAGCTGCTCCCAAGCGGAATCTGCCCAGAGTGCAAATCTGCTCCACCCACCTCTGTCCTCTGTTACAGAGGCCTCTGAAGTGCAGTACAAAGAAAGGGAACCAGAGGAAAGGGAAGCACGGAGGCGCCTTAGGTGGCCAGTCCACAGCGAGTGCCCAGGCAGCGGGCAGGGCAAGCACCCAGCTCAAACCTTCCCTTTATGCCATGCTCTTCTATATTTCTGTCTAAAGTGTTGTAATTGTCTCTAAATGTGTACCTGTATTTATAAATTAGTATGTATATATCAAATGTTTATCTGTATCCTTTCTGGGGAGATGGGATGTGTAAGTAACCAGTCCAGTTCCACACCAATCCTAATTTTTCTTCCTGGCTGCTCTGCAGGTTTTCCGCTATTCTGTCACAGCTCACTACATGATCTATAACTTGGGCACCAGGTAGGAGCTACTCTGCTACAACCAGTGTAGTTATAAGATGCATTTCATCAAATAAAAACAAAGAGACTGCAAATGCAGTGTTACTGTTTTGATCGATTTTAACTTTGTAAGTGCTTTTTTTTTTTTTTTGGTAGAAAGGCAAGGTACAAACAAAAACAGTCGCTCCAGTAAATATATTATTATCATTATTTTATTTGTTGCATCATATCCCACTATTTCTCCAAGGAGCCTGGGCAGCATCCATGTTCCTCATGGATTTATCTTCACAACAACCCTGTGAGGTAGGTCAGGTGGAGTGTTAATAACTGGCCAGGGAACTTGGTGGTGACTTGCTGGAGACCAGGGCTCCGGAATCCCTGTGTATGCTCCACTTCTGAACCCGGTTTACATGCAGGTGCACACACCTATATTCATGAATGGACCTACAGCTACAGCCTTTCCTCTCAGTCCCTGCCGTCTCCCAGCCTATCCCCAGAAGCATCGCTGGCCCATTTTAACCTGCAGTGTTGATCAGCCTGATCAGCTTGTGCCACACTGGAGGTGGGCAAGCAGAACCCAATGCTAGCTTAGACTCCAGGCATGCCAGTGGGGACCAAAGAAGGGCCTTGTGTAGATGGCAGCTCCCTCCTCCCCCTAGAATTGAACAGGGAGCAACATCTGGGTCTCATTGCCCCTCATCCATTCCAGCCCTCCCACCTCTCCCTGGCAGAGTGCATATTTTGCAAGCAGCCAGTCCCAGGTTCAAGGCCCCACGTCTCCGGGGAGGGCCAGGAAAGAAACCCACCTGATGCTCTGCAGACAGTGTTGACAGGGCTGGGCTCCGTGGATCAAGGTCCAGACTCATTGCATGGCAGCTCCGTTCACTCTCCTCACATGGGTGCAAAATGAACCGCTGTGCCCAAGGGATCGGTGCTGAGGCAAACATGGGGATCCTTCCTTAGCCCTGGGGATAAGATGAAACGAGCAGACATCCTCTTTCCGGACAGAGGAGATCCTGCAATTGAACGACTGCAGGATCCCCTTGAATGGCTCGCGGCTTCCTTCCTGTGAGGCGGAATGAGGGGCTTGGGTGCAGTAGAAGTCTGCCACATCTAGTCCCGCAGAGAAGAGATCATGGCGCAACCTGGGTTAGTGGTGCTTTGCCAAAAATTGAATCTAGGCAGCTCATAAAATTTCCCTGCGGCTGAATGGTCCAAAAGTGAATTTCCTACACATGAAACCCTTGCCTTGTTATTACCCTACCACTGTGGCAAGGTTGGCCCTGCCATGGGGCAGGCAGATGCTGGGGGCAGCAGCCCCTCGGCCATTCCCCCCGTTGAAGGAGAGAGCTGTGTGCGCCACACAGCCTCTCCTCCACCATGTAAGCTAGCCCGCCACTCGCAGGTGCAGGGAAAGATACCACCCCATGATATTCAGGTCCCAGCTCAACTTGCTTTTGGCATGCAGCTTAGGTGGTGGGGCTCTCGCCCTTTGACTGGGGCTGCAGAACACTGTGGGTCAGCCCTATGCTATGGATAGGCTGAACAAATTTCCCCATGCACACGTGTGTGCTTACACACACGCGCGCACGCACAGGGGAAAACAAGCTTTTCATTAAACCTGTGTCAAGCAGCCATGTGCTTTTACTTTTACTCTAGAGTAGACAGCAGGACCCTTGATCCAGATCTTAAATTCCACTACTCTAAAGGGCTGCTCTGGATGGGGACTCTATGCCCCCCTAGAATAAAGATGAAAACGCACAGCTGCTTGGCACAGAGTCGAAACAGAGCCTGCCTTGGCACAGGCATGTCACACGAACCCTCCTTCCCATACACCCCCTGCTGCATGCACACATCTTTCTAACTCCTATTACATTTTATAGAACTTTAAACTCCTACAAGTTTTAGTTTGGTGGCCTTGGTGATTATATGATGATTTATTAGTTATGCAAGTTAGAAAACATTTAAATGAGAGTATCTTTTCAAAAAAGAATCAAATTGGTCAGCACATCCTTCCAATTTCCTTCAGGCTAACAGCCAATTTGCCCATTATAAAATTCCTTGGTGAACGTTACAGCTTATTTGAAGGAATTAATGTGAAATCCATTAGTAGATTACACTGCTCTGCAAGCACGCCCCCAGGGCGCAGTCCAGGGAGGCTGTCTGCAGCCCTCTGAACTTGGTGGATTACGGGCAGCTGCAAAGGTCCCCGCAGAGCCAGTCTCAGCTGTCTAAATGTCGCACTGTGGGGTGGGAGGGAAGGAGGCTGAGGCACTGCTGGGATATACCACATCTTGGTGGTTCCAGGCTGCTCCCCTCCCTGCCCCCGAAAGATCCCCAGAGGCCCTTCTCTGGGGTCACTTTTGCAACCTTGGAGGAGCAGCTGGCGTGGCCTTTCCATCCAGCGATGTAGCGGGAGGGGGTTCTGTCCAGCGATCTCTAGCGTGCAGACTGAGGTGATTTTCTGAGCTTGCAACGGGCAATCCAAATGATGCTGGAGCCCTGCCTAGGGCCATCCAGTCACTCGGTGAGAGCTGTGCTTTTCATTAAGTGGATACATAGCTGACTTTTCACCCCATGTACACTTCACATGTGCAGAGAATTAACCCATATGAGAGAGTGCCACAGTTAGGCTTCACTCTGTTCCAGAAGGACTTATTTTGTCAAAATCTTGTAACTTGTGAAGCAATCCTAAATAGTCAGCACAGTAACCCACACGCAAGCGTTGAGTGTGAGTTGTTGTTGAACTGTGGATTGTTGGTGAATCTGGGGTTATTGTGTTTTCTGAACCCAGCAGAGATAATAAACCATGATGGAGAAGCCACTAATCAGAACCCAAGAACAAACCATGAGTTCTTGTCATGGGTTTTCACTGTTAACAAGCCATGACTTGTTAGCCCAGTTGGGTTCAGATGCACCACAGTTCAGTAACAGGCCCAGTTACAGGCTCATTCAAAACTTCCTCATAGGATTTGTTCTCTAGATCTTTGATTAAATAAACTGGTGTCACATTGAACACTGTTTAGCACCAAGTACCCAGTATCTCTACCATAATTTGTTATTCTGAATTCCTTTTGTTTCTTGCTTTTACATGGCAAGAAACATTAGGACCGCTAGCATACATTGGGACTGCTACAATCCAGATTGATGCCCTAGATTGATAAAATGATGGAGCTGATTATACCACCGTGTGGTTCTTATGGCTGATAATCAGGGCTGTGGGTCTTTTGACTTCCCTCATTCTAATCTAAATTTTCCAGAGGTGTTCAAAAGTAATAAAGCACAATGAATTAAGTGATATGCTAATTTCCAGGACTAGTTAAGATTGTATACATACTTTACTTTTATCTTTGTTTTTCTAATCAAATTAGCCAGTGTGGTATAGTGGCTAATGTATCAAATTGTGACTCAGGAGATCCAGGTGAGAGTCTCTGCTTGTCTACACGGAGCTCACTGGGTAATTTTGGGAAGAAGGGAGATAATGTGCAAACCTCCCTTAGTACCCTTGCAGGAAAAAGATGGACAATGAATATAATAAATAAAAATTAAAACATCTAGGTGAAGATGAACTGGCTGTTGAAACTATGAATTAGCACATTGAATTATTTTGTAAGAATCTCTTTTATACATGCATCCATATCTCCTCCCCTCCTCTCTCTCTCTCTCTCTCTCTCTCTCTCACACACACACACACACACAGAGATGAATACAGTGGACTGGATACCAGCATAAGAAGCCCAAGTATGCTTGCCCTGCTCTCTGTTCCTCCCAAGCAGTTCTTCTGCAGGGTAGTGATTGGTGTGTTTCCTTCCAGAGAAACAAGCCACCTAGATGTGCCCATGGCGGACTCTGTGCGTCTGCAGTACGCATCCTGGGGAGCCCAGAATAACCAGCTGGTAGGTGCCTCTTCCACTGACTTACGCTCAACTTGGGGCCATGAAGCAGGGGGAGGCAACCACCTGGGCTGTGGATTATGAAGTAGCTGCCCCAGCCCTGCCCATGTCCCTGAGGGGACAATACTTGCTTGGCTGGCTGTCTTATCCCAGCCAGGTCTGAAGCCCTGGGCAAAGGGACCCTGGTGGGCCCCTTCCTCCCTTAGTGGGTGTACCTGGCAGTAGTGGCAACCAGAGGCTGCAGCACTGTGAATACCACCAGGCAGCTAAGCCGCTCTGCCCCTGTAATCTCCCACGATGCCCCAGAGTGACGCTATGCCGGGGCAACGTGGCCAATGAGAATGTCAACTAGCCTCTGCCATCTGGTGCCCAGAGCACTGGGCCATGGAAAGGAAAGCAAAACAGCAGTTTCCCCGGGCAGGGCTGTACGTGCGCCACGTGGACCGCCCTCCTCCCCGTGACTGGCCCAGGGTCCCCTCGGGTGCAAGATGGGGCACTGTCCTCTCCCCAGCACAGAAATAAGGTTCAGCTGCCAGTCCAGTCAGCTCTTCTGTGTGGAACGGGAGGAAGCGCACCATCTCTTCCTTTGCCTCTGGCAACAAAATATCTTGTGCTTGTCCTGAATAAATTAGCTAGTAAAAAGGCAAGTTCTTGATCACAGATTTTCTTTAATCAACGGAAAGCTATATTTTGTATTAGTGCAGACACAGCTTTAGAGAACACGGTTTGACATGCCTACCAGCCGCACCTGGACATAACGGTACTCACTCATTAGGGTTTCATCTCAATCTGGGCTGTCCCAGGGTTCCTTTCTGCACGTATAGATACCTGCAGGCAACACACTTCCAGAATAAACTCATGACAGCTTGTTCATTAGCGATTACATTGTAACATGCAATGGCATAAAACTGCGATTTGGCTTCCCTTGCCTAGCAGCTGCCATTGCACTTGGCTAGCAGGCTTGTTCAGCGAGAGCTTCATCTGTAACCACAACCGACCCTTGAGTACACGGTTCCCTGAACAGCAGTCCAGAGCAGCCCCACTAGGAGAAGGCAGTGTTTTGCTTAGGAAATCGCTCTTTGGCTCTCTTCCCAGCTAGGTTTAGCCGCCCCTGAAAGAGCTGTGATCGCAGATGGATCACTGGGAGAATGAAAGGCTCCGAGGACCTGAGCTGTGGACCTGACCGTCTTCTTCCCTTCCCAGGTGTTTGTCTTGGATAATGACATTTTCTATCAACCTGGTGTCTCCAGCCGAGCCGAGCGTATCACCTCATCTGGGCAACAGGGAGTGATCTTCAATGGGATTTCTGACTGGCTGTATGAAGGTGAAGATGGAAATGGTGGCACGTAGGGTTGCCAGGAGATCTGGGGCAGGAGTGATTATGCCATCTAGATTGCAGTAGAGCGATACACACTGGGATGCTCTCACACCCCTTAAAGAAGCCTTACCCTGGTCCCTCTCATGCCCCTTCTGAATCACCAGTGCCCAGTTAGGAGCAGTTTACATTTCCTCTGGACTTTATAAGACACGAGTAGAGAACCTTCAGGTGTTTTAGTCTGCATTCCCCATATTCCTTGACTATTGCCATGGTATATGGAGGATGAAAGAAGTCCTAGTCCACATTTGGGTGTGGGGGGTGTCAAGTTAGGGAAGGCTGTTTTAAGACCTCAGCAACACGTCAGCAGCCAAGGCTTAATTCCTGCAAACTGAAATGAACCAATCCGCGGTGCAGTGCGTGGCACAATTATATCCTTCATTGCCAGCAGGTGGAGCTATTCCTGTATTGAACTGTCATGAACGCCGGAATGGCATTGGCAGGTTTTGTGGGGGCCAGAAACTTATGGGTTAATGAGGGAGTCGGGGCAGGATAGTTCTTTGGGTCCATCGTAATCTAGGTGGGAGTTAGAGAGACCCTGATGTTTCAGCTGAGAGCAAATGAGACCATCCTCTTGTGGGCAGAGGGCTGGAGCACCAGCGTTGCAGGCAGAAAGTGCCGGGTTCTGGGAAAGGATCCTGCCTGGAATCTGGGACAGCCATGGCTGCCAGTCAGTGCTGACAATTTAGGGCTGGATGGACCAAGGAGCTGAGTCAGAACAAGGCAACCTCCTGTCTGCCTGCACTCTGTGTGGTTCCTGAGTATCTGGCTGGGACAGGTGGATGGGCTTCTGCAGGCAAGGCACTCATACCTGGCTTCCCTTGCTTCCAAGAGGAGATCCTGAAGGCATCCAGTGCCCACTGGTGTTCACCTGATGGTGCATGGCTGGCCTATCTTACCATCAACAATTCCCTGGTGCCCAAGATGGAGCTGCCCCAGTTCCTGGGAGGAAAGTACCCAGCCAGCCGCCACTACCCTTATCCCAAGGTGAGTCCTGCTTCTCGTCTTCTGAGTTTCTAGTCTTTTTTGAGGGGCAGGAAAACAGCAGCCACAAGGGAATTTCTGAGCTACAGCAAGCGACCAAATGGCACAATTTCCCCTGCTTCACACTTGGGTTCTCTTGAATGTTCAAAGTATGAGGTTTTCACTCTTGGCACCCTGGCTTAGTCATGTCCAGCCCAACTCTTTCCATGTTGGGCTTCAGCTTCCATCATAGCCTGTTGGTGTAACCAAAGGTGGAAGTTGCATTGTAACACATCCAGAAGTCCCCAGGTGGAGAAAAACTGCTGCATGAGTGGCTTGCTTCAGTCAACTCTCCTCCATACTCAGCTGGAATTTCTCAGACATGGGCAACTTGTGGCCCTCCAGATGTTTTGCCCTACATTTCCTCTCATCCCTCACCATTGGCTGTGCTGAGTTGCTGCATCCTGCATGAAGCCAAATATTCCATTTGAATATGGGATATTTCCCTGTATTTCATTTATTACATTTGTATACTGCCCAACAGCCAAAGCTCTCAAAGGTAAAACCCCTACAATTCAACAAAATGTAATACAAAATCATCTGTATATAGGAATATTAAAAACGGTTGCAAAATCAACCAGTTTGCACGATCACAAGACCCATTAAAAATCTTATCATATGCTGTCAAAGGCTTGAGGGTAGAGGAAACCATAACCTGGCACCAAAAAAGATGGCAACGTTGATGCTGGATAGCTCTCAGCCTACATTCATACTCTTGCCTGTTGACCTTACAAATGTTTCACCTTGCCTTGTTCAGGTTCTCCTTCTGTGTCCTTACATCCCACAGTCTCTCGCTTGTCTCCTTTTCTACTCAGGCTGGCCAGCTCATCCCATCAGTTCAGCTTTTTGTGGTGAACTTATCAGAGGCGGCACCTCACGGGCTGGAAATTCACCCTCCTGAACTCTTCCAGGGCAGGTGAAGTAGGAGGCCGGGGGTGGGGGTGGCGGGTGATGTTACTAATGGCATTTTGCTCCCCTTCACCCAAGCAGCTGCAAGCTCAGGAATAGCCTGCTCTGGACAAGCCAACATGTTGTGCTCCCCATCTCTGCAACTAAAATGTGTGTGTTTAATCATGTGTAGGTGAAGAAGGGGAGACTGGAAGGCAACAACAAAAAGAGGTGATATAAGGTAGAATTTTACAGGTCCCAGGATCCAGAGCAAGCTGCCGTAAAGCCTCAGGATATATAGCCAGTACATGAGATTTTGCTCTTTCTTCACCTACATTTCTAGGTTAATATTTTGCCCTTTACATTCATTTATACTCACATATATATAACTACACCAAAGGACCAAGTATCTGTATAATGTGATTTTTAATATTCTTATTTTTATTATTTTATATGTCAATTGTTTATTTTTATTGTTCACTACTCAAGAATATTTTTCAAGTTATAGATTAGTTTGCATATACACCTAATAAATAAATGAACAAAGCTGAAATATAAAATATCCAGATTAGAAAACAGAAAAATATCCTGTTAGATTGATTAGTTCCTAAATGTATTGTTGTTAATCATTTATCATATTTATTTATTTATTTATTTAATTTCTATACTGCACACGAGCCAAAGCTCGCTGGGCAGTTCATGACAGCACTTTACATATAGAAATAAAAGATACATCATATTAAACTTATAGTAAAAATAGTTTGCAATGTAAAATTTAACACCAAATTAACATAGGTTTTGTGTGTGTGTGTTTGTGTGTATAACAGTAATTTGTCAAAAAAGCCTATTGTTGGCTTTTAAATTTTTCATTATTTCTTAAATGCTTACAAGCTGCTACACTAATGGAATGGAGGGAGTTGCGTAGCACTAAAATCCAGTGGGGTCACGGTTAAGAGTGAGGGACCAGGACTCAGGAGCTCTGGGTTCAAGTCCCCACTAAGCCATGGAGCTCACTGGGTGGTTTTGGGCCAGTCACAGACTCACAGCCCAGCCTACCTCACAGGGTTGTTGTAAGGATAAGATTGGGAAGGGAGGGGAATTATATAAGCCATCCTGAATTCCTCAAAAGGAAAAAAAAAGATGGGATATAAATGCAATAAATAAAATTAAAATTAAAAACCCCAATGGCTTGCTCCATCTCAGTACAGACTTGCCCTTGGAAAGAACCTTAAGCTTCTTAAAGTCCTTGGAGCAGCAGTTTCACAGGTGCCTCCGCAGCTGACCAGACAGCTTTTCACTCCCTGCCCCCTTCAAATAACCTTTTGAAAAGAAAAATGAATAATGTTGAGGCATTAGAGCCAGCAAGGGATAGGGAAGGCAGGGAAAAAACGAGGAAAAGGGCTGCAGGAGAGAAATAACAAGGGGAACTGGCAGGAATGGAAAGAGGGACCATGAAGGTTTGTGCGGATGGAGGAAGGCTGGACTGGTGCTAACATCCTCATGGTCCCAAGGGGCAGGTGGTCCATGTGAGCTTCCATAGCATCACAGAAGCATTTAGGAGAGGTGCCGGCCACATTGGAAGCATATTTTCTTCCTCCTTCACCTGAGCCCCTGATCCTCAACGGCACGAGAGGGCTTCTACTCATTTTTGTGCCTGGAAGGCCACACCAGTCCAGAAGCAGCCATTTTCTGCCTGGGACATGACACGATGCAGGACCAGAAAGCGGGCCAGGGCCCAGATGCCCTCCTGCCCCTCAGCCCATCCACCTCTGGGGGAACCCGGGCCATTCTGATCTCTCTGCCGTTTCCTCCTCAGGGAATATTACATCACCATGGTGAAGTGGGTGGCCCTTGCCCGGCTGGCTGTGCGGTGGCTGAACAGGCCGCAGAACATGTCTGTGTGGAGCTTGTGCGAAGCGGCCACCGGAGCCTGTGCTGAGGTGAGCCTGGCTGGAAGGAGCCGCGGCCGTGCTTCCGCTTGGGCGGCTCTGTGCCTGCGGGCTCGGGTTCCAGCACGCCGGATGAGCCAGCTGGTCTTCTCTGCCCCTCCTCATTTATGCTCTTAGCAAAGCCGGGATGGGCAGGCGTCTGACTCTCTGCGGTGCTCCCCTGGTTCCCCTTGGGAAGCTGGGAGGCAGTGCAAGTGGATGCTCAGCCTTGTGTGGAATCGGCCTGGACGTGTTCTGTCCCTCCCACAAGCTTTGCTTTCTAACCATGCCTGTTCCCTTAGAAATACAGAGTGACATCGGACTCCTGGGTGGACATGAAGGTAAGAGCCCTGATACAGTGCTGTACCAGGTGGGCGCAGGGACAGAGATGGGGGCTCACCAGCGATCCCTTTGCCCAATAACACCCCCTAAACAGATCCTGCGTATGGCTCACCTGCGATGATCTGCAGTTCACCCCGAGCCCTTTCCTTATGTATCCCAGCAGGGAGTGCCTGTCTTTTCCGAAGATGCCGAGACCTTGTTTCTGACGGTGCCCGTGAAGCAGGGCGCCCAAGGAGAATTCCACCATATCACCATGCTCTCCACCCAGGTAAAGCAAGGCCCCGGTCACATCCAGTCGGCAACTTCACGGCCCCGGCTGCTCTGCAGATATTACAGGTGTATTTCCTGTCCAACAGCATACCTGTCCAGGGAGCTCCCATCTCATGCTAGGGCTCATGCAACACTTTTAAAAAAAACACAGTTAAAAAAATAAAAGAAAAAATTCTGATGTGCCTAATGATATTTCTGGGGAGTACATATGAACCTCATCATGTTTCCTCTTTCTGCTGCCAGACCAGGCGCAAGTTGAGCACGATGCGCCTCCTCACCTCTGGGAGCTGGGATGTCACCAGGATCCTGGCATATGATGAGAAGAGGAAGAGGCTGTGAGTACCCAGAAACCACAATCCCCTTGGCACCCCCAGAACATGGAGTAAGTGGGGAAAACACGGTCTAGCTGCCCTTGTCTTTGTTCCTAGGTATTTCCTGAGTTCAGAAGACAGGCCCAGTGCGAGACATCTGTACAGGTAAGTAGATTGGCCCACCTCTTGCTAAGAGTGCTGGGAATTTGTATAGTCACCAGTGGGATCTTGCAACAAAATGTTTCAATCTGAAGGGAGTTCTCCTGTTCAGACAGGGTGGCAGCCAGCCATGACCTCTCCTGGGAAATGCCATACTGTTCCTCCCTCCCCATGGTTTTCATCCCCCCCCCCCCACACACACACACAGACTAGTGATAATTAGTTTCAGAAGATCAGGTGCGGGTTGTTGTTGAAACATGGGTTGTTGAAATATGAGTCATTGTGTCGTCTGATTCCACCTATGCTAAAAATCATGGCTTGATAACCACAAATGATCTCTGACGAGAGTCCATGCTTTGTTGCTGGTTTGTGATTTGTGGGTTGTTATCTTGTCATACTCAGTGACTAGTTTCAGACAACACAAAAACCTTTATCTCAACAACAGCCTTTTGTTCAATGACAGCCTGCATTCAGCCCTAGAGTAGGGCTTATAAATTTGTCTGAAGCTAAGTCAGTGGGTCAAGAAGCAACAGTGAGAACTGGACACGGAACCACTGATTAATTCAAAATTGAGAAAGGAGTTCGGCAAGGCTGCATACTGTTGCCCTGCCTATTTAGCTTATATACAGAGCACATCATGAGAAAGGTGGGGCTAGATGAAGCACCAGTTGGAATTAAGGTTGCTGGGAGAAATATCAACAACCTCAGATATGCAAATGATACCACTCTAATGGCAGAAAGTGAGGAACTAAAGAGCCTCTTGAAGCGGGTGAAGGAGGAGAGTGCAAAAGTTGGCTTGAAACTCAACATTAAGAAAACTAAGATCATGGCATCCTGTCCTCTCACTTCCTGGCAAATAGATGGGGAAGAAATGGAGGTAGTGACAGGTTTTATTTTCCTGGGCTCCAAGATCACCGCAGATGGGGACTGCAGCCAAGAAATTAAAAGAAGCTTGCTCCTGGGGAGGAAAGCTATGGCAAATCTAGATAGCATACTAAAAAGCAGAGACATCACCCTGCCAACAAAAGTGTGTATAGTCAAGGTTATGGTTTTCCCAGTTGCAATGTATGGCCGTGAAAGCTGGACCATAAGGAAGGCTGAGCGCCAAAGGACTGAGGCCTTTGAATTGTGGTGCTGGAGAAGACTCTTGTGAGTCCCTTGGACCGCAAGGCGATCAAACCAGTCAGTCCTAGAGGAGATCAACCCTGACTGCTCTTTAGAAGGCCAGATACTGAAGATGAAACTCAAATACTCTGGCCACCTAATGAGAAGGAAGGACTCCCTGGAGAAGAGCCTAATGCTGGGAACAATAGATGGCAAAAGAAGAAGGGGACAGCAGGGAGTGAGGTGGAGTCGCTGAGGCAGTTGGTGTGAGCTTGAGAGGACTCCGGGGGATGGTGGAGGACAGGAAGGCCTGGAGGAATGTTGTCCATGGGGTCGCGATGGGTCGGACACGACTTCGCGACTAACAACAACAAGTCACCGAGTATGCCCAGTTCTTGCTAGACTGTTTTGAGATAGTGCTTCCCCACCCCCCCAAAAAAAGTTCTCGGGGTGGGTGGTAGGTGAGGCCAATGTAGTGGATTCAAATACCCCAAATGCCAGCATATTTTGACTTAAAGTTCTTACTGCTAGTAACTAAGCCTTAGGAGAGGGATTTCAACCTGTTTTGAGAGGGGAAAATTTCACAAAAGCTAGGAAATGATCAGTGATTGTGGGAGGAAGGGGTGAGGTTAGTGGAAGGCAGAATGGCCATCAGAAGAACAGAGGTTCTGTGCCCCTCAGGTACATAATCTCAGTAATCCTTATAACCAGCGCTTTTTTTGTCATAGAACGCACCGGAACAGAGTTCTGGCACCTTTTTTCGACAGATTTTCCAAGTTTTAAAAATAACATTTGAAAATTTGATGTTTGGTCCACGTGGATTTGAATTGCCCTGTTGAGCGTAGCAGGTCGGCGGCAAAATCATTAAAACGGTGCATGCGGGCTGGTTGTGTGTCGAATCCGATGCATGCGTACTTTGTCCGCACTGGTTGTGATGGCGCTGCTCAGCTTGTGGCACTGCTTGGCTTGTGATTGGTCGTGTGGTCGCGCGTTGAGCTTACTGCGGGTGGCGACCATTATGTTTCGTTACACAACTGATGTGTGTGGGTGTGTGTACGGTGATTGACTACGTATGAAAGGTAAATAATTTCATGAGTTTCGGCACCTTTTTTCTTACAAAAAAAGCACTGCTTATAACCACCATCTAAAGCTTGTTGCTGTTATTGTTGTTATCCCCATTTGCCAGATGACACGCTGAAGCTGGGAGAATAGTGCCTTCCCCCTAGTTGAGTTTATACCAAAGTCAAGGTTCTACACCATTATGTATAGGGTTCCATCAGTATGCCAGGAACTTTACAGAATAAAAGAGGGTGAGTCCCTGCCTCAAGGAACTTACAGTCTAAGACGCAACACAGGGGCAACAGCAGAGAAAGAGGAGGGAAGTGAAGGCAAGAACAGTCAGGGGAGGGATATGTCACTGCTGCACTGACTGTGCATGTGCTTAGTCTTAGCTTCAGAGTGAGCTGGAGTCAGGCCTGGGGACTAAAGTCATCCTGGAAAAGTGCATTTTGAGGAGAGTTTCTAATTAAGGAAGAGGATGCACCATGCTGCTTTCCTCAGCTCTCTAGCACAGCATCCCTTTGGCCAACTTAGCAGCTGTTGGTGATGAAGGGATTGGACTGGAGGAGGCCAGCGTCCCTCTTCCATCGTAGGGGTCCGGGCGGCTGGCAGGAATGTCTCTGGGCAAGTGAAAGCCACTTGAGAAAGGGGGCTTCTCCCCTCCCCACTTCTTCCTGAGCAGCGTGGATCTTGATGGCTCCTTCAACCGCTCGTGCGTGACGTGCGGCCTGCGACCCGGCTGTTCTTTCGTTGATGCCAGTTTCAGCCCTCAGATGGAGTATTTTACACTGTTCTGCAAAGGTAGGTTTCTGCAAGAGGATGCCCTCCTACCTACAAGCGCATGAAGAAATGTGCACACACCAAAATATGTGTACTGTGATATTTGTGCCTCACTAACGGCAGTGTCAACAATGTTTGGACTCGAAGCCGAAATAGGCGGTATCTTGATTACTCGCAAGTCTGAGGAGGGAACAACTCACACATGCTTGCAACCTTCCCTTGTGCTTTAGCAGTCCTCAGATTCAGGAAGGACGGGAGGATAGTGGGAGGCAGGAGCGATGCAAGATACTGTGCAGATACTGACAATGTTATGCTTGAAAGGAAAAAGAAGAAATCTGGTTTCTCTATAGGGCACACAATCCAGTCAATGTTGGATCGAATGAAAGATGATGGATGTTCTAAAGACAAATGTGTGTGTTGAACTTCTTTCAGCTGAGAGCCAAATTCCATTTCAGAGAAGCTTTCAAGATGGTCACTTCCCATGGGTGGGCAGTGAATTTAGGGCTAAAATACTAGGACTATTCTAATTCCAATTAGAGCTATTCTAGGGCTATTCTAATACCAATTCTAGGACTAAAATACCTAGAATTTCAACATCATTTAGCTAAAATTCTTGCTGATAAGGAAGCAGGAGAGGAATTTCATTTTTTTCAGAAGAAGAAAAATAGGGGAAAAGCTGGGGTGGGGTCCGGCGAAGTGAGGGTGGGCATGCCCACCTGGGCACCCCTGGAGGGCTAGATTTGGGACCCAGGCCTGAGGTTCTGCCTCTCTTCTTAAAGCAACAAAATGCTAATATTAACAGTGTTGTGGAAGAGAGCCAGTGTGGCGTAGTGGTTAAGAGCATGGGACTGGGACTCAGACGATCTGGGTTCTAGTCCCCGCTCAGCCATGGAGCCAACTGGGTGACTTTGGGCCAGTCACAGACTCTCAGCCCAACCTACCTCACAGGGTTGTTGTTGTGGGGATAAGATGGAGGAGGAGAATGATATAAGCTGCCTTGAGCCCTTTGTAGGAAAAAGGCAGGATATAAATCGAAAAATAAATAAATAAATAAAAATAAAGTCTTATGTTGAACACAACTTATCATGGCTAGATTTTGGATATTTTTTCATTCTACAGGACCTGGAATTCCTCAAGTCTCTGTTCACTCTACAGCTAATCCCCATGGTGCGTATCCAAACTAAAAGAAAGGGCCTTGCCTTGCCCCCTCAGTTTTCTTTTTCTTTGGTATCCCTCTATAAGTACCTCAAAGGCTTTCACAAGGAGGAAGGTCAATATCTCTTCTTGCTGATGCCAGAGTGTAGGACACAGAATAATCAATTCAAGTAGCAACAACCCAGATTCAGGCTGGACATCAGGAAAAGCTTCCTCACTGTCAGAGCAATAGGACAGTGGAACCAGCTGCCTAGAGAGGTGGTGGGCTCTCCCACACCAGAGACATTAAAAAAGAAACTGGACAGCCACCTGAGTGGGATGGTGTAACATGGTGTCCTGCAACAGCAGGGGGTTGGACTCGATGGCCTTCATGGCCCCTTCCAACTCTACTATTCTATGATGCTATGATTCCTTTTTAATGAGGAACTCTTCCCCGGGTTATTTTTGTTGTCAGTCTGCATGTGTGATGATAAAAACCATCTGACTACTTGATAAAGCATGATATATTTGTGCTTTGTGTGAGTCCACAAAGCTCTGATTTAGGGGCAAGGTGTGTGCTGGTTTGGGGTATTTATGTATTTTTATTTATTTCATTTTTATACCACACAACAGCCAAAATGCTGTCTGGGCAGTTAACAAAGTTTTAAAAAACATGTAAACAAGAAGAGTGGAACAACCAGTGTGGTGTAGCGGTTAAGAGCATGGGACTGGGACTCAGACAACCTGGGTTCTAGTCCCCGCTCAGCTGTGGAGCCAACTGGGTGACTCTGGGCCAATCACAGACTCTCAGCCCAACCCACCTCACAGGGTTGTTGTTGTGGGGATAAGATGGAGGAGAATGATGTAAACTGCCTTGAGCCCCTTGAAGGAAAAAGGCAGGATATAAATTGAAAAAAAAATAAAATAAAATGGCAAAACAATAAAACCAATAAAACAGTAACAATAAACCCAATCCAGTTGGAACAGAGGTACATGATAAAATACAGTACTAAAACTAGAGTAAAAATTAACTGTTAAAATACCTGGAAAATAAAGTGTTTCACCTGGGGCCAAAAAGAAAAAAAGAGTAGGTGCCAAGATATACCTTTTTGGAGAGTGCGTTCCATAAACAGGGTGCCACAACCAAGAAAGCTCTTCTCCTGTTGCCACCCTCCTTATTTCCTTTTGAGAGGGCTCCCTGGGAAGGACCTCAAAATCTGATCTTGGAGCCCAGGTTAGGGTACAAATGGATGAGGCCTTCCTTCAAATAACCTGGCCCCAAGCAGTTTAGGGCTTTGAATGCTAATATTAGCACTCTGAGTCAGGCCCAGATTCCACTGGCGACCAGTGCAGCTGAATGGGGACTGGCATAATACACTCTCCTAGGCTAGTCCCCATCAACAGCTAAATCGACTGAAGTTTCCAGACTGTTTTCAAAGTCAGCCCCATCTAGAGTGCATTGCAGTAATCCAGACAAGAGCTAGTCCTCCCATGAGTTGCTTAGTTCACCTTCTCCTTTTATCTGCATCTCACTTTTTCGCATGATTGTGCAAAAGACCAGGGTAGGCATCACTGTGTACCTGTCGAAGCTCCATACCCCTGCAGGGGCTCCGTGACAAGAGCCCCTGGACCTGTCCCTGCTCTTTACCATTGCAGCCTGCTAATTCACCTGCCACTCACTCTCGCCCCAACAACAGTGAGGGTTACTTGTGTCCTAGTTCTCTGCCCGTTTGACAGACCAGTGACAGCCCTTCCAATGTGCCAGTCAGCCACTTTAAAGGGGCTGCCACTAGCTGTCAGACTGGAGATCATGAAAAGCAATCTCTGGAAAGTTAGAGGAAAAGGGAAAGAAATTAGTGCAAAAGGGCTCAGTTTGGCTGTGGGGGGAGAGAAAAGTCAGTCCTGCTGCTGAATCCTTGTGATATGCGTGAGAGGACAAAAGGGGTAGGGAGGTATTGATATTAAAAACTCGGCATCTGGAATGAGTTGTTTGGAGGGGGGGGGTCCCAACTACCACTAACCCCACTGATATCCTTCATCTTGTCCCTGCTCAACCCCCAACATAGACTTTCTTCTACTGGAAGAAAACCAGCCCTTGCAAGATGGCCTTCTGCATAAGGAGATGCTATTGATAGAATTCTGGTCCTACCAGCTAACCAACTATGGTGAGAATATGTTATGTGAAGCCCCTCAGCTGGGTAATTGGCATTGTTACAGCCCCTTTTGCAGGGTATCAGAGCAGTGTGAAGAAGCTCTCAGTTTAAGTACAGGTGACAGAAGAGAAGATAATGCATGTCTCATTTTATCAGTGAACCTTCCATGCGCATCGCAGGGTTTCTAGACCCAGCCCCTCTTGCTTGGTGGTAGAGGAGAAGCAGCAATGCACTAACATAAACTAAGAGCAGTGGCTAGGAGTTGTGGTAAGGTTAGTGTGGACTTATTGCAGTAAAGCTTAAAAATAATCCCGGGAAAAAAGGAAACGGGGGTGATGCAATGGTCCCCCCCCCTGCCCCGTGATGGGAAGTAGATGGTGGGACCTGTGAGGGCCACACAGGAGGGGTCAAAGCTCCCAAGGCTGCAGCACTGTGGCCGTGTGGGGATTTGCACGCGATAACCAGGCAGTGTGCAAGGACAGAGCTGGTTGGAAGAAGATCACAGGGTCGACATCCTGTCCCCGTAATCACCTTTCTTTCCTGTTTCCCCTGCAACCCAGACCTGCCTGTGCGTGTGACCTTGCCACCACTACACCAGCGCACCTTCTGTCCGCTGCTACTGATGCTGTGAGTGACACCCCGACTCCCTCAGCTGGCACCCGGGCCTTCACTCCATCCCTGCGACTGTGCCTTCTTGAGCTTATCACCAGGGATTGCAGCAAGCTGGATGTTAATCAAATATGTCTAGGCATGAAGGGGTGGAAGAGGAAGGGGTAGGGAGTCCTGTATTTGGGGATTAGGCTGTCGCTGTTGTCTCCTGTTCCCGAGCCCAGCTGAATTCAGCCTATAGCCTATGATTCGTGGGTAGGCAAAGAGGTACATGGCATTTCTCCATAAATAATCTTGTTGACCAGCCTTCCCCCATCCCCCATATACTCTGGACTACAGCAGACATCATCCCTGACCACCTGACATTCTGCTGGGACTGATGGGAGCTGAGGTCCAGCACAATCAGAGGGTGCCAGGTGAAGGAAAGTTGTTGTAGGAAAAGCTCAAGTAACTCCAGATTTTAAAGAAAATGCCCAAGAGGCATGGTCAAATGCATTCAAAATATAAAATTGACATAATCAAGTTTATCCCATTTAGACACTAGCATCTGAAAACTCAAGGAATCCTCAAGGAAATATTCCAGTTTTCCTACCAAATGCTGCATTTCAAAAGTTTCAATGTGCTGATATGTATACTTTAATTCAATACAAATATAAGCAGATTTTTTTTAAAGTGGAAGGTACGTTAGGGTGGTTTTAAATCAACCTAGAGCACATGATATTAACAAGGGCAGATTTCAGTAGTGAATTCCAGAAGAGGTGCCTTTTCCTGCCTCCAGCTCCATTTTTGTGAAACGAAAAAGTGAAAGAAAGAAAGAAAGAAAGAAAGAAAGAAAGAAAGAAAGAAAGAAAGAAAGCAAGCAAGCAAGCAAGCAAGCTCCACTCCTGGGAGTATCATTTTGACTGTGGATTCAGGTGCAAACTTGCCTGCGGCTGGCCTGCTCTACAACGTCCACCCCTGCTCTTTTTTTTCAGCCCAGAAGCCCCAGGAGACCAGATGGCTACTGAGGAATTCCACCTGGGCTGGGACACCGTGCTTGCTAGTTCCTTGGGCGCTGTGGTGGTCCGATTTGACGGTTGGGGCCCTGGCAACCAGGGACTCAAGCTCTTGCACAAGGTCAACCACCGCCTGGGCTACCTGGATGTCATGAACCACATCGTTCTGTTGGAGTAAGTCTGCTCTCCCACTTCGGTGGGTGCTGTTCACATGGTGTCTGGGCGACAGTCAGCCGCAAGCTGGCAGCGCTGCTCCAAGTGACCGGCCTGCACCAACCCTGAGGTCATTGGTTGCTAAATCTGGTGAGCGGTGGCTGGTCGGCAATCGACAAAGTTGCCCTGACAGTCTCGACACGCAGCTCATGGCCGCACTCTTCAGTGGGAAGTGGATCCGCAGAGGGATCAAAGATGCTGTTCTTGGTGAGATGGGGCATATGAATGAACCCTGGGCCTGCTGAGTCAGGCAAGAGCCCAGTCCCAGGATATGGCTATTTTAGAGGTGAGGAACCTGTGATCTATAGGTCTAATTGGACCCACAGACCTGTAGGCCTAATCGGACCTAATAGGACCCACCTATAGGCCTAATCGAACCTGTGAACCTGTACTCTTTCTGATTGGTGATTGGATTCCTCTGAGTGGCACTGTTCCTCTCTATGGGTGGCCACTATTAATATTAATGTTTAAAGTCCTGAATAGCTGTGGGGCTTGTATAACCCTAGGGAGCATTTCCTCATATACCTTGCCCTGCAGTGACTCAGAGGTGCTGCTTCAGGTTTCCTTCTGCTCACATAAGAGATTTGCTGGGATGTGGAGCTGGGTCTTTTTTGTGATGGCTCCCGCTTCCTGGATATGTTTATCCTGAAGAAGAGAAGAGTCAGGGTTGGGGTGGGACGGGACATGATAATGGTCTTCAAATATCCAACGGGCTGACACACAGACGCTGAAACAGACTTTGTCATTGTTGCTCTGGGTGGCAGAACTGGAACGTGTTGAGACGTGGCGGTGAACAGATTTCACCCAAATGTTAAGGAAAGAGAAACAGCCTTTGAGGTGGTAGAGTCTCCTTCCTGGGAGGAGACTCTACCACTTCAGTGCAGGCGTGAGAGCCGTATGTCAGACATGCTGTTGCTGCAAGGCTGAGCGCAGCGTTGACGATTCTATTATTCCAGACTGCTCAAATGAAAATAGGGTTGCCGTTTGGGATAGCTGGGTGAAGACTTTTACACAGTGGTGACAGCCTTCTCTAGATGCGTCCCTGGGATAGGCAACCTCTGGCCAGGAGGCCAAATGCAGCTCACCAGTGGCCCCAGTCCAACCCTCCAGAGTTTCCCAGATGGCCATGCCCTTTTCCACATTCCCACCCCTTTATCTCAGATAGCTGGTTGTTCAGTTTCTCCTCCTTTCCATCTACTCTCCCCCAGCCAACAGAGCAGTCTTGTGGATTTTGGGAGTAGTAGTCCAATGTATTTGGATGGTTACAGGTTGGGGAAGACCTAATTTACAGTGTAATACAGTGCATGTGTCTACAGAAGTCCCATAAAGTTTAACTGGTACATACTCTTTAGTAAGGGGACTTCAGATTGTGGTCACCATCTGCATTACCCTCCCTCATTACATTTTAAGACTATTTCAGCCAATCTGCAGGCAAGGATATATTTTTCTCTCCTCATTTGTTTATGCCTAATGTCCTGCCTGGTAAGAGTTGTAAACGAAGAGTTACTTTTAGAAGCTACGCTAACCTTGATGCTAAGCCTCTGGGGCCTTCTTCCAGGTGCCCGCCCTTTGAGAGGCCAACTAGGGGAATGGCCTTTTCTGTGGTGGCAGGACTCTTGGGGAGCTGGTACTCCTTGGATGGCATTTGGAAAATGCAGGGGATGAGTAGCAGGTGAGGGCAGGAGGTTGCTCTAACAGGACTTCTCCTTCTGCTTCAGGTGGCTGTTCAAGCTCCCTTATGTGGATCGAAGGCGCACTGCAGTCTACGGAAAGGTAAATCACATGCTCTTTGGCTGCCCCTAGCCAACGGAAGTGCTTTTCGCCTGGCTGCTTTTTCTCTGTAACTGAGGGCTCAGCTTCTCATGCCAATTGCAAAATTATTGGCATTTTCTGTGCCAGCCACATTTCCAGCCAACCAAATCTATCCTTTGTGTAGAGGACAAAGGGTTCGCACTTGCAGATCTTTCTGCAGAAGGTAATTAGTGTCCAGTTAGGTACCCGGGCAAGCAGTCTGGGGACTTCCAAAAGACAGCTTCTACAGCAGCAGAGTGTTTTTGAATTGGAAGTTCCTCAAACACAGAGCTGAGAAAAATATCCGGGTCCTAGCCCATTTAAGGCTTTATAAGTTATCACTAGCACCTTAAATTGGGTCTGGACTTCAATTGGAAGCCAATGCAGATGGTACGGGACCAGCATTATATGTGTATCTCTGCCGGTCCCTGTTAGCACCCTGGCTGATCTATTCTGAACCAACTGAAGTGTCTTCAAGGGCAGCCCCATGTAGAGCGCATTACAATAGTCTGATCAGGAGGTTAGTTATGAGGCTACTGCTGTCCCCCTGCAGAAGTTTTGTATATATTTGTGCAGATTGTGTAGGTACATTTGCTTTCTCTCACCATGAACTCATCATACACTAAATAATTAAAAATTCTAAAAGCTGACACAATCTTCCTTTGTGGCTGTCAGGCCCACCTCTTGTTTAAAACAACAACAATGTGATTGAAGCTATGTGGAAACACCTTTCTGTCTAAAGAGGCATAGAATTGCACCTTAAGAGATCCTGCCTGCCTTATCCCATTCATTTGCTGATAAATGTAGAAAATGCAGTCCATTTCATAGCTGACACTGAACAACATCTTAATTTCTGATATCTGTACATCTCTTGAAAGGATCACATTTTAAAAATATGCATTCCAGTTAAACAGCTCTTCTTCCATTTTATATCAGTGTGAGAACAACTGAACCAGGAAGGAGCACAACAGGGACCAAAAGATGGTCTGAGTAAAACATCAATTCGTCTCAAAGAGAGCAAAAAAGAAAGAAAGAAAGAAAACAAAGCAAAGCAAAGCAAGCACATCTGCCCACACAACGAATTGCAAAGTGCCCAGACATTGCCCTACAAACACACAGACATTTAATAGAGATCTATTAAGCTGTGGGACTCCCTTACCTATTCTGTCTGCCTGGGGCCAAATGGGTTAGTCTTTGATTTTCTGGTCAGATTTTCTTGTCAGCCTGGGCACTTAGTGATTTTTACATCTGAATAGTCTGACAATTTTAACTGAACAGCTGCCAACTGATTTTTTTATTTGCTTTTGTGTTGTGTGTTTAAAATTGTGATTTCTATTTTAAAGTAGGCATACTACTTTGGAAATGTTTCTTTTAAAACTGCAAACATCTGAATTTTAAAGAAATAATAAAGGGGTCATGTTTGTTTTTAGGCCTATGGAGGCTTTTTAGCACTGAAGCTTATGGAAACATTGGACAACCTCTTTAAATGTGGAGCAGCTGTGGCGCCCATCACCAGCTTTCGTTTCCATGGTGAGCAGCAGCAAGAATGTTTTGCTTTGCCTCTTTATTTTGAAAGAGACTGAAATCCTGCACCAAGATGCCGTTCTGGTTTTGTGCAGCATTTAGTTTAAGTTCTGCTACCTGAAGAATTCATGCCACTTCAGGGCTGTGTTTAGAACCATCCTGGGAAACAGAAGGATAAAAGCAGTGGCTCTTCTCACAGGTTGTAGGGGGGACCCACCACAGCAGTTGTCCTGATCAGTGGTGCCCAGAGGGCAAGGTGTGAGGCAGAGACTCAGCAGAACAAGCAGAAGGTGGGGGAGCCCTAAATCCAGAGTCTAGGATTTACTAATCGCCCCACTGTCCCTGCGTTGGGGTTGCCCCACTGTAGTTGTGCTGCAGAGGCTGCCATTGGAAGAGTTCCCAACTTCTCTGGAGTGCCCTTCCTTTGTTTCCTTCCACAGCTGCCACTTTCTCTGAACGCTACCTGGGGATGCCAGCCCGTGAGGATGCAGCTTACACGGTACGGGGAAATGGGCATCGGAGAAGGTTTCCCCTGGGAGGGGCCTCTCCCCTGCTGCCTCCCACCCCTCAGCCTTGCCTGCTGAAGGAGGCAGGGACGGGCAGGTGTGGTGTGCCAAGCATGACGTAAGTGTCACTTCTGCAGAGACGCCTCCCTGAGCCTTCGAGCACAGTCAGCCTACGGTGGTAATGTGACCATCTTTTCATTTTCCAAGATGAGTGAATGTCACTTGCCTACTGTCTTCCAGCAGATAATGATCTTTGGATATTGGCACCTATGATCTATGTCCGTAGTTATAAAATGTGATACCCACTGACTACACCTGCATCCTCACAGTGGCTCACAGCACAGCAACTACAAAACATGCACAAGAAATATGCCATTGCTAATCAAATGGAAACCAATTAAATAGTTGCATCAGTTTTTCCTAACTAATAGGCCCCTCCCAGTAGAAAGCTCCGAGTGTACAAAACAGGGTTTTTCTGCCGTGAGCTGCAAGTGGGATCAACACTGACTGTCCTCGCTGGGGGTCCAGCGCTTTTCGCACCTTACAATGTGCCCATCCATGCCAGTTGTGCTGGATTATCCAGTGTACTGAATGGGAGTGCTGCAGGTCAGGCAACCTTTTGCAGCTGTCTTCCGTCAGCCAAGCAGTTTCCATTGACACCCACCCCTTCACACACACACACACACACACACACACACAGCCTGCTCTGAAAAAACAAGCAGATGCTTGCAACCCAATTGTGCCAATACCACCATTCTGGTTTGGTGTGGGTTGGCTTGCCCTGGATTTGGTTTGGTTTAACTCCCCCCACCAAGAAAAGAAAAGAAAAGAAATATAATGCCTGCAGCTCAGGCTTAGAAGATTGCTGCTTACAAGGAATGAGTTATCAATCACACTGATTCCCCCCAGAGAATGACCCATCATTTGATTAGTCAAAGACACTGCTGGACCTTGTCGGATAACCTGATCCAGTCTGTTCCACAGCCTATTTGAGTGAGTTTCCCCACACAGCTAGAAAACTTGCAGACTTGAGTTTCCTTGCTTGCTAGTTAGGTCTGAATCTCTTGCTTTAACATAAAGCCCCCATGCCCCTTCTTTGCACAGCGAGCACTAAGCAGCACAATATTTAATCTCATCCCACATTCAGTCCAATGTTTCTATATGGTCAGATCTGAATGGCACAAGAACATAACCAATAATTTCTTTAAAAAGAGAATACCTACATATGTAGCTAAATATGGTGGATTTGTGGCGGTCAGGGCTGCTGTCTGCTTCCAGGACAAAACAAAGGTACCTGAAGCTGGCCTTCATTCAAACTGAGCAACGGACCTCTTCCTGCCCATCATTTCGAGACCTCCCAGGTCATGGTGTGTGTGCACACCAACCCGCAGTTCTTTCTCACTCTAGGGTTTTGCAAGTATTACAGGCACCTGTCCTTTTGCAGCAACTGAGTAAGGGACACTTTTCCTGACAAGCAATATTAAAGCAGACTTCCCCAGCCTGGAGCAATCCTAATATGCCGGACCACATCTCCCATAATTCCCAGGCAGCATGGGAATTGTGGGAGATGCAGTCCAATATACTGGGAGGGCACCAGATTGTTGAGTTGAATTGCTGGGGAAAGCTTGACCTGTTGCATGTCAGGCTGTTGTTCGGGTTGCAGGAGCAGAGCCCTGACCAAAGCGGCAGTCATTGATTCCTACCTCCTCGTTCTCTCCGTTCTCTTTTCTCCTGCAGGTGGCCTCCGTATTGGAGGATGCAGCTCGCCTCAAGGACAAAAACATCCTGCTTGTGCATGGGACTGGGGATGGTAAGGTCGAATATAGATCGGCTCTTTCCTGACACTCACCGCCAGCCCATTTCCAAAGGGCAAAACGGTGCCCCCAGCCGCTCCGCATTCCATGTGCGGGAGCCAACCGGGCTGGCCGTTAAATATTAGCTCCATGGAGGGGGGTCCTCCATCTCCTGTGAGGGCAGCAGACCAGTTTAAGCAGTGTGGGGCAGGCTGTGAGGCACCCATCACTCTGTACTCCAAGAGGGAGAAAAGCCGAGGGCTCAGGAGCGGTGCTGCCCAGCATCTGCTGCAGCCTGAGCTGTTTGGCTCACTCTGCCTCATGGTAAGGCCAGCCTTGCAGCCCCCAGGCTGATGCTGCTTCGAGGGCACTGGGCCAGTGTTGCTTGTGCCACCGTTTGGGAGGTCCTTTGGCAATAAGGCCATCTGTAAATGGTACAAGTTGCTGCCTCTTACTCTTTGGGAGGACAGAGCTGGTCAAATGTGCGTTCTGGAGCCACCGCTCGTTACACGGGTTGTTTGCCACCTTATGGACAGCAGCCGAAGGGGGACAGATTCCTTGTTGCCCCCTCTCCATGCGTAACCCACCTCTTCTTCTCCCCCTTTCCAACAGCCACGGTGCATTTCCAGCACACAGCCGAACTTCTTATCCAGTTGCTGGCTGCGGAGTCCAACTACACCACCCAGGTACATAAATGGGGAAGGGAAGACCCGGATTCTTTCTATGGGAACCTGCACTTGGCGTATTCCTTTATTACCTTTGCCCCACATCTGTGAGCAGCGAGGCATTCCAGAGGTGCAGCCAGGGTTTGCCTAGGTTGGCTCCCTTTGGAGGAGCTCCCCAGAAACATGCTGGTGTTTTGTAATACTTGCCCTTGTGAAATAGATATACAGCTCAAAGGCAGTTTTAACCACCCTGACAGAGAGCCAAAGAATTGCAGAGTTGGCATACAAAGATAATTTGGGGAAGGGGGGGGGGGGGGTCTCCATTCACAAAATGGCTCCCATGATAGGTGTGGCTACTCACAAAACTCCAATTCCTCAAAAAGCAAATATTCTTAAAATAGCTTTAAAGACCAACGAGGAAGCAGTAACACTGATCTGTGCTATGGAAGGTTGTGGGTTTCATGGGAAGCTTAACCAGTGCACCCTTCCTACCAGCCGGTGCTGGGTCTGGAAGGAGCCAGCTACCAGGAGGGGTGGGCAAGGAGGTAGGCTCCGAGCTGGTCAGCTCTAGACAGACGCTCTCCCTGGAGTACAAGAATCTGCAGTGCTGGGCATCCCTAGAAGCAGCCCTGGATGCTGCCTCTGCTCCCCGCAGCCTGGACTGTGGCCTTTTTGCCTTGGAAAAAGGCCAGACTGGTCCCACAGCAGAGTGTGAGAGAGGATGCATTCTCGTCCGGAGCTCTTAGTCCAGAAATTAGCCTCTGCTTTTAATGTTTTTCACATGGCATGGATTTTACAAGCAGTTGCTTTCTATGAGTGGTGACCAGCATGGCAGAAAACATCTTAGATCGTGAACTCCTTGGGGCAGGGACCTGCCCTCTTACACCATGCACATCGGCATTATGGTATAGAAATGCATATGGTCGTGGTTGGATGTGTTTATTGGTTTGCTGTCGTTTTATTGCAACCTTCCTCAGTCCAGAGACCTCTACATGTGTTGGACTGGGGCTCCATGATTCCCGGCCAGTATGGCCAGTGGCCGGGGCTGCTGGCCATCATGAGCACTGCAGTCCAAAATACCTGGAGGGCACCAAGCTGGGGATCTGTCTGGTTGCTGGGGGCAGGAAAAATTTTAAATGGCTCTGTGGGCGACTGCTGGTTGGTGCTATACGAGTTCAATAAAGAAACGAATGGCAGCCACGATGAATACGATGCCCCCGCCTCCCCCCGACTCTGGAAAGGCCATCGGCACTGCTCACCGATGAACACTGCTAACTGTGGTGTGTCTGCTTCCTAGATCTACCCAGATGAAGGCCACACATTCTTCTCCAGTGCCAACCAGCGCCACCTCCTCCAGACCCTTTCCTCCTTCTTCCAGCGTTGCTTCGAGGATTCAGAGCATGCCCATCTACTGGATGAAGAAGATGAGGACTCATAGTGCTTTTCCCTGGAGAGAGATTGAGCACCCACCAGATGCCAAGCTCCCCGGGCCTTTTCTTTGCTGTGCTGCTGGCTCTTGGTAGCACTTTTCACAGCCCCATCTGCCCCAGCACCAACGGTGCTAAATGTGCACAGCATTTAGCATACCATTTGTCACTGACCACAGAATTAAGCATCTTGATCTTTCCAGATATTTTTTAAAATATATTAATCTCCCATCGCCACCAAGTTTCCAGTCCTCAGGGTTGTGAAGATAGCTTTTTAAGTGCATGAGTGGACATACAGAATGGCTAGCGAAGAGCCAGAGGAGTCTCAGTAGGATTTTCATTCCTCAAGGGGTTGTTGTTGGCTTTTCTGCATGCCTTGCAAATTTCTCCACCCAACCAGAGGAATAGTGGAAGCAAGCTGTGATGTAACTTGTGCAAATATATGCAAATTTGCTGTTCGATGCTATGTCTACAAGTTGCAAAATTTTGCTTTGCTTTTCTTTGCAGAGGTGGCTCACTCATTGCAGATTCCTCCACTCCCACCCCTCTTTTTCAGCCCTGAATACACAGTCTGCCAAAGGGCTGAAAAAAATACTCTGTTGCTGAGAGGTCGAACTATGAACCAGGAAGTTCCAAATTAAAATGCTGTCTCTTTTGTGCACGGACTAGATAGCCTTAGGCAAGCCACCATCGCAAGGCTTCATAGGAATATCGATTGCTGCTTCATAGACCAGGTCAGACTGCTTCTCCATCTTCTCTGAACCGCAGGGGCTCTCCAGGGTCTCAAACAGAGAAGGGTCTTTAATCCTATTGCTATGAGAGCTTCCTTGTTCTAATGAGGGCTGCCGGGGGCTGAACCTGGGAACTTTTGCACGTGAAGCATAAATGCTCTTCCATGCAGCTAATCATTCCTACTTTGCTGCCCACTGCCATAACAAAAATAATTGTTTTGACCTCCCTTCTAGGAGTGTCATGAGGATTATGTGAAGAATTTGGAGCACTTAAATGGTTAAGAATGATCAGTTCTTTTAAAAGCAAACTGTTGGATGGCCACATGCTGTAGATCTCAGGGTTCTGGTAACTGGAACAGCAACTTTTCGCATTCTGGTCACACAGGGAGGGACGGGCAACTGCAGGACATCTGGGTGTCACGTTGCTTCCCAGAAACTTCAGTACCACCACGAGCCACAATCGTGCCACACCGTCTGTAAGGTGCTCAAAAGAGAGGGGAAAAACAAAAATGGTGATTGGCTGTCAAAATTCTGCGTCAAGCTGCTCTGTCGTTCTGAAGAAGTTCAGTCCCGCTTGTTTTGCAGGCCAGCTTAATTTAGCGCTCTGCAGCAACAGCATACCATTTTGTTTGTTTTCAAAACGGGGCTTTGCCACCGGCTCATTCCTCCATATGGCAAAGGGCACGTGCAACCGGCATGCCCCATGTCGCCCACCCCTGCCGCACCAGCCGCAGGATGTTCCAGGCCTCTGACACTCCCTCCCAGAAAGCCTCTGCCCATGAGCAGGCCAAGTGGGAAGGAGGTGGGGCAGTGGACAGGGCCATCTCATGCGGGGGAACAGCACTGTCGGACACTCCCTTGAAAGCATAAAAAGCGCTCCGCAAGAAGCCAATGTATACAGCATCAAAGAGGAACAACAGGGTAACTCAGCCAGAATGGCTTGCCTATAAATGTTTGCTTTTATTTCCAGAGAGTTTGCTTGCTTGTTTATTTGTTTGTTTGTTCATTTTCTGTACCGCCCCATAGCTGAAGTTTGTTTGACTTCCACATGCAGGGATATTAGACATGGCATCCCCACCTTCAGAATGAAATGGTGCAGTTCCAGGGAGGTCCAGGGTCTCCCAAGAGAAATGTTGCTGCCTGAGGGAGACCCCCAACGCCCCTTCTGTGCAATTCCTCTTTGACATGGCTGGGAATGGCAAGCAGGAGGTATACGGCCTGATGACCAGGGGGAGTCTGGAAGTCAAGAGGCTGCCTGTAGATTGGTAGCTGCAGCGCTGGGTGCAAATAAAATAACAGGGTCGAGGGGCAGTCACTGGTGGGGGGGGAGCATCTCCCCACCCCCACAGCAATCAGCCCACTGTCAAGCGGAGGGGCTTCCCACCCCATCACCCTTTGACCTCCCTGTGTGTGTGCAGGGCACTGACAGGCAGAATCACCCTCCCAACTTGATGCCTTCCTGTGACCGCACATGGCGCTGACAGGCAGACTGGCCCCCACTCAACCTACCGACAATAAAAATATAGCCATAATAAAATTAAAAGGTGGTCTGAATGGTACCAAACTATCTGTGGTTTGAGATGGCTGCCTCTCTATGCCACTTTACCTTCTCAGGGTTTTGGCAGCTTATTCTATTCTGAACAGACCAGGCCTCTCGAGAGCCCCAAGAATGATCTGCTGGTTGGGTCAAATACTCCAAACTCTGTTTGTGGCTTGGTTGCCCATTCTTGCCCACTGCTGCTGCTGCGCTTTGGACAGCCAGTGGGAAGTTTTTTCCCATCGCTTTATTCCTACTCTAGGCCAGAAAAAAGTTGCCTTTGTGGCAGACAGCAATGAAAAAAGGAAGGGCAGAAATATGTGTCCCCCCTCCCCCTCCCCTGCTCTTTTACTTGCACCCTGCATTGCAGCCACCGCTCTCTGGGCAGTCTCTTAACTTCCAGACTCCTCCCTGGCCATCAGGCTTCATGCCTCCTCTTTGCCACTCCCAGGTCCATCGAGCAAGATTTGGGTACAGGCACAGCAACCCTTGACCCTTCAAGGTGTACAGATAGACAGACCTTCCAACAGAAGAAGTGGTAACACCTGATATTCCCATATACTTGAGAGGCTGAGAAAATGAAAGCAACCCTGTCTAATGTAAGTGTTCTGCAGGCTATAGAATCAATCTCTCTCTCTCATTCTCTCTCTCTGTCCCTCTCCCTCCCTCCCATATATAGATGCTTCCCCCATCACCCAAACTTGCCAGTTGTTCACCTTAGGGGCAAACAAAATGCAATAGTTCCTAAATTTGCTCAGGATTCCAGATTCTTCTTTGGAAATTCAGAGATTTCTTTGCAGAATTGGCTGGGTTTTTCAGAGTTCTTCCCACGCGGCAGCTTTTTAAGAGTATTAGGAGACTTTCCAAAGTCCAGTACCATTCAAATATACCACTGGACTTCACACAAGGGGCACAATTCTATTCTTGCTCCCATTAAGTTGAATGGGAAAAATGCAAAATGGTTTGAATTCATAGAAAACTTTCACCCAGCTCTCAAAACATCCAGACAGCTCCTCCTGTTCCATTTTCAGAAAATCCCTTGCATGTGCTGACCTCTGCAGTGAAACTCTGAATCTCTAGGTTAATGCAAACATGGGAAGGGAGCGTATGCCTTTTAATAGTCACATCGATCGTTTTCAGCAAGTGCTTTTTCCTTCTGGCAGCTGCTATTGTTATGAAATAGGTATCTATTGATGAATCCAAAGGGATTCTATAGTGTGTGGCAGCTCAAAACCCACCTCTCTCTTCAGCTCAGTCTTTTCTAAAGGATACTTTTTTTTGCCTCACCTCCAATGGGAGCCATTTTGTGATGGTGCCCAGGACAGTTTTTCAAATATCCAAATGTGTTCATGGCTCAAAAAGATTGCCTATGTGCTACGTTCTGAAGATTCACTGGGAAAGAGGCCTCTGCAGTGTTTGTGTTTCCTGAAATCTTCATAAAGGGAGTGTCTGTCCGGTGTATCTGTTCGGTGCTATTAAAAACCAGCCTCACATTTTGTCTTACCCTAAATGTGCATGAAAGAGATGTAGCAAACAAAAGGACGCATAAAAGTTTGGGAGACCACAAAAAGACACATGGTAGGGAGAGGGAGGCACCCTGCTTTTGAATTTGCACCATTTCAATCTGAGATTTGCACATACTAGTGTATGTATGTACACTACTCCTGTACTGTATGTGCACTACTCCTAGTTTAGGGCAATCATTTTTTGACAAGGAAACCAAGTTGTTTAGCAACTAATGTATTCCTCTCTCATGCTTATTTGTAGTTTCTGTGTTGCTCTTGTTGAGGTCTCAAATCAAAGAGGCTGCATACCATTCCGTTGCGCCAAGTACCCTGCCTCTGAGTAGTGGGATTCATGAAAGTTGTAGCTAATAAAGTTGTGCCTTGCTTTAAACCTATTTCCATGTGATTCTTGACCTCCTAGCTCCCATCCTTGCATCTTTGCAACACTGGGCACAAAGCATGCACCTATGAAGCACAGATGTAACATCACAGTGTGCTTGCTTGGGAGCTTCCCAGAAGCGTCTCATTGGCTACTGTGGGAAAACCAGATGCAGAAGTGACTGGACCTTTGATTAGATGTAGAAGCAGAGCTCTTCTTACAGTTTTAAGCTTCGTACTGTCTCAATTCATTTCACTTGAGCGGTTTCACCTGTCCAGATACGAGTCTTCTGATGTAAAGTAGTAAGGGAATCCACCATAGGCTGCACCCCCACCTCAAAATCAGAGCCACTGCCAAAATGTAACCAAAATTTGACATGTTCAGTGGTAGCAGGGGGCACAAAAGATGGTTGGGGGACACTACATGGCCTGAAGACCGCAAACTGCTGGTGAATTCTAAATAAATAAATGAAGGCAGGGATGGCTTTAAATGGAAAAATGGTATGTGGAGTTTTTCCATTTTGCTGTACCATTGCTTGCCACTTTCCATTTGCTGTTCTCTCCCCCGCTCATATTCTGTGAGCAGGGATCACTCCAGTGCAAGAAAACTGGTGGCGATAGGGCAGGATTACAGTCCAAGAAAAGTCAAGGCGGAGGATGCATCATCATTCCCTTCTACCTTGCTAATGTTCCAGCTTTCACTGCCTCTCTGCCCCAGCTTGATGCAAATGTAGTGGGATCTGTTGTTGTCACATGTCGCTTACCCCTTGCTACAAAAACATGCAGTACGGGAAGGTGCGGTCTGTTTCCTCCTTTAATCTGACCTTCTGTATTATGATAGGATAGTATCAGATAAATAAGTTTGCCCACCAGTTCTGTTTCAAAAAGCTGCAGCGGTGTTTTCCAAGTGACTCAAAATCACTGGTGATGAATCAGTCAACACTCAGCAGCCTGCAATCTGTTCAATATAGTATTAAAAAGCTAGCATCTAAAATGACTTTACAATTTGCTAGCTCTGAGGGATACACAACTAGGCTCTATGAGCTGTGCCAGGTATCCAGCAATCAAAGGAAGCAGCCTTCCTCATTTTGCGGCCTCCAAGATGTGTTGGACAGCAACCCCAGTATTCACCAGCCATTAGACCAACTCATCTGGAGGGTGACAGGTTGGGAAAAGCTTCAGTACAGAGTATTAAATACCATCCACTACCGTATGCTGAGAAAGTTGTCATCTACATTTAATGAAGACTAAATTGTGCAGGACTAATTTGACCAGCATGTGCAAAATATGACCCACCAAAATAAAAGCAGCCACACTATGTGGCCCGCCTGATGCTTGTCAAACATCCCTCACGCTCTTTTTTGGCAGGCAGCAAAAATATGGTGCTTAATCTGGACCTGTTTTATGTGGAACTACTGGTACAACAAAGATGTAACTGAGCTTCTAGACATGTCTATTCAGAAAAATATTTTAGGCATGTTCTGTTGATGTCAAAGGGCCTTGCTCCCTCACAAATATATTTAGCACCAAAGTCTAAATCAGGCTTCCCCAGATTGGTGCTGTCAGATATGTCAGACTACAACAAATTGAGCTGTTTGGGATGCTGTGCATTGTAGCCCTGGAAGGCACCAGGTTGGCCTAAATCAGAGGTCCTCAAACTTTTTAAACCGGGGGCCAGTTCACTGTTCCCTCAGACTGTTGGGGGGGAGGGCAGACTATAGTTTGAAAAAAATATGAGTGACTTCCTATGCACACTGTACATATCTTATTTGTAGTGCGAAAAACAGGAAAAAACAATACAATATTTAAAATGAACAATTTTAATCAACATAAACTTACTAGTATTTCAGTGGGAAGTAGGGGCCTGCTTTTGGCTAATGAGATGGTCAATGTACGGCTCCATATTTGCTCCTCTCTTCTGTATTCGGGGCCAACGCATGCGTGCAATAGGGGGAAGAGCCAGCGCGTGCACAATTCACGCTGGCAAGACCAGCACAGCAGCAGGAACAAGCCAGAGCTAACAGAGAGAGCCAGCGCACGCAGTTGAAGAGAGCTGTTACAATCTGGCACATGTGCCAGCTCTCTGCTAGTCTATGAAACTGAAAGAGTTTCAGAGTACACCTGCGCTGGCTCAGCGCTTCCAGACTCTTTTGGAGATCATTTTCACCAAGTGAGTCCAAAAGATTTGAGGCAGGCTGGGTAAATGACCTTGGAGGGCCGTATCTGTCCCACGGGCCGTAGTTTGAGGACCCCTGGCCTAAATGGTCCATCTTGTCATAACAAGACTTTATCATTTTCTAGAATGTCTGTGCTATCAAATCCTTATTTTTTTGATGGTGTTATTATCACTCTACAAAAGCTCTGTATTAATTTGCTATTATGGCAGCAAATTATTCATTTTGAGCTCAGTGTTAGGGCTATGTCATAATAAGCCAACAGGCTGAGACATAATTTGCAAATAATTTTAGCTGCATACAGTTTCCTTTTTTAGAATATTAGATAATGCATTTCATTTAATGTCCATATTTTGGTGCTGTTAAGATACAAATCAAATCGATCCACAGCAGTACCCTCCCTGCTTCTGTGACCCAAATCCATCCCCCTATATAGAAGTAGAGGATGAGCGAGTAAACCAGAAAAGAAGGAAGAGGAAAGCAGAGGTGAAATGGGCAGTTCTCATTTTTCGTAATGCTATGCATTGACCTACCTGGGAATCAGAAAGGGATGGTCTGCATGCCATAAAAAGGAAGTAAATTTCCTTTAAAAAAAACTCTGCAATAAAAAATTAATACACCGAGGGCTGTTTTAATGCAAGAATGGTCAGATCACAATAAAAATAAATAGGATTTTGAGTTCTTATGTGACAAGGTTGCTTTGCTGTTGCTACTTTATTTCTGCCGGGGTTCTTGACCTTATTACAATTGCACCAGGGGCAGAAATCCAGCGAAGCTCTTCTCAGCATGGAAATGCAACAGTAAGAAAAGCTATACTTGTTCAATTTCTGCCTGACATGCAACAACAAAGGCATATAGGACCCCTGCTGGAAAAATGTCAATGCTATGACAAGTGAGGTGGATGAAACCAAGGGGTCAGTCCAGCTGTAACAGCTCTTCTCGAGTTCTCCCATCTTGCATGGATTTACCCTTTCACTACTTGAGAAGTTTGAGGCAAGCAAGTATAAAACTAGTCTGCAAAGTGCGGAAATCTTGCAGTTCTTTCATGGATGTGTGTCATATTCAGTAGTGGGGACTGAATGCTCTCTCAGAATTTCAAGATTTGAATTTGTGCACCAAAATGCAAAATGTAGTTTCAAGATCTGAGTTAATCACACGGTGCCAAGAGAGCTTAGAACAGAATTGAATTACAGCAGAATTGCAAGGGCCAACAAGGCCATCAGGCTCAGCCTCCCGCTCAAGGCGTGATCCAAGTTAGAGCATCTTGGACAGCTGCTCAGCCGTATCTTGAATGCCTCCTGTGTGGGAGTGTCAACCACCTCCCTAGGTTATTGGCTGCACCGGTGCCATCTTGATCTTTGCAAGTCATATAAAGATAAAGATATACAAGGTTTCTGCTCTCAGGAACAGCGCATGTAATATTAACACATGTAATGTTTAGAAATAGAAAAAGGTTCTTCTCATTTTTGAAGTGTTCTTAGCTCTGAAATGAATGGGGGGCGGGGGAGGAATTCTCATTTTGATCCTCAACCCAGAATTCTAGGTTCTTGAGGGTGAAATAACCCAAGTTATACCCATGGTTTGTTCTTGGCTTATTATTTTGGATATTTTCTCCCTCAACAATGCAGAATTCTAGGTTTAGACATCATGCCCCTGGGCAAGTGGTCTGGAGCCAGCATGTTTCCTTCCAAACAATCCTCAATTCACAAACTGGGCAGCTGGTGACCTTTGTCATCTGGTAACCTATGCTGTGTAAGCAGCAGTAAACCACAGAGTGGGGATATATATTGCCAAGCATATCTGGGAAACTGAATGCCTTGTCTTCCTGTTCCCAGAGGTATTTATTTGCTCCTGGAAGTATGTCAGCCCTCCTATCACTCTATCCTGTCCCCTCCCCCACACCAGATGCACTTTAACATGTTATTGCTGCTGGAAATTGACCTTCAAAACATGCTGCTTGCCAGGCGAGGGCACTTCCTTACTTCCCAAGCTTTTGAGTGGTTAGGTAAACCATTAACTTTTCCAAATAAAGAATTTGACTTGCAAGAACAAGTTGTGCTCCTGGTTCTCCGGAATTAGTCATCTTTTCCCAAAAATGTGGGAAACCCACCTGACTCCACATAAGACACCCTAGAGCAGGGGCGAGGAACCTGTGGCCCACCAAATGTTCTTGGCTGTCAGCGGGCCGTGCTGTCACCTGTTGCTCCACCCTGTCTTGGGCTGTGCTGGCTCCAGGTTCATGAGGGTCCTGAGACAGGAGCTCCTGCTTCCTCGGTGACTCTGCCTTCTCGCCACATTTGCCACTGCTCTTCCTTCTGTTTCTCCTCACTGCTGCCACTTGCTTGCTTGACAGGCCAGCAGAGAGCCAGGGACAGGCTGCCGCATTTGCTGTTCCTTCTCACCTGCGCCACTGCTATCTGGGCCAGAGAAGGAAGGAGGCTGCCCTGGGGAAAGGGAGAAGCAACTTCATGAGGCTCTTGGCAATGAGGGCCCTGCTCTGTGCAGGTCCTTGGCAGGTGGACAGGGGGCCTGTCTGGGGTATAGCATCCTTACCTTGCTGGATCAGACCTAAGAGCCATCCTGTCTAGCATGCAAAGGCAGGGTGTCCCTCACCGGGGAGGTTCTATTTAGCTTTTGTGGTTAATCACTGTCCGCAGACATACCCTTCGTTACTTGTCTAATTGCTTTTAAAGCCTGTGGTCCTCTGCACACTTTATGGCAACAAATTCCATTAGTTAATTAATGGCTGTGAGAAGAGCTTTCTCTGGCTTGCCTTAGAACTCCTGCCGATCAGTCTTCTTGGGCAGCATCCAAGCTCTACTATGGGAAGGCCGGCATCCACAGCCACTGCGGGCACAAGGGCATCCAGCCCACCCAGGCCCTTGTTTGTCTGTGACCTGCTTTTTAACCAAACTGGCCTGGCATAGGGCACACAAGCCATTTGAATGCTATAGAGAAAGGGACCGACATGCAATAGCTCACGGGGTAAACATGGCTTAACTCTGCTCTCCCCAACTTGATACTCTCCAGCTGTCTTCAGCGGCCACTTCCGTCCACCTAGACCATTGATGTGCTGCCCGGGGCGATGGAAGTGGCTGTCCAGCACATTTGGAGAACACCTGGTTGGAGAAGATTGGGTAGCTGGAGTGTCCCTGTCTGGTGGCAGTAATATCTGGTGCTTGAGATGGAGAAAGCTAGTGCGGTATGGAAGCCAAGAGGCTGCTGGTTAGATCTGGTCACTGAATACTGATCCCACTGAAATCAGTGGGACCAAAGTTAAGCATGATTAACTTAAATCTCATGGATTTCAGTGGCTCTATTATTGACTCAACTTGGACCCCACTGTGTAAAAGGATTGCCTGCTTTGAACTTCCCCACTGCCATGAACTCAGAAGAGGCCTTAGGAAAGCCAATTCTCTTTCAGTCCAATCTCCGTCCCACACCCAAATCTACAACATGGGAAATAATAGTAATACTTTAGTAATAACTGACTTTACCATGTGGTTCAGGGTCATTGTGCGGTCTGAACTGGACCAGCAAATGGCAACCTTCCTGCCATGCGCACTCAAAGATACAAACTACTCAAGGTGCATAGTTATTTATTATAGTTATTTATTATATTATTATAGTTATTAGTGTATTATATTTTAATTGATGTTTTGTGAGCCGCCCCGAGGCTTCGGCGAATGGGGCAGCATAGAAATTTTCTAAATAAATAAATAAATATTTGGGCACATGAAAGAAAATCTCTCATGTGACTGCCACTGGGTTGACAGTAAAAATGTTAAGTGTAATGCATTTAAAACCTTAAGCATTTACCCCCCTTTTATATGGCCCGTGGCCTCAAGGCAGCTGCTTCACTCCACTGAGCCATAGTGCTGGCACTGTATGTTGCAATGCTCGCAACTACATAAAGCATATGTAGCACTTTGGACACACTAAATCGCTCTTCGGACATCATGTATCCTTGTCTCTACTGTTCCATTGCAAAGAATCACATTCACCCTTCCATTACGCAACTCCTTTTCCCACCCGTGCACAACATGAGCAGTTTAGGAACAAGCTGTTCATTCCCACCTAACCATATTTCTGGGGGAAAAAAATCTAAAAATCCTGCCATGCCCTAAATTTCCACCTGCTGTTTGGCAGTGGGAGGGGCCCATTTAAGCTCTGCCTGCTCTAATACAACAATGCACCACAACCGAGGCTGATCAGAAGCCCGACCAGAGCAAAACTGCTGCTTTTCACAAGCCAGTCTTCTGCGCTTCTAGCATAATTTGAGGTGACTGTTTTGGTGGGAAATCGCTGGCCTTCATTGGTGCTCAGAGAAGCTACTGAAAACTGGTCCCAAACAAAGGTGTAGCAACATCCCTAACATTTCATCGCCTGGAAATTCAGTAGATTTGTGGGCTGGATGATAGTTCCAGATTTTGCCTTGGACAGGACCACTTTGAAAGCAGTAGGTAGTATTTCTTTAAAGATGCTATTGTTTCAATATTTGCTTTATGCTTGTACAGCTGCCTATTTACTTCCCAGGAGTCCTGTGAAATCTCTGGATTGCGATGACCGCAACACATACCAGGGGGTAATGTCTCATTATAACTACAGTTGTTCAAAAATTGAACTATGTAGCAGTACGTTTTCCGTCCAACTCATTTCTGCCATGAACTCCCTTAGTGGTCTTGGCTGGTTGCTGCTTCTGAGCTTCTTATCTGCAGATGGTAGGAATAATACTGATCTACTCCACAGGTTTGCTGTAAGGACTACTGAGACAACATCTATGAAGTGCTCTGAAAGTTTTGTGTAATATAAATGCTGTTGATACAAGCCTCCTCCGCTAACATTTCCTGAGAACTCATCCACTTGAAAAGCATAATCCCTGACACGGCTGAAACGCCAGCACTGTGGCTTTGAATCAAGTTCTGCAGGGAACACAGAGAGAAAACTTGGGTAAGTCTTTCTTTCTCTCTCCATCTGTAAAATGGAAAATACAGTGACTGAACTCTCACAATGCTGCAGGATTCAAGGATCCCGGAAAGAGGGGAAAGCAATGAGCAGGTCAAAAGTGCCAGAAACTGCTCTAGCTACTCTTGTTAAAGAGGGCATTCAAAACAGTAGAGCTGGATGGGATGTTGGACTTTCAAAACTTTTCAAATGCTGAGTGTTTTGAAGTTTTCCTCTCATCTGATTTTCAGAAATTAGATTTGATAACAATATTGGGTTGTTTAGCTTTCTGTTTGTTCATCCATTTATCTGCCTGGCTGAATGAATGCCTTAATTTAATACACTGACTAAAGATTACCGTGAGTCGGTTTTTATTCTGGCAAAGGCTGCAAGATACTGTCTGTCAAATGCTGTTGACTGCTACTTCATAAACATGAGATGTTGTTGACCCCTGAATGTTCCTGGATCCAGAGAGTTGCTATCAGAATTCATAGAAGGGAGTTTGAAGGAGAAAATTCATTTGGGTTTGGTCCACAAATGCTTTCCTGAGGGCTGCAGCAGATGGCAATGGGAAGCATTGTTCTCATGGCAGCTTGTGAGGCCGATCAGATACCAGGGAGCCACTGTAGTCCAGTGGTTAGACTAGGACTGAGCAGACCTCTATTAAGCTGTCCTGGTACTTTAGGACAGTCACTGACAGCCTGGTCTACTTCACAGGGTTGTTGTGAGAATAAAATAAAGAGGAAGAGGATTGTGTAGGTTGCCATGGATTCCTTGCAAGAGGAAATAAGGCAGGATAGCGACATGACAAATAAATAGTAAATAATTAAATGGCTACCTCTTTCTGGGCCTCTGTACAAGTTTTAGCCTTCCTGTTATTTATTATTATTATTATTATTATTATTATTATTATTATTATTACATTTCTATGACATTTCTATTTAGATGTCATCAGGACCAGCTAACATAGCCAATAATTGTGTATGGTGGGATTTGTAGTCCAAAACACCTGGGAACGTGCCAGTTTTTTGCATTAAATGATCTGGTAGAGTCAAATGTGGGGGAAGCTCCCTGCTTCTCTCTCATTTGCACTTCACATCCAAGTCAGTTCTCAAATACCCAACATCTTCTAGGGGTTGCCAGGTTATAAATCCCTGACATAGGCATTACCAGGCAAGACTGTTTATGTCTGTCCCATGGGAAGATTTGTCACCTGCTGACATTTGCACAGCAGGTTGTTGTTCAGGGCACAAGAGCAGAACAGGGCATTTCTTTTCCTGGTCAGTTGGCAACCCCATTCACAGTTTAACTTGTGATGCTGTGACGTTACTATGAGGGGATTTTCCCTATTTTTCTACAAGCTGCAACCTTTCTCTGTCCCTCCCCTCCCTCAAATGTTTCCTCACCTTGTAGGGTTTGTTCAGGGTTCAGCTATTGCCGCAACTCTAGGGAAAATTAGTTTTTCCCCTGGCAGATGCCAGAGTACAGTGTGTGAAGGAACACACTCTGGAAGAAAAATTTGCAGTCCAAAAACAAACAAAGCAAAGGCTTAATCATGCTGTATGTGACACATCAGAAATGAACAAGAGGGTCAAGACTGAGAGAGCTACCAAACCTCAAATATGGGAATGTGCAACTAAACTCCATTGGTAACTTTGGTGGCAGCAATTGGGAAGAAGCAGGGACAAGAGGGACGAGTCAGTCACGGTGTGCCCCAAGAGCCTTTTTTAAAGTGCCCATCAGGGTTCAGTTACACCCATGACCAGCGTGCAGCATTGAGTTAGGCTCCAAGACACTGGTGTTGAACCTGTTTCAGTGGTGATTTTTGGTGATTCGGGTAGCCCGAGGGAGGAGGGACATTAGCATCTAGGGAACCACAGCAAGCCAGATGGGGCCTGTAGGTGGACTAGATTTGGCCCATGGTTGTTGAATTTCAACAACCCACCTCTGAGGGAAAAGTGTGCTGTTGTAGGTGTTGCTTAAGGGCAAAAGGCACAATGAGGTGCGTGGTGCACCGTTCAAGTCTCTCAGCTACCCCTGAGAAAAGCAGGGCACTCAACCAATAATCTATACAGGGAGCTGCTCTGAAGTGGACCTCCAGGCAACCGCCTGGCCTAGCTCAGGCCAAGCTGGGGCCTGCACATGCAGCCTCTCCTAGCAGGAGCAGGTATCACTGCGAGGATTGCTGTAGGAACGGCAGCCTGGTGAGGCTCTGTTTCCTCACGATGCAGCTTGGCAGCCAAGTTCTTCTCTTGCAGGTCCTCTCACACCGATGGACCAGAAGGCACTGAGCTTCTGTCTGGCTGGAGCATGGGTGGCCCTCCTCACCCTGCAGGGCGTGTACAGCCTCGCACCGACTAGTCCTCCCAAGTTGCTGGCTGGCGGGAGTGGATTGTCCCTGCTGGAAGACGCCACGCAAGAGCAGGGCTACTATTTGCAACAGCTCTTTGGGCAGTATGGCGAGAACGGCACCTTGTCCTTCGAGGGCCTGACCCGCCTGCTACTCAGCCTGGGCCTGGGGAAGGTGCAGGTGGTAGAGATCGAGCACGAGGCCCTCGGCCATGGCCACGTCTCCCATCTGGACATCCTGGAGGTCCAAGAGAACCAGCACTTGCACTCCCACTCGGTACTGGAGCACCTCAGCCACGCTGTCCTCAAGAGCAGGGCTCAAGCAGGGAGCACCTTGGCCACCAGGTAATCTCTCTGATCTCGGAAACGCTCCCTTGCAGTTCAGCCAGGAAGGCATTTTCTTATCTCTGTCATGCACGCTGTGCTACGGACAATCGCCCGGTGGCATTAGCACACATGGATCCTCCACCATAGCTGTAGAGTGAATTGAACATGCTCCTTGTTTAGACCTTGATTCAACAGGGGCCTCTCGTCTTGCTTACCTTATTCGTTTGTAACAAAGCTAACATTTTGTTAGCATCCGATGTTGATCGGGTGACTCACCTTTGGCCCTGTTGTTTCACCGAGCAACCTGTTGAAACTGGGCTGTTTAAACAACTTGGGATTTGAAAGCCTCTTCTGCTTACCAGCTTGACAAGAAGTTGAACTTTCACAGTGATCCGGCTGCCTCAGGCAATTATTCAGCTGTTTGTAACATTTCTGTACTGCCCGATAACCAAAGCTCTCTGGGCAGTTTAGACTACTCTACATTTATAATTTTAGCTGTGTTGATAAATACTATACTGAATTAAATCTCAAAATATGTTAGTATTGCCAATTAATTTGCCAGATTAGCATTAAATTTGAAAAAAACAACAGATGCTTAAATTTGAAACATTTCTTTTGGCAAAAACTTCTGCATGCAAATATGTAAAGGTGCTGCAAAATTATTTGCTGTTTTTGCTACAACAGACCAAGAACTCTAACCCTCTAGAAATTAAAAAGAATAAGGCTGATAGATTAGCTTTTCCACTGGTACTTAGCAAGTATCCTAAATTTCAGACTTCTGTTCCTTTGAAGTCAGTGGGATGGAGTCTGTTTAACTGTGTCAGGACTGTAAGCTAAGAGAGCCAGAGTATGTAAGCGTACCCATCTGGGTTGATGGTTTCTCATTACCTGCAGGCTTGGAATCCCTCCTTTGGGCCATGCAACCCTGACACCTACACCTCCGGCACTCCATGAGATCAGGCCTGGCTTTGGGCATGTACCAATGAAATCTGGAAAGGACAAAGAAGAACATTTCAAGGAACAATCAGGGCTGAATCTTCTAGAGGGAGTCATTGCCTTGGATCACTCTGTCTACAATCACCTGCACGAGGATGTAAGTATGAGAAGAGCTGGGAGTCACAGGGCTGAGATGCACCAATTCTTGCCTTACAGCTGAGCTGGAGACCCTCATGGCCATGTGCCTAACCCAGTCCTCCTGGGCTCCCAGAAGGCCTCTCCCCCTTTGCCCCAGCTATGGATTTCTGGCTTTTATGCAGTTTCCCCCTCATTCTAAAAGGCTTCAAATGCTCTCCTTATTTACTGACAGTAAGAAGTTCAGCTACGAAATGCTAGTATTCGTGGTGACTTGGACATGCCCCTTTAGCCAAACCCACACCTGGAATGCAGCCTGTGAGAGCTTCTCCAGAATTGATTGTATTCATGCATAGGACAGGAAGGGGAGTGGTTAATATCCATAAAATGGGAGGAGTCAAGGGCAGGGGTCAGTACTGCCTGGACGTCACACCCTCTCCTATCCTACAAGTGCAGGGTCTCTCTGTGATTCTCTGCCTTTGCTCACTTTGAGCACTTGCTTTTCTTCATATATTCTAGGGCTGAGCCATACTCTCCAAAAACTCTTTGAAGGCTAAGCCCTAGTGAGTCCCGACCCAAAAATCTAAATGTAGGTTCAAGAACTTGATTTCATGACTGGCTTTTGGCATCTTTACATCTGAAGGAAGGAGTAAAAATGACATCTTTCTCTCCCACCTCACACAAAGGATTGGCGCTAATGTGAAACACACACATTCACACTGTGGGAGGCAGTAACCAGCCTTTCTGGAGTCCGCTGTCTATGCATCTACTTTCTGTCGTTCCATGGAGAGACTGACTGCAGTTGAAATTAAAATACGGAATTGCCAAGTTCATGTCTCTACTCAAGCCCACTAGACCATCTTGTGCAGGTCACTGCTTGTTCCAGTTCTGTTGCAACTCCTTGAGTGCTCATGGGCTAATGGAAGGTGAACATATCTGCACCTGAAGAGACAACCAATTCACACCAGTAAATCGATGTGCTGAGAAGTGAATGGGACTGTATGGAGTATTGCATAGCATGTGTGGACCATCTGCTGGCTACCTTCTGCTGGATGCCTGATCTTTGGGTGCCTCCCCAAAGGGCAAGGAGGACTGGGGAAGAATGGTGGAAGTGGCGGCTGCCATTGGTGACTGCTGCACACTACCATGAGGCAGAGTGAGGGCGGGTGCTTCGGGCAGCAGATGCTGGGAGGTGGCAGCAATGCTTCTGGAAGAAATCCATGTGCAGGTAGCCTGCCCTGTGTTTGCCTTGCATGCCATCAGCCAGCTTCCAGCCTTTAGGTATCGGGGGGATGCTGTCCCGTCACCAGTCACTGACAAAAGGCTTAGTTGCCCCTCCAGTCGATTTTTGTACATGGAACGGGATGCACGGAGTCATCCGACAAAATGACAACAAAGTGACTTGGGCCAGCCCTCCCGTGCCCTTGGGTGACCCATGGCAGCAATTTGATTGGTCTCACGTAACTTGCTGTAATGTGAAGGAAGACGTCTTGGTTTGATCAATTTAGCAGCAAGAATGGCGGAAGGGGACAAATCTGAACTAAGATCCATGCTGAGATTTTATAACGAGTCTTTCTCCATGAGCCCCTTTTGCAAGCTTGCGGTTCCTCACATGGGTGTTGGAGAGTACACCACGTGATGACGCAATCATCTCCCAAGCCTCTCCCATTCTTTGCAACCATTTCTATGGTACTTTTTTTGGAAGGAGTAAAGTATGGTGTTAATTGGAAGGGCAGCACAAGACCCTCCTGTATCTGCATGATTCTGCTGTGCTGCCTTATGATTGCGCAACAGAATATATAGAAAGGCAGAGAAGGAAAAACCTGGAAAAAAAACAAGTAAAATTGATGTTTAATCCCACAAAGAATCTAGAAGAAGCCTTGCTACAGTTGCAGGATAAAACCTCATGTAGAAGAACCCAACGTTTTACATGTTTTACAGAACCAACTATATTAAAAGTGCTACCATAAAATGTGTGTACAGTATATATTTAAAATAAGCACGAAAGTGACGTTGATTACAATATTCTACCTTTACATTTCTAGGCATATAATTCTGTGATGGAGGCTAATGTTTCTGGGGTTGTCTTTAACCTGTGTCACCCAAGTTAAACACTGGACCTTAATCACCCATTCCTCCCCCATCCTTCTTGCTGCAACTTCTCAACTTGGTTCACCTCCAAAACTGGCAACATGTTTCCTGATTTCGAGTTCCTCTTGCTGTAGAGCTGCAAACTGAGAACTTTGATCAAACTAATGATGGGCAGTTTTTCTGGCAGCCCATTAAAGTTTGGTTGGAGGTCCAGAGCTCAGTCAGGCATAATTACTCATTCCCGCAATAAGCCCCTTCTGTGTTCTGTTTCCCCTTTTCTTTTTCCCCTCCAGTGTCTCAATGTGTCACAGCTACTGGTAAATTTTGGCCTGACCTCCGTCTCCAAGATCACGCCAGAGCAGTTCACCCTGCTGTGCCCAGCTTTGCTCTACCAGATTGACAGCCGTGTCTGCATTCAGCACTATGATGAAGTGACGTTTGGCGTGGTGGGGAGCTCACTCTGGACTGGTAACTTGGGCTGCCTTCCTCAAAGCCCAGCTTAGGAGCCTTAATTGCCACCCCCATCCCCCCACCACAAAAATAAAAATTAAAAAGGGGGAAAGCTCATGTGGTTTTTAGGGTACTTTGCTGGCAGCCAAATTCCTGTTGCTGCTGCTGCTGCTGTTGTTATCATCACATTTCTGGACAGCCTGTAGCAATAGCTCCCTTGGCAGCTCACAACATTTAGTCACCCGTCCTGACTTCAGCCAGGCCTGACCCTGCTTAGCAAGATCAGGCATTTCAGGCTGTTTAGAAGTTATTTGCAGGATGGCCTTGCAGACATGATAGCTATAGACCTTGGCAACCAAAGGCTGAACCCTAAAAAAGAAAAAGAGCATTCGTAGCACTTCCAAACTGCAGCTGAACTTATAGAAGGGAGCCTGGCAAATGATGCTATTTCATGCCTTACCATTTTAGTAACTATTTATGTACCTATTGATTGCAATCCTTTGCCCCTCAGGTCAGCACCTATTTTCAGTTCAGCTCCTTTGTTGCTACTTCTCCATGGCTTTCCAACTTCATTGCGAGCCCACACCTTGTGCCTGATCCAGTGCATATGTTTAAAATGCACAGAATAAAATGCATAGCCCTCCTCTCAGAACAACGCAGTGTGTTTCCCAAGGAAGCCGAATCATGTGTTGCTGTGTAAATTGCTTCTACTGCATGCTGAAGCACCAGTTTGGATGAGCTTTTGTGCAGAGTTCCTTAAACACTAAGGAATTAGACCCACACCAATCCGCTGGCTAGAATTTTGTTGCTTCCTCTCCCCCATGCACATCCTAATCACTTAATTTCTAGGCTACCGTTCAGAGAAGACCTGTTGTCCGTAAGGGGCTCACCAGCTTGTAAGCTAACCGCTCCAGTGGGTGAAACGGCATGTCACAATCTGTGGAAAAGACATGCTACATGCATCTCTTCCATGGGGATCGCTGTCTGTGGTGGGCAGTGGTGGGGAGTGAGAACATGAGCATGGCCTGTAGAGCAGGGCCCCACAGGCAGCTGCTTCTAGAACTTCTCCTTCCAGCCACTTCTTGCTCACGCTCTTTGTTTCCTACAGGCCTGGGCTGGGGTTTTTTGGCTATCACCCTGACGAGTCTGCCCTCGGTGCTGGCCCTTGTCCTCGTCCCTCTCCTCAGCCGTGAGCTCTTCCATCTCCTCCTTGCTTTTCTTGTGGCACTGGCTGTGGGGACGCTGTGTGGAGACGCATTGCTGCATCTCTGGCCGCACGTATGTACCATCCCTCTCCCCTTTTCCTGGGGTGACATTTTCTTTTGGCTATTTCTTGGGGGTGGGGAGCCACAGCCGAACCTTCTCTGCCTCGTGGCGCACCTGCCACAGCGGAGATGGCGCTGAACGCTGTTGTGCCTTGCTGTGCTGCCACTCGGGAAGACGGGACAAATCTGGCCATTCCGGAGTACCTGGATAGCCATACTCCTTTCCCCCAGCTGCTGATCTTTCTTGCCAGTCTTTGCATGTTGTCCCCGCATTCTGAAAGGTTGAAATGTTTAAGGCTTAGCTACTGGCAGTCAGAGCTTGAAGTGGAAATATTTTTGGTATTTTGACCCTGCCCATCGCTGGAATGTGCACCCCTCTGAGACCTTCTGTGCATTTATTTATCCTCTGGGCATGTTCCACCCGACCCCGCACTGTGCTGTGCCCATTCACCAAAGCATTCCAATATGTAATTGTCAAGTTCTATAAGACCTCCCCTGAGAGCACCTGGTTTTCCTTGCTAATATTTCCCTGCTATTCATTTACTTTATTTATTTTTGGACTTATTGTCTGCTACATCAGCCCAAAGGCCCTCTGAGCTAGGGCAGCCCAAGAGGCTGGAGAAATTGGAATATCTTCCAACTCCAGTGTATAGGAATGGGGGAACAGTTCTCTCTTGACCAATCTTTGCAGTGCTTTCACACTTGAGAATATCATTGTTTATGAGAGACCAGCAGACACCTGATGGTTTGTTAATATGAGAGAGCCACCTGTAATGAGGCTGAGAATGCAGAGCAGTGAAGGTGTGTACATTTGCTACAGTGAAGAGGCACGCAAGAACTGCTTTAAGCTTCATCTGTGAACCACACTCTCAGCACCTCTCTTAATTACCACTGCACAGTGGCGCATCCCTTCCAAGTGGGAAGGAAACTGCTTGGCTCTGTTGATGGTGATTCTTTGCTAAGGGGATGCCCATGTTGCAGCCCAACCCCTTTTGAGGCAGCGGGTTGGTTGATGACAATCCAGGTGAAGAGCTGAGCTCCTGATTCCAGTTGTAGCAAAGGAACAGTCTCGGGAAGCCTTAAAAACCAACAAATCTATTCAGGCATAAGCTTTCATGGACTGGAGCCTAAGGATGAAAGAGAGACAAGAACCCATCAGTAAACAGAGCTTCAGAGATGAAGGCTGCACCTATGAACAATTCCTCGTAGACTCCGCGGGACTCACTTCCCGCGTTCAGCAAGTCTTGGGAGCTTCTGCACTGCAATCTCTGCATGATGGTGGCAGATTTGTGTTGCTGCTAAATCCTTATAAAGTCCTTAGTGTGGAGGGGAGAGGGAGAGAAAGAGATTTTTAGCTGGAACCAGGAGGTCTCGCCTTCCATTTTTAAAAACATGTATTTGCTGCCTTCCCCCTTTCCTCACTCAACGGGGTTGCTTTCATTCAGGCGCAGGCAAGCCCCCACGGACTCCTCGCACCAAAGCATCACGCGGGAGTGGAAGACGCAGTCCTGAAAGGCTTGTGTGTGCTGGGAGGCATCTACTTCCTGTTCCTCATTGAGAACCTCATGGGGACACTCAAGCATGCTTCGGCAAAGAGGGTACGTGGTGCACCAGCTTTTTCCGGGCTCTGAACAGAGACCTGGGCAATGGATGAGATTGCAGCTGGTGCTTTTATGACTGAGGGAGCCCTCGCCATCAGCCTCCCTCCTCTCAGAGGCAGAAAGCCCAGGCCTGTTGGTGCAGGTTTCTGAACGAGCCCTAGATGACCAGGTGACCGGGCTGTGTCCAGCCAAACAGAAGCTTCCTCCATGGGTGAACTGGAAGTAGCAAGTAGGCACAGCCAACTGGAGGTGCAGGTAGATTACTGCCCCTGCATCAGACTGAGCTGCTTGTCCTAATCCTGCTAGACCCACAGCTCCCATTTGGAAAGCAGCAGTAGTTACCGAAGCCTTCCTCTGATGCAAGCATGTCAGATGTGATCACTGTTTCTGTGAAGGATGCGTCCTCCTATCTCCACCCCTGGGGTGGGGTGGGAGGACCCACCCTTTGGAAGATCCGGCCCCTGCTGGCCACTGGTGTGCCACTGCTTAGAGCATTCTGAGCCTACAACACCCATCATCCCCAAGATGCAGCTTCACCATGTTCTCTGCTTTCCCTTTTTGTCTGCAGAAGTCCACGAGTGGCCCTTCTCCTGTGAAGAGGGAAGAGAGTAGCACAGTCAGCGTAAGGACCCCCTGTGGTGAGTCATGGACAGCCCTCTGCCTGGAATCCCCCCTAGCATCGCGGCTTCTTGGGGCTCTCTGTCTTGCTGTGAAAGGTTTTGTGTGCTCGTCCGCCTTATCAAGCTGGGCTCGGGTGTGCCAGGGCCAGGCACGGAACCCACTGCACAGTTACGGGTGCTTGAGTTTCAGTAGAACAAATGGAGGATAAACGCAAATGCAGCACCGGCCTGTGCATGCCTATCCAGACGTAATCTCACTGTGTTCAGGGGGACTACTCCCAGATAAGAACACAGACGCAGCTGAGCCTTGGGTTGGACGCTGCTTTTGAAGGCCGTTCCTTTGCTGCCTCTTGAGCAGCTGGCCCATTTCTTTGCATCCACATCACCGTTCCCACGGCTCTTCTCTCCAGCAGTGCTGCATTTCAGAGCCAATCCCAGCCTCCATGATATGATGGGGACCACACTGACTCACATGCGGAAGGCCTTTCAAAAGGGGGCTCGACGTAACCCCGAGAGTGGCTGAGTGGCTCTCTCTGAGCAGACCTGTGCCCATGTTGCAAGGTCAATATAATAAAATCTTGGAATGTGGTGAACAGGGAAACTGGCTAATACAGGTTTTGCCAGACAGATGGTTGATAGCAGCAAAAAATACTCCATAAATCCATCTGGATGAGCCATGAATTATTCCGGAATGCATCCTCTCGTTGCGAAGTAGCTTCTCCAGGCTGGGGTAATAAAGCGGAGAGGTGATGCAGTGATGGGTGACAGAGCTGGGTGGACTGTGGGGCTTGTCCTCCACCCCCTAAGTTAACCTGCAGCCCTTGAACAGGGCAGAAAGGGCTGTCCAGTCGCCTGCAGGCAGCTGCCAGCTTCTATACCTCATCTGGCACAGGCCCAGAACAGCTTTAGCAAGGGTTCTTGGCAGTGTGCAAATGGGTCAGATCCAAGCTGCTTTGGGTTCCCCAGATGACCACAGCCCCTTCCCCACAACTGAGAGTCACCTGGTGGCTTCCAGACTTAGCTGCATTCCTGCACACCATTCATCACTGGCTGAATCAGGTTTAAGCTATCCTATGCTGGGATTTGGGGACTGGGTAGGGTGGGGGCGTGAGTGACTGCGCCCCTTTTGTGTCTGCCACCTCACTCTGCCTTTGTCCCTGCCACCCCGGAACGCAGACTCTGAGAGCACCTTTGCAAGGGAAAGTGGCTCTTGGCTGCAAGAGGTTCAGTTCGCAGCGGCTCTAGCTCAGTGGTGGAGCACATGCTCCAGGGCTTTCTGAGGCCTTGCAGGTCTGCTGCCAGCCAGAGCAGGCGATATTAGGCTAGAAGGACCAACTCAGTCTAAGTTGGCATCACGTTGCCTCCCAACCTCAGGACCCTTTTTTAGGCCCATGTGCTGCTACGACCCAGTTCTCCCACTGTGTTCGGGGGTAGGTGGAAAGCACGCCTGGCACCTTGGCCTGGCCCTTACTCAGGCATACTATACTCTCTGTGGGGACCCAGTGCCTGGATGGTGCTGGTGGGGAGCAGGGATCCGGGCCAAGATTTGTGTTCTTGCTCTGGATTGCCTTCAGTCGCTGAATCTCAGAGCCTGACAGTGCCAGAAGGAGAAGCTGGGGATCTCTACAGTGAAGTCCAGGACTGCTCCATTCAGATTCGCAGCTTGGAAGAGAGTGAGGCAAGCCCAGAGAGGCCGGCCGAAGAGCTGCATCACCATGGTCATTCCCACGTTCTGGCTGGCACCGCCAGTGCTGGCATAGCAGACATCGCCTGGATGGTTATTCTTGGGGACGGGGTGCACAATTTCACAGACGGACTGGCTATAGGTAAGGGATTCTTAACCGGGGTGGCTGTATTCTTGGCTCCAAATAAAATAGCAGCATCCAACTGCACATGGAAGGAACTCAATTTGTGGGCCCAATCCCACAAAGGTTAGGCTAGAGACAGAGCTCTTTTCAAAACACTGACAGTGGTTTCAGAGAGGGAGGGAGGGAGATCATTTTCCATGGTGTGTGTGCACACATTCACATGCCATCTTTGTCTCATACTATGCATTATAATTTTAGCAAGGTTGTTTCAAATGACTTGATGGTATTTGCTGTTCATTTTATTCCTTTCCTTGGAAATGTTTTATTGAAAAGTAGGCTTAAAGTGTTCTAAAATAAAATTAAAAATAGCAGAGGAGGAGGTGGGAGGAGTGTAGGAACAACAAGCTGCAATTCTGATTTCAGAACTATATTCAGCATTTTGGGAGTAATACAAGTTTACCACTCCCTAAAATGTTATATATTTACTATGTTTATACCCTGTCCTTTTTTCCTGTCATGGCTCAAGGCGGCTTATGACAGTTCTGTGACTGAGGCAGGACAATGACCTCTACAAGTCTTATCTGGAGGCCGGGAGTTCCAGGTCTTTTTCCCCCCAAATGTGCACTAATCTGGCATTCTGTGGATTAGTGGTAAAAAGGGCCAGTGGTTCTAGCCATCTTGACTTTAACTCCTTCTCCCATATTAGGGTATTGAACATCTTTCAGCCCCAGAGCTGAGTTCAGTTCTAGAGCAGGATGCCTAGGCAGAGCCAAAGGTGAAAAAAGTCAGGCCAAACCCCTCACTGATTGTAATTATGCCTTGGAGGTATTTCAGCCTTCTACCAAAGGGGCTGTAAGATAGAATGTGGACTTATGTGGGCTAGGAAAATAAACATCAACATTGCTGTACATCTCCCTCCCTCCCTCCCTCCCTTCAGTTTCAATTTGGATGCTGCTACACTAGTCCTTATGTGGACCCTCTGTTAGTTGCCTTTCTTTTCTTGGAGTCAAGCTACGTAGATCTTGAACTATCTGAGCTGGCTGAGAAGAGAACAGGAATGGCTGTAAGTTAAAGACTCAAAAAACAAGAGGCTTTTTCTTGGCTAAATGCTGGATGATGCCACACAGTTTTGAAGTCACTGTTGTTTAGCCAACTTGAGCTAACCTGTCAGGAGAAAGGAAAGGTCTCCTAAAGCTTCCCCAGCCTTTGTAAACTGGAGCTTCCATCCCTTAGGAGCTGCCTTCTCTGGCGGACTGTCCAGCGGTTTAAGCACGACATTGGCTGTACTCTGTCATGAACTGCCCCATGAACTTGGTAGGTAAATCAAATTTTAAATAACACTCTGCCCCTGCAAGCATTCACAGATCAAAACAATATCCTTTTCCACGCAGGCTTTTCTAACTACTCGATGTTTTATACTGCTGCTGCTGTTTTTGATCTCTTCTATTTTTCTGTTAGCAGCAGTCCACGGAGCAGCACTTCTTTGAGTCAGCAAAGAAACTCTGTACACACATCAGAGTTTTGCCCACCTGCCCTTGAGGGTTCTGTTGATTATGCTTAGCTGTGTTTGGGTATCTAGGCTTCATGATCTCGGAGCCACGGCATGGGTGGCTGGGTAATGTTTCTCACAATTACAGAGCTAGCTCTCACAATTACAGAGCTAATGTTTCAAGACTACAGTGAAATCAGTGACGACCAGCATATCTAGCAAGTCTGAGCCACCGCGTGGTTTTGAAAAGTGTAGGCTTTTGCTCCCCCAGGCCCCTGCAGCAGAGGTGTGGCCTTGCCGTCTCTCATTTCCTCTTCCTTTGGCAGGAGACTGTGCCGTCCTGCTGCAGGCGGGCATGCCTCTCCGGCGAGTGCTGCTCTTCAACCTGCTCTCAGCTTTCCTGGCTTACTGTGGTACTGCGCTGGGGACATTCATCAGTCAGAGCAGCTCAGAAGTCACCCCCTGGATCTTTGCCATCACAGCTGGCATTTTTCTGTATGTGGCACTGGTGGACATGGTAAGGAGCCGTCTCTGGGCAGTGTTCCTCTCTTGTTGGCATGATGTTCACATGGGGCTTTGGCCTGGATTCAGATTTGGTTACATGGAAGAACAGACTCACTGAAATCCATGGCACCTAGGTTCATTCAGGATGGATCCATAGTTTAAGGATCCTTGGTTTGTTGTCTTTTGTGCTTGTTCGCTACTCTTCCTCTGAGGAGCTCAGAGCGGCATCTTCTCCAGCAACCATGTGAGGCAGAGAACACCAAGTTAAGCTGAGAAAGAGCAACTTACCACGCCCACTGATCAGGGATATGAACTTTTTTCAACAGCTTGAGCCCTAAAATGTAGTGCATGTAGTCCTAGCCGACACCCACCAAGAACTCATGAACACAGATGCAGAAATAGGAGAATGATAACTATTTGGACAAGTTGTAGTCAACCTACAGTTGGCAGTTCTTGAAATAATATAAGCAGAGGCTGTTCTCTGGACAGCACGTCAGGTAGGTGTTTCCTGGAAACAGAATTCAGAGGAACCTTCCCTATTCACCAAGCCAGAAAAGAACATCAGAAGAAACTTTTTATTTCTGTCCATTGATATTCTCACATTTTATAAGCATTCTTCCATTTGGAGAGCTTGGTATTTATACAACATAACATTATGTGGCAACTTTAAGACTGCCAGAGTTAATCTCATGTCAGATTCATCTTCAGTCTTGAAGATGCCACAAGACATTGTTGGTTTTGCCATATTAGACTGACAAGGCTACCTCTAGACATGGGTATTCCTATGTTGTTAAAGTCTTCCTATGCAGTCTTCTGTTTTCAATGTTATCTATTTTTCAGATTCAATCTGTGGTCTTTTTCCCACTTAAAATGCAACTGCAGCATAAGCATGCCTGGTTTGGACAGGAAAATCATTCCCGCAGCCTTTCAGAGCTATTGTGCCTTTAATTAGAAACTTCTTCCTCTAGAAGGAAAGGCACTCTCTAATTGCAACTTGCTCAACACAGCTTAGAACTGTTTTTTGCTCATGTTTCTTTTATTTTAGTGTGAAATTGCCATCTTCTGGATTCCATAATTGCCTTTGGCAAAAGGAAGTTTCCCTTGCTCCATTTGGAGGATATCTAATTCCTTACTCTTTGTGTAGCATTTTCAAGGGACTAGGGAGGGGGGGCATTGCAGTGGGAGAGGAAGCAGGGACGACACCAGCTCTGTCATTTCTTCCCCATCCCTCACCCACCAGAAAAGGAACCAATTAGCCAGCTACATATATGTAATTAATTAGAAATGCCTAGCTGCAGGAACAAAACCAATGAAAAACGAAACACATGAAGTTTCATGTTGGTATGTCTACAGCCCCATCTTAATTCGTTTGGAGGCTGTGCAGGGGCTGGGCTGGTCAGGGGCTTTGTTGTCAGCCGGCAGGTGGGATTGCTAAATTGGAGTAGGGGGTTGTGGGGGTGTTTTTAAGTGTTTTTAGTTTATTTTAATGGAGTCGTTTTCGACTTCGAATATGGGGTTGCCTGGGGAGCATGTGGGCGCCACCATTGGGGTGGTCACAGGCAATGGACATTATGGCGTTGGGGGGTCTAACGTGTCCGCGTAGAAGAAGGAGGGACAGATGGTTAACACCTTTTCCTCTTTCTGGTTATTCCCCCAGCCTGAGGGTTCCAGGTAGGCTTGTCAACCGCCCCCTAGGCCTGTTGGTGCTGTTGCTTAATGCCGGGTTGGTCCATAATAAATCTTCCCTCATCCATGACTTGATTGTGGATGAGGGGGCTGACCTGGCTTGCGTTACAGAGACCTGGGCGGGAGAGAGGGGGGGATGTCTCCCTCTCTCAACTGTGCCTGCCCAGGTACCTGGTCCAGCACCGACCACGCCTGGACGGGAGGGAAGGTGGGGGTCACTTTGGTTTACCGAGCCTCTATTTCCCTCACGGGGCTTCCTGTCCTCTTGAGGCCGGGTCTAGAGTGCCTCTACTTGGTGTTGGGTGACCGAGACAGACTGGGGATTCTGTTGGTGTACCGCACACCCTTCTGCCCAACAGACTCCCTGCCTGAGCTGACGGAGATCGTCTCGGACTTGATGTTGAAGACCAACATCCTGGGGGACTTCAATCTCCACGCCAAGACGGTTCTGACCGGGGCGGCTCAGGACTTCATGGCCTCCATGATGGCCATGGGGCTGTGTCAACATGTCATTGGCCCGACCCATGAATGTGGACACACTCTGGACCTGGTTTTCTCAACGGGGCAGGAAGAGGGTGATCTGAAGGTGAGGAACTTGTGTCTGACACCCCTGTCATGGTCAGATCACTTCCTCGTGAGGTTTGAGCTCAAGAGCAGCCTTTCCCTCTGTAAGGGTGCGGACCCAATTGTGTTGGTCCGCCCCCAGAGCCGGATGGATCCAGATGGATTCCTGAAGGCCCTGGGGGATTTCCCAGTTGATAAGGCTGGTGCTCCTGTCGATGCCTTGGTTGAACTATGGAATGGGGAAATGACCAGGGCTATTGACATGATCGCTCGTAAGCATCTTCTCCCACCTGGCAGAGCCCGTTCATCCCCCTGGTATACACCTGAACTACGGGCAATGAAGCGGGTTGGGAGATGTCTAGAGCATATGTGGAGGAAATCACGGGATGAATCTGACCGAACACACTTAAGAGCCCATTATCAGGCCTGTGCTGTGGCGGTGAGGGCGGCAAAGAAGAAATTCTTCTCTGCTTCCATTGTCTCCTCACAATGCCGTCCAGCGGAGCTCTTTTGGGTGGTACAGGGGCTGGTTCACCCGGGCCCCAAGAAAGAACTTGTGCCACCCTCGCCAGCCCGCTGTGATGACTTCACCAAGCATTTCAAGGAGAAAATCACTCAGATTCGTCACGAGCTGGACTCTACCAGTGAATCAGAACCTTTTGGGGAGGTGCCAATGTTGCCGTCTGGTCCAAAATTATTGGATGAGTTTCAGTTGCTGTGGCCTGATGATGTGGACAAGGTGCTTGGACAAGTACGTCCTACAACCTGCTTATAGGACCCTTGCCCATCTTGGCTACTTAAGAAAGCCAAGGAGTCTAGCATATGAACGGGACGGCATGAACTACATGGTGCCTTCCAGGATGGGCACATCTACACAATTCCCTAGCTCTGGTACTGTCACCAAGTTTCATAGTGGCTCTGCTGAGGTGCATTTCACAACAGCCTGATGTACAGAAATGAAGCAAGTAAAGCTTTTCTCATAACTTTCTCTCTTTAACAAAGAACACACCAGCTAGTTCATTTCTACAGATCAGATTCCTGTTCAAAACAGAAGTGCTGAGCTGCAGAAGTGCTCAAGGCCTCAGTAAGCAAAGGCCGCAATGATGAAGTTGAAGTGCTACTGCTTGGTGGTGGTGGCATTTTCAAGGACAAGGGCCTGTCTGACTTACTCGCAGGATATTTATTGTCTGCTACCAAGCAGATAGTTGATAAATGGAACGGGCAAGGAGATAACTGATAAATATAACAGGCTATTTTCCTTCTCTAGCTACCTGAAATGCTGCAGAGGAGTTCTACCAGGGGCAAAAGAAGGTCTCTTGCACACTTTCTTCTCCAGAACCTGGGCTTCCTTAGTGGAGGAGCCCTCATGCTTTGCATCGCTCTCTTCGAAAGGCAGATCAGTTTCCATGTGGACGGGTAGCACTCTTTACCGTGGGACTCCTGAATACGAGAGGCAATGAAGGCCTGGCCCACTCCGCTGAACCACTCCCTTCCTATAGGCCTTGGAGAGGCTGTGGAATCCCGCCCCCCATGTGCTCATCTAAGGCAGCTGGGGAGAGACCTGAGCGAGCCCTGAAGAAACAGTGATCCACTTCTCTGCCTTTTGCCCCAGTTTTCCTGCATTTATTGTGGCAGAACAGTGTGCCAAATGGAGGGCATCGCTGCCACGCTCAGCCTGGGTTGCTTCTGTAAAAGGAGAGCTGTCACTCTCAGTCGTGGGAAGCAGGATATTGAGAGCCGCTTCACAAAGTGGTTAAGCGCCTGAAAGCTGGCAAGGAGGTTGGTGGGAAGAAGCACTGCCTGCATTCCTTGTGTACAGCTGGTTTGTTAAGTGGGATGGGGAGATTATTTAAACGACTGTGATTATATTCAGCAGTAATTCTTGATATGAAGTGGAGGTCCCTCATTGCACTTGAGTTAAAAAGATGTTTCCAACATAATTATTTTGCTGGGGTATGTTTTGGGATGTGTATGTGGGGCAGACATACATGGCCAACTCCTGCAAGCTCTTGCTGTCATGAGACATTCCTTTACACCTAATTGAGAATCAAGTAGAGAGGCAGCAGGCTACCCAGAGCCTCCAAACTCACGGCCCTGAACTAGGAGGCTAAAAGCCCCTGGATCCTACAAGAGCTGTTCTCACTGGTGCTCCATGTCACTGCAGGTACGGACTGGAAGCATGATGTCCTCAACCCCCCCACCCCACCCCACCCCACCCCACCCCACCCCACCCACACCTGAGAACCAAGGCAAATGCAGCAGTAAATATGGGTAAACGGGGTGAAAGCTTATACCTGGGTCATGATTATAGAAGATTTTAAGATTTAAAAACAAGCAGATTGCATAGTATCATTTCCCCAGTACTTGAATTAACCCCTGCCCACTGCCTACATTTCAAGGCAGAAAAAACAAGGCTGAGGCAGATAGAAGCAACAGCATTTTAATAAACATAATTGATTCAAAGCCACAATATGAGTAACAGGACCTGGTCGCAGCATACATTGTAGAAAATAGATCAAGTCTGAATGCTTTTTTTTAAATTTAGCATTTAAGTTCCTGTTTGATCCCTCCCTCCCTTCCCCCCAACCCCCAAAAGGTGATGCAGAAATTCTGAAAATGCATATATAACATCCGAGACAAAAAGTAACCATTCACTGGGTTCACGTAAGGGGCTTATACAAGGTGGCTTCCACGCTGTGCAGGGTTGGGGTATGTGGAAAGAGGATGGATGGCTTGTGATAGCTCTGCTTTCTTTATTGTCCTCCAATATATATTTATATAGAACTTTTCATATATTGTTTTTATTTCATGGAACAACCAGGCGGGAGGGGGCAAGAGATGGTGGTAGGTTTGACATGCCTGCATTTCCTTCCAAGAACGGAATTTGGGTTTATTTTCAACAGAGAGACGAGTGCTTCATTTTGTCAAGAGATCCCTAAACAGAAGTGCGAGGTGAGGCGGGGTGGGGGGAGAAATTGCTAACAGTAAGAGGTTGCCAAAGGCATCTCAAACCTCTGGGTTGTAAGGTGGGATTTAGGGGGAAAATCCATTCTGATTGCACATTAGAACATGGGGAAACTCTCTGTTGCATTTGGATTAGAGCTAGACTTTGGGGGTTGAGCTGGCCTTGAAAGGTTCCACCCCACAACCACACCTACCCCCCAAAGACAACCATACAGTGACCATTTTGAGATTTTGTGCTTTAAACCAGTGTTTAAAGGAAGATCTTGTGTCAGCAAGCAAAAAGGCAGGCCAGTGAGCTGACCTGCATGTGTGTGTCTTTAAAAGTCTCTCCTAAGCATTGGTCCAAGATTCCCTAGCACTAGTGAGACTACGGTGTGAGTGAAAGCTTCCCAACAGCCACTGTGTGGAGGGAGGCGTGCTTTGTGAGCAGAACTTCCACTTTTGCTCCCATGCCCATCCTTCACTGGCCACTGCATGAACAATACTGCCCTCCCCATCTGCTCTTTCAACTTGTGTCCATTATATATATTATATAACAAGGCATGCAATTAAAAAAAATCCTAGTCAAACCACCCCCAGTTAAGGCATCTGCCTCAAAGGAGGACAACATGATTGCATGCTGGTTTTGATTAGCAGGTTGTAGGCTTAGTACTCTGAAGAAGAAAACAGAAGTACTGTTCTTTCCCCACCCCACCCAAAATGATTCGACACAAAAGAAATACACAAGCAGGTCCAATAAGTACAAGGTGTTGATCCTATTCCTCCTAAATTTATGCTCACTAGGTTATTGTAGGACAAGAAGGTAACAGACCCACAGAGAGCAAGGAACATTTGTAGATCTCCTACCCCATTCAGGCTTTTTCCTTGCATGGACTCCATGTCTACCCTTAGTGTTTAAGATGAAGAGCAAGAAAGGGTTTCACAAAGCCCAATCTGCTCCATTTTTATTGCAAGAGGTAGGTGTGAAGACCAGCTCTCCCTTCTTTCCCCTAAATAAACTTCTGAAAGGTAACCCCACTCCAGGTGACAATATCCACCTTCCTATCCAGATGTCTCAGACCTCTACCTGCAGCACTTTTCTGCACTGGGCTGGGAAAGAACACAGGGGACAATTGATCCTACATGCAGATGTTTAACTTAATGGAACAAACCAGTTTCCAAAATCCTGGGGGGGAGGGGGGAGAGAGAGAGAGAGCAAGCAAGCGTGCGTGTGTGTTGGTAGCGGCGGTGTGTGTGAGTGGGAGGGAAGAGTTATTTAAGCAAACAATGATTTCACCACCTCAGCTGCTCACCTCTGTCCTTAAGACCACCTGCAACATGCCTGGGACACTGCGGCGCACCAGTGTCAGCTGAATGCAGTAAAGCACAAAAGTGGAGGGAAAGCCCACAAAAGACTAATTTCTCTCCACAGTTCACTGGAGAACAGACAGAGAAGCAAAAGCAATGCTCAATTATTTTAATGAAAATGAAATTAACTGGCCTTGGTGCAATTAAAGAAAATGCTGTGGAGATGCTGAGCAAGGATTAAAACACAGTCTAAAATAAGCAGACAAAAATAAGCAATGCTACACTGTCTTCATGCCAGCATAGACTCCTCTCTGGGTCCCTTTAGAAGGAACGGACTGGACCTGAAAGACAATCTGTCCACAAAGGGCCTGCTTCCTACAAGCAGCATTTTCATGTCAAGCAGAGCAAGTATTTCTTGTCTCCCTCCATTTTTAGAGGAAATAGTACAGGTTCTCCTTTGGGAAATGAGGGGGTTCTCCCCACTCTCCAAAATATGCCAGGAACAACAAGCGAAGAAATAGCTACCAAGGGTTACACTAAATTTGTCCCAGACTGAAATGCAACAAAGGGTTACACTAAATTTGTCCCAGACTGAAATGCAACAAACTGAGACATACTCAACAGCTGAGAAACAAAAGCAAGGAAAAGCGGCGTATCTCCATATTTAAATATTGCCCTGCTGCCTAAAGTGTTCCAAACTGGGGTGCCCCAAGGCCATTTTTATAGCCCAGCCAAAGCACTACCATGAGTCTTACAGCATCTGCCAGCCAGGTCTTCACATGAAAACAGCCTCATCAGGTGCAACACCTGCCCAACTGGCATCCTGCAAGAGCCCTCCATGTAGTTGAGGCTTTTTTTTCAAGGGAGCCCTTGAATTATGGTTTTGCATTATTTCTACCCAAATGAAAGTAATTTGGTCTAACTCTATGCAAAATATAGAATATAGAAGCATAGTTCATTTGTTCCCATAATCCACTAAAGGCAGGCTGCAGCTACCACCAACAACCTTTGTCAGTCTTTAGAAGCCCAAACAGAAGCTTCCTACACCTAAACAAGTCAGTTACCTCTTGATACAACAACCCAAGAAGTACAGTGCGTACAATGTTCCTTCCAGTCAGTTACCGTATGCCTCACCACTGGAGAGAACTGCTGGGAGAGGAGCCAGAAAGGAACGCACAGTGATTAGCGGCTCATGCAGACAGAACATACTCCATTTAAGTCACTCTTTACTATGAAAACCACTACAAAGTACTGGCTGCACCTACCTTACATAAACAAAAACACAATCAGGTTGTCCCTTGAGCAACACACACCATTTGTGTGTCCAAGTGCAAAGTAATGGGGGCGGGTGTTGTGGGAAATTAAAAAGATAACACACCTGGTAGAAGCAACAAGGACAAAAGGGGGGGGGAGCATGTGAATAATCAAAGGCTTTCAAGAGGGAAGCCCCCACTGGGAGTGAAATTAGCACTCATATAGATCCGATCGCAATCCTTCCAAATCCTTCCATTTACAGTTAAAACACAGAAAGAAAAAATACAGAAAACACCCAACAGTGCAAGCTACATATTAGACTACTAACTCTTAGCACAGCAACTGATTTCCCTCACCCAACCCTACCTTACCCCTTTATTGCTGCTCCCAAAGAAGAATTTTGTTTGGAGCACAGGTAGTTTATGAAGTGCCTGCAAAATCAGAGTCAACAACTATTGCTATAAGACAAGCACACACCCAGCCGAACGGCAGGATGGCTGCTATTTGGGCATATCTGCAGTGAACAGAATTCAAGGAAATGAAAGCAACTCCTACTGCTCTTCAATGAATTACCATCAAACATCCCAGCTTGACAATGTCCATGACTTCCGAATTGCAGACACAGTATGGCCAAGCAAATAACACACAACATGCAACGGGGAATGCTAATAATACTACATACACAGAGATATTCCAGCCACAGCTCCACCTCAAGAAATCCAAGAAATAAATGCAGTTTACTGAAGGAGTTTATGCAAGCTAAGGAAAAACAAATACTCATGCCAAACTCTGCAGTCAGATTGTCCAAATGGAGTCCCAATTTCAGTTTCAAAACAGGCTACCAATGCTGACAAATCGAAAGGCAATGGAACCACAGCAAAGGATCTCATGAAGGAACTCATTCATCTTGTTTTCTGGGTCCCTCTAATGTTTTTAAGGGGCTTGGAAATTCTCTGGTTCAGATTTAATCCAAGGAAGCTGTGGTCAACACTTGCAACCTGGAAATGTGGGCCATCTCCATGTAAGAATCATTTCTGAGAAGTGCACGTGTGCTCTTGGCATGACACCAATAATACATTTATTGATTTAAACACTGGGACCACCCATCCCCAATCTGGAAGACAAACAATGGTCTCAATTCAAGACTAACCTGGAATTCCAAGTCTTTCCCACAAACCTGAGTACAGACTAGAATCTTCTGCAGTGTTCTTCAACTAAATTACAAACATGAAAGAAAAATGCTTCTGCACCTCATCCAGATGCAGCATGGAGATCTGCCCGATCCATTATCATTGGATCATCAAAACATGCATTCCTTTCCTATGTTCATCAACACTGAATCTGAAACCTCAAAATGACCAAAAGGGTTACCGAACCTTTTCTCTGCGATGGTGGCCGGGGGGGAGGGGGGAGGATATACTGCTAGAGATGGACAGGAAGTTGCTTCATTGCTTCTAGTCTTCCTATTTCTCCATTAAGTCAGCTATTGGGCTCTTAGTTTTATTGCCAGGTTCTTATGCTGGTTAAATTGCTATGTAAAACACCTCCTCTTGTGCTTAACAACTGTGGCCAAGGGTACTGCGCCAAACTTATGCAAAAGACAAATGTCCATCTAGGGTGTGTGTGTGAGACTCAGAACCATGGCTGCTCTCCAGTGAGTGTCCAAGTACAAGTGTGGAGTGGAGAACAGCCAAAACCTATTGGTCTTCCAATCCAGAGATGCGCTGCATCCAGAAATATTCCATGTGCTTCAGAATGGAGCACTGTGACCCAGAGTAACCGATAACTTTCCATTGTATACCATGAGTTCCCAACAAAGACTATGTTCCAGTTGAGCAAGGAGTGACTTCTGAAAAGGCCATCCTCTTGTACATGTCAGAGATACTCTCAAGCTGAGTGTTATGGAAAAAGCCTGGAGTGATACACAGCTCTCATGTCCTGCTCACATTTGAAAAGCTACCTTCCGAAAATGGGAGACGCTCGAGCCACCCCCACCCATCTGCCCAACTGCGTCATGTCTGTTTTCCAGTGGAACCAAGTGGCAAGAGTTGACCAGACTAGCCTGAGAACTTGCTCTCAAAGCTCACACGTCTCTTAAGACACCTGCAAATATTAGAATGGCAAATAGATACCACTAATGTTGACATGACAATATTTTATTAAAAAGGGCAAAAACATTTACGATAAAGAAAGCAGTGGAAGGAATAAAAAACATGCTGCAGTTGATAAATCAAGAACTATATTCCTTAGATTTAGTTGAGTGCTGTTTAATGTGAAAGAAGGAGAGAGGGTTACGCTAAGACAACAGACAAGCAAATAACAGACCCACTGCACTTGTACCATTCCCCAGGAACAGAAGGGGCTTGTTTTTGGTTTGAAAAGAGGATAAATTTTAAAGAAAGGAAAGATTAGAAACTGGCATGTAGCTATATTTAGTGCAATGTTTAAATTGTTGGTTCTCCACAATACAACTAGGCATCAAGTTACTGCAGGAATGGGGTAGGAAGTGAAAAAATACATGGCAGTTAAGAATCAGAGCACAGTTTAGGTAAACATACACAAAAAACTATTTAACAAATGCAGAAGGAGCCTCATGTTTGTCAAGTTCCTTTTCTTTCCCTAAAAGTGTGATGTTTCCGAGCTTGCAGAGCAAGAGGGCCGCTGCATTCCTCAGGTACTGAGTGAAGTGGGTGGCCTGGCTGGGGAGAGATTCCCCCAGCAACTCTGGAACTTGCATGATCACACTGGCAGGCAAATACGAAGCAAGCTGCTTTTGACTGCCTGTAAAAAAGATGTGCTGAACCTTTGGTTTCCATGAGAACTGCAGAAGGAAAAATCTGCACCCTGCGGGCATTCCAGGTTTCAATGCTACTTAAATCCATGTACATACAGAGCTGAACACCACCCTCTATTCCTGTTGGTCCCTAAGTAGAACAAGAAATGAAGTGCTTCTGCCATGAATGAGGCAGGAAAGACAGGTGGTGTCAAGATACAGCAAAATTAAGCTTCAACATTCAACATCCTTGAGATAGAGCAGAGGAGGAAAGTGTATCAAGCCAAGGGTGTAAAGAGAGGGAAACCATGAGGTGTCCAAATGCTTGGGAAATGTGCATGGATCAAGGGGACCCAGGGGCCAGATCATGACAGAAGAGGCCAGATCATTATCTGCATCTCTCCATTACACCTGAGATGCACTTACGTTGGCTTCAATCACACATATAAGGCTTTTCATCTAGGAGTTGCTTACTTTAGAAAAATGACATGGGTCAGCTACATTACATACAAGATGCGGAACCTGGGCATATGTGTGAGTATATAAGCAAGTAAACATAACCCTCATCCCACTTTCGAGAATTTATATATCTTATCAGGGAGGAAAAAAGCCAGACAGCAAAATTAAAGAGAGACAGAGACTGGGCGGAGGAAAGGCTTTTGGCAAAAGAAACACTCAGAGCTTGAGAAAGAGAAAAGAGCTTTCAGCTGTGAGGCGAGAGAGGGCAGGGAATTGTACCCTTTCTGAAGTACAAGTCTTTCCAGCATACTATATGCACACTAGATGCCTAAAGTTCCTGGAATGATCAACATGTTTTGTCTTCTTAAGAGTAACCTTTCAACACAATTCAAATTTCTGATTTGAAACCTAACTTTCCTGTCAACCTGTCAAAATTCCAAAGGAATTCCAATTCAACAGAAGTACCAATAAATGGGTGAAGAAATGTGGGAAAGAAGGAACTTGTAGAAATGCCAGCATATCACATTTAAATACATTTCTCTAGGTTATTTACACAAGTGTTGGTAAACAGTGGATACCTTACAACACTTAGATCAACTGCAACTCATCAGATATGTCACTTGAAGCATTTTTTCAGATGCAAATTCAAGACAGAGATAGAAATACCAAAATGTGAGCAACCGTTTCAGCAGGTACCTTCAAGAGGACCAATGAAAAATGCCTTTGGAAATGCCAGCAGCTGGCAGCTAACACTACGGTTGTGACAATGCCGTATGCTCTTTTCAGTCCCTATTGCCGCCTCCGCTTTCAAGTTATTATCACAGGCAGTGGTGGTTCAAAACTTGGCTCTGGCTAAAGATGCTGCTGGCTTGCATGGGCTCTGCAACTGGAGTTTCACACTCAGAGAGGTGCACCATGACTCAAGCAGAGTGTCTCCAGCTGTGCTTGCTTATTTCCCACAGGGTGAAAGCAGGTGCAGTGCCACGGAGCGTGTGCCCTTTTCCCTGCCGCCAGGGCACAAGGCTGCACGCAGACAGTCCAACCAAACGCAGACAACTAGAAGAACTGGCCTTGTATCTCCCTTCTCCTGGGTTTTTTGGTCATCTGACAACACTTGCCTTCTTTCCTCCCACCCAGGGTGTGCACTGGGCATTGATTCCTATTCCCTACACCAACCCCATCTTGCCGAAGAGATCCCCAACTGGCCCGTCAACACTTTAGTGCAAAATTCAGGAATTAAGGCAATGCCCAGGAAGAACCTAGATTTCTTCCTGACACAAGACTTGTCCTCAAGGCTTTAAGGTTTTCTTGGATGCCTCCTCCCTGCTGTCCCCTGTTCTACCTCCAGCAGGGTTACTAGTTGTGTTTCAATCAAAGGAGCACAACTGCAGAGAACTGCTTCCATGCATCATTCAAGAGCAAGTTATGTAGAGGAGGCGACAGCTAAGCAGACTCCACAATCCAAGCCAGTGACCACTGGAATGGCCTCTCGAGCTCAGGACAAGTCCTGCTTTCTCCTGAGGCAGTCTCACCTACTGACAAGACTACTGACAAGTGACCTCTGCGCTGGAGCGTGATCTGTAGCTCGACCCAACACGCAGCAAGCACCAGTGCAGGTGAGACAACAGGAAACACTGAGGCAGTATCTTAAGAGGCCACAGAAGGAATATGTTTTGCAAACTGCTTGGTCTTGGGGCTTCCAGCTGCCCTTTGCACAAAAGGTGTGCTCCTCATTTCCAGTTACTGCCACAAGCAGTGGTGGGTTCTCGTACTCCTGATTGCTAGACTAGCTCTGGCTGGACTTTTCTTTGCTATGTCCAGTGCAAAACTGGCTTAAAGTAACAGCCTTTCTTTCCATTCCCAAGCCCTTAGAGTGCCCCAAACAGAGGGACAAGGCCACAGACAGTGCCTCCAGTATGCAAACACGGCCTGCTAGCTAATGTCTGAAGAGGATTTCAAAGTCTTGCCACCTTCTGGAAATGCTGGTCTCACGAAAAAAGAATAATACAATATGAGGTTATTCATGCAGTGCTAAAAGGTCTCTCTTCTGGTCAGTACGGGGAGGGAGAACCCCCCAAAGGTTTTGGAAAGGCAAAGCAGGCACAAGCTGGCGTAATCAACCCCCCTGCGCCAATCTTCGAAGAAAACAAAGCAGGATATTTAGGAGGAGCCAAGTGTGGCTGAAATTGCATACTCTTTTTTTGCTTAGGAAAAGTTTACTGCCATCCACCTTATACACGAGGCTCATCTCATTGCAAAGACTTCCATGCAATTTTGCTTTATTATATTCAAGTTGACAAACTAATAAGATTGGAGTTAAAAGTAAGGCTATTTTTTCTGTTTCTTTTAATCCCTTTTGTTTTTGCACCAAAAGTGAATTTGAAAAGATGCTCATTGCACACAGATACGCACACATACATACACACACGCACAAACACGCAATCTGGAAAACTGACACACAGAAGAGAAAGAGAAGTTTATACCTGACTGGTGATGAGGTCTGTCCTATCTTATTCAAAGAAATGTTTATGTGCATAAAATACATAGGTGCAGCATTTACACAGAGGATACTAAAAGAAAGACACCAAGAACTTGCTACAGATGCCTTAAAGAGTCTTTAAAGAGTCATTCCCCACCCAACCCTGGATTATTTTCTATCTATTACAACATCAAGGATTTTTCTTTGACCCAATGTTCATGATTTAAATCAAGCCATCACTCCAAAGTTCACAGGAAACCCTACTACCATTAATGTCTTTCTTGTTTCAACTGGGAAATTTCTACACATCCCAACCTTCCCTTTCACCTAAATGGAGAGTTTTAAATTGTGCTGAAGCCAATTTTGTTTCTAAAACACCACGTGGTCAATGTTGAATCACTCAGAAAAACTCAAGACAATAGAAAAGGAATTAACTGAACACTCCAAGGTTTTCACAACTGTGTTTCTAATGCAGTTTTCCCACCACCCCTTTTATTTTGCTGTACTTAGAAAAAACCATCAAGGCAAAGGTAAGTTGGGCTTACAGCTAGAATGGGTTGTAAAAAACAATATACCATATCTGAAAACCTTTAAAAGATTACAGATTCCCAATCCCTTTAGTCTCTGATTTTGTGGAGCTTTGGCACTATTAGGCAAATGTCTAACCAGGGGTGAATGACACAATTTTTGTACATGAAGTATTTTATTTAGACAAAGTATGGGGATAGGGAGAAATGCAGGCGAGAAATGTATAAACACACATTCCTTGTACCCATCAGTGTGTGTGCCTGTGTGAAGGGATGGGGGGCTATTGGGCTTCTTCTGTTAGCTGCTAAACCAAAGAAAACACACACGCACAAACACGCACACACACACAAAGGTATGCAGTTGATCCCGAGCATCTCCAGTCAGCTGAAATTCTGCATTTCTACCCACAGGGGACCCCTTACATTAATCTCCCTTCCAAGGAAGGCCTGGCACAGTGTGCCTTTGGGTCTACCCTTGCTCCATACTGGGAAGCAGCCTGGCTTTGCTGGAATAAGCTGATGTCCTCGAAGGTTTGTGCCCAACTCTTCTCTGCAGCTGAGCAGCACAGGAGAAGTTCCCCAGCAACAGGTGAGCTGCCTGACAGGCATCCTGTTCAGCATTACAGATCTTCCCATCAAGAAGTTCTGTGAATATCCCTCAGGGTCCAGGGAACAGTTTGAAAACCACCCTTGGAAGCAAAGCACCTACTGTGGACAGCAGACAGGTGTTCCGGATGCTAATTTACACCTCACCTTCTAGGATACAGGCACCAATCCAGTCATCATTACTCTCTTATTGTAGAGCAGTGCGTGTGTGTCTACATGCCATGATTTCATACTACTTTTGGGGGCAAAGGAAGTTTCAAAAGGATAGCAATCATAGGAATAAAACAAACGAATCTCTTCTTAATCTCCAGCAACTTGGGCACGAAAAAGAAAGGAAAAAAGAAAAGGAAAGTGAAGGGGTAAAAAAAGAACAGCATCATTTTCTCAGGACTAGTTCTTTCAAATTCATTGAAGTGCCCATTTGGGAACGTAAGGTCAATTTATAGCTTCCCAGTACTTGCCCTCTACAAGGACATTTACATTCAGTGTTTGTCAATAGTTATATGGCTCAGCAGGGCTCCCAGCGGGTGGCCCAGTTATCTAACAATGGCAGTGCAAATACACTTTTCAAGCTGAAATGTATTTGTGCTGTTGGTTTTTTTTTTGAAATACACAACTTCCCTTTGTTCATTAATTCTCTAGAGACATCGAAGTTAATTAAAGAATTATCTGCCCTCCCGCCCACTCAAACAAACAAAGGAAAACAAAAACAAACACAGATGCCTCCTGATCCCATTTCCCCTTGCTGGCCTTTCTCTTAATGGGTTGCTATAAAAGGGGGAACGGAGACCCTCATGCTTTTAAACAAAAGTGCTTATTTTTTACTTGTAAAGCAAGTGCTTTGGAGAAAGGTGGTTGGAGAGAAACTTCCTTATTTAAGGGGGTTTAAAGAGGGAAGCCCAACAATTGCTCTTGAAACAAATGGGGGAAACCCCCCCCAGAAAACTCAGAAGCAGGCCCTTTGGAGGTCCAGAGAAAGATACATGGCCAGGCTCTGTGCCATTCCTAAGGAGGCGGCAATGAGAACGAACTTTAAGCAAGAACCTGTTACAACTTCTGCTCACGGAAACACCATTCCACTTTCCCGACTCTACATAAAATACTGCACGTTTAAGCGAAATGTGCTTGCACAATACTGGGCAGGAAGGCAGGTGGGCTGAGGGAGCAGGGAGAGAGGACAGGAAGTAAAAAAGGAAGTTTGCCTCCAGCCCCCTTTGACAATGCACTAGGGAAACCAACTCTCATCTTAGCACAATAATGCAAGTTATTACCACCAGACACTTTGATTATTACTTAAATTGTCAAGCTGTGCTGTCAAAATGTACATGTTACAGCATTAAAGGAGAACAAGACTGCTGACTACAACATAACTGGCCACATTTCTTCAACACCCACCCAATTTACAAGAAACCACTTTATCACAAAAAACAAAGAAACAAAGCTTAATTCATGTATGCGCTGCTGGAATTTTTTCCATTCCATTTTCTTCATCAACATTATTTTTAAAGAAAAAAAAAGGGGGATTGAATGTAAGAAATATAAAACCATGATGCTACAGAGCTAAGAACGCTGAAGCCCTTGAAGAGATCACATTGATTGTCATATATTGAATGTTTATGTTGACGTGTGAGGAAAGGAACATATTATCAGCAAGTATATATTTTTAAAAAACGATCAAGTGTCAGCTTATTATTTTTCCTCAATTAATAAAATGAAAACATGCGTAACAACCCGCTACAATCCTAATAAAATAAAAAAGCAAGTGTAATCCACGTAACACTAGAGCTAGGAGATTTCCTCATTTTGAAATGATCTTGGAAAACCTACCCCCATTTTTGTTCCCCCCGACTGCTATTTCTAGTTCCTTAAAAAAAAAGAAAAGATAAAATTATGATAGGCATACCTGATGTTCAAAGAACTGTGCTACTAAAAAAGTTTGATCTCCCTGTCTCTATGCTTCGTTAACCTCTGAGGCTCTCTTCGCCTCAAAAACTGCTATAAATACGCCAGGCATCACCCCCGATTCAATGCATGGGAGCAGAAATGCTGCTATTCTGGGGTAAGCTATGTTTCATTATGCTTTCTTAACAGGAATACACTCCCCCTTGGGTTTCTTAAAAAAAAAAAAAAAAAGTACCTGTTGCCTGGTACAGGTGAGAGTAGAGCCAGCAGTGGCTCCCAAGTCATGAAACAGAGGACTTGAAGATCAGTTAGTTTTCCAAATCATAGCACAAGAACTAATAAATTGTAACCCCCCTCCCCATTTTCCAGTAAATATCTCAGTCCCAAAGGCCTTCCAGAAAAGTTTCTGGTCCTAAAAGGAGGATCAGCGTTAGCCCTTAAAGAAAAAAGACAAGGTGTGGCTTCAGACTTACTTCTATACAATCTTCCTTCTCATTCCCCCTTATCTAGCAGGGGCAGGAGGAACATGCTTAGGAGGCTAAAACAATATTAGGCAATTTAAAAGTAGCTACAAGTTGCTAGTACCTATAAGCAATGTAAACAAGGTTGTAAAAAAAAAATATTTTCAGCTCTCTCTCTCTCTCTTTCTCTCTCTTTCTCCCCAGAGGGCTGAAAAGGACCATTTAGTATTAAAAAATGGGGTTCTGGGAAGAAGGGGGATCTTTATTTCAAGTTTTGTTCATTTCTATTCTGACTTGAGGTATTTGGTGTAGAAAGGTTAACACTTTCTTTCAAGGTAGAGAACTTGAAGCAACTGAGGGCAAAGAAAACTAACCCGACCATAGTGCAGCTAAGAAACTAATGGCCAATTCGCAGCAGGCTGTTGCTGTGCTTTTTGGCAAGTGCATTAAAACCTTAATAAGCTCAGATTTAGCAGCTGCAAAGTGGAAAGCTCTCTCAAGATTCCTTGGGCATCAAAGAAAGAAAAACAGCTAAGCTAGTAGCGCCCTAGTCTTTGTGGAAGGCTTAGTTGAAGGAAATGGCTGGGTACGATAGAAGACTAGAACTCGCTACCTTAAGGCCCCCAATATTTGCAGCCTATCCGTATGCAGCAAATCAACAAAATGTCAAGCTAGTGCTTAAAGAGCTGACACAGAACGATATGCAGTGATTTGTGGGGAAGACAACGTCCATTTGGTGGGGATTAAACAAAGGAAAAAATGGTGAGAGTTAAGAATATCTTTTTAAAATGCACTGTTCACCAAAGGACAAGATTGCAGTTTTAATATTTGGCTCTAGGAGTTTGGCTTTGGTCAATTAAACAGTGCCCAAAGGAGGGGAAGGGTTTTCTCATTGTCAAGTTCTATCTTTGCCTTTCTTGCATCTGGATTAAGCTCCTCTTTTAAGTGGTCCTCCCCACCAGCCATCCACCCAATGCTGGCTGGTTTCCAATTTCCTGTTTTGGAAAGCTGGGCAGTACCCAGGTGAGCAAGGCATCAGTGTCCACTTTCTTCTAAAGGTCAGTGAAAAATGAAGAGCGGAGGACCAGCTTTCAATTTAGGTTTTTGGTTGAAGAAGCAGTAATTCATATATACACATTAAAGGTGTCAAATGCACCACACAGCAAGGTGGCTCAAGCACACAGCTGGCTCATATTTTGTCCTCAACAGTTTAGCTGATTCTGAGAGGGGCGATGGCTGGGGAGCAGAGAAACTCGTTTTTTCACAGGGTTAGGAGCCCTAACAGTTCACTGGTCCAGACATGCAACATCTTGGAATAGTTCATCCTATGAATCTTATCCGGTCTGCCAACTGCAGTCCAAGCAGTACAGTGCGGTGGGACTGGGAAACAGGTGGAAAAGATTGTTGGATCAAAAATGTTTGCCCTGGCAGCCCTCACTCGATTGCTACATCCCAATCTTTGGCTTTGAACATACTTGTGATATGGTAATTTTTTGTTAGTTTCTACACATGATAGAATTTACAGTACAAAAGAAAAACAGTGCATACACTCAAATGTATAATAAATATAATTTTTAAAATAAAAACAAATGCACATTCTAACCCTACCCATGGACACATCTACATACATACATACATACATACACGCGCTAATGGAACTGGCTGGATGACATTCCAGTGGGAAAAATTATAAATACAAGTGTAGGATTGTAAGGTTCTGAAGTGCATTGTTTTCCTTGCAGAAAGCTCTTTTTTGCTATTTTTTAAAAGATAGATGCCTATGTCTCTATAAATAATTTATTTTCTTTTTTTTAAAGCAACACTGACTTGTCTATTATGGAAACACTGCACAACATAGAGAAGAGGGAAGGAACCATGAAGGAAATTCTCTCTGGGGATCCAACATTTTGTAACCCCTCCCACCCTCCCCACAAAAATCAGCCTCCAAAAAGAGAAAATCCCTAAAGTGCCTGATATGGTAGGGATCATTCTAGCAGCGCATACGCAAGTTATCAGAGATGACCGCATCAGTTGGACAACAGCACCCATTTTGCATACAAGGGAATACAAGCTGCCTAAGGTATCATAGTGTCCCAGGTACAGTAGTTCTCAATTCAAGTGTTTTCACTGGAATCAAAAAAGGGTAAATAACAAACAAACAAAAATTACCATAAAGGAAGGAGCAGTTATAGTGGCACTTTGCCAGGAGCTGCTGCCCTTCTTAGCGGTCCCTCACTGATCACACTGTTACTGCCAAATCAAACCAAGAAGCAAGTCAGGCTTCTGCTCCTTGTCTAGACTGCATGACCCATAAAGAGAATGTTTTTGATGTTACCAGTCAAAAGAAAGTTATAACAAAAAGAGAGGAAACCAGGAGGATGGCACACCTGGAATGATCCATTTTAAGAGGGTGCAAGTCTGCCACCCCAACTGAGAGCAATTACTTTAGTTTGGCCTTCATCTTTTTCTCAAAAGCACGAAGCCAGAGGATCTGGAGTTGAAATGGCTGGCCATTTAAGGAATCTACATGGTCATGGACCCAGAAGCAATAGGAAATACAATTTGATAAAGGGCAGAAAAAAGCATAAGCTAAGCAGATTTTTCAGGATTAAGAGGCTAATTATAAGCAGAATTACTGAAAAATAATACTTTTAAGAACTGGAATTTGAAGACTATGAATCCATTTGAGAGTCAAATTAATGTTAATTCATTTGAATGGTAAGAGATTCTAGTGGTCAAAGTCTAGACAGGAAGTAGATGCTGACATCCTTTTCTTTATTTTTTTGGTTTCTAGGCCATTTTAGAAGGCCCAGCACAGTCTTGTTCTCCTTTAAAGTGTCCTATATTTATAGAATTCCTAAATAAATAGAAGGTATTAGATCACCCATCATGGTTTTTAAGCTACTCCGAGTAACAACCATCTAAGCCGATGGCATTGTGCCTATCCTTGGTGTAAGGGCAGCTGTTCCCGTTGGGCAGGGCACTGCAGGCTGCCGTTTTAGCAGCAATACCGCAGTTCTTGAGGAGGTTGAAGCTGAAAGGGCTGATGGCGTCTTTAGGTGGAAAAGGCTTCATGGTGGAAAGGATAAGTGCCAGGCAGTCAGCAACGTCTTTGTTGGGGGCGCAAGCCAAGGCTGGGGTATGGCCTGCAAAGCAAAGAAACAGGGTAATTTCCCCAAAACCAAATTAGGAACAACAGGCTAGAAAGACACTAGAAAGACACCGAAACCACAACTCCCTTGAAGACCACATCCACTTTATGTCAGGAAGTGGAAGGAACATTAAAGTCACCACTGTTTCAGTTTTCTTCTCTCCCTGGCCTTCCATCAGGGCATAGCCAGCCATGTGATTGCAACTGGCTATCAGAACAACAACATCTGTGCTCTGGTGACCTGTCAGGTGCACAGGACATGCAAGCTCATTTCAGGCCACTCTTTCTGCAACCTCATCACAGCCCAGGGACCACTACTCTTACGAAAATGGCACTGGCTGACCAGAGATCTGCTGGGCATGGGTCGCAATGTCATGACTTGGTCCTGGAATCCCTTAAGGCACAGGGGAAGACAACCTGCAACTACAATTTCCATTAGTCCACAGCTAGTAGGATCACAGATTATGGGACTCGAGGTCAAAAGTCAGGAGGGTGCTGGGTTGCCTAACCCTGTGTTTCAAGAGATCAGCATTATAAAAATTCAGCTTTTTCCATTTCCTGGAATGGCAACCAATCTGTCAGCTATTGAAGGACTGGGCAAACTGGTGAAATATGAGCTGGGGAACAGACTGAGGAAGGGCAAGAAAAGAAAGGGGTAAACATCCCAAGTGCAGTATTACCATATTCTTAGGGGGAAGCTAGCAAATCACCACAAATACTAAAGAACCTAACAGCCTCTCCTATAATTTACAGTTTGGCCCTAAACTCTTTTATGTTGTCATTATTCGTACACACCAAGAGTTGTTTCATCAGAGAGCTGCTAGTGGCTGAAAGGCAGTAACACAAATAACACCCACCATGCCTGAGTTGCAAACCTGCAAATCTGCCCAGGGAGCCATATGGCTAAGCATTTGGAATAAAAACCCAATAGATACATAGATCCAATATATAAACCCATTCAGATCACCCTCCTTCCCTTTCCTAAGTTTGCAAACACTTTTCCACAGCTCCTGTTTAACCAATGCAGTCAGATGATATTCAGGCAACCTACACATGAGCAGTGTGGTCTAACATTCTGAGGGAAGGCAGATGGAGAGTCATTTCGCTAGCTGAACATCCTCAGCAGTGATATCTTTTCTGTCCCACCACCCACTTTCAGCAGCATGCATTTAAAGTAGGGCTGTAGAGCCCTTTGCAGCTTGAGGGCAAAAGGGACAAAACAAAACACTGCAAGTGGCTGGGAGGAGGAGACAGGGTCTTCTGAGGAACTCTGGTGGGTCAACTCTGCTGCAAAGGATTTGTTTGATCCTAAGTAAAGAAGTATCCAACCCAATGCAAGTGCAATCAGCTTTGAAGAAGACTGCATCCTTAATGGCTCTTTTTATCCCTTATCTAATGAACATCATGTAAGGAGGAGGGGAGAAATGCACTGCCTAGCCTTTCTCTCCTGAGGTTCTGCTGGCCCCCAGGCCTTGGGGTTGATGTTGTGCAGCAGCAAAGCAAAGCTGCTGCACCCACAAAGGCTTCCCTTGCAATTTGGATGGGCACAGCAGGGTCCTTCCTGCCAGCCAACTGTCAGCCCCAACAAATGGAGTGTGATGGGGCCAGGAACATGTCTCCACTCGCCACCTCCTGCTACTTTAATTGAACAGGACCTGTGTGTCTTGCAAAAAGGGTGCACACTTGAGACACTGCAGTGAAGCCAACTGAAAGTGGAACGTGTGGCTTTTCAAATCTTTTAAAACCTTTACTTGCTGCAGAAAAATCATTCTGTTGGAATTTGAACTTCCACGGAATTTCACAGGATTACATGCGTGGTACCACAGAAACCAATCACCCACCAAAGACCAGATTAAGGATATGACCACTAAGATTAGGAATGTGGTCGTGCTGAGATACTCTGAAAGGTGGACCAAAACTCTGTATTGGTATTATGTAAGACATAAGCAAATGCTCGCCCATCCACTCAAGGAGGACATTCTTACTTCATCTACACTGAACAGATTTCACGAAATGATAAAGGGCCCACTTGCATGTAATGACAGGAAATCATGGCTTGATGCTGTATTGTGTTCTGTGTGCATCCACTTTCCATCATCAAGCTCTGTTTGGCCTTGTTACAGGCTGTTGTGTGATGTGTGAACAATCCAAAATTAATCTAAGAACTACTGGTAGGTTAATTTTAGGCTGTTTAACCTACAAACAGCTCAAGGTTTCTAGGTTCACACATCATGTAACACTGGAGGCTGATTATGCAAAGTGGAAGAGGCTCACATGCAGCAAGGCAAAACACAGTTTACTTAACCTAGGTTTTCGCACTGTTACATCTGAACTTGGTCACACTGTGCTGTCTCCAACTTGCTCACCCAGAAGAGCTTCCAGGTTTGAAGAATACGCACCTTCTTCATCCACAGCAAGCACAGTGGCACCTCTGCTCAGCAGAGCCTGAACAACAGAGGCCAATCCATTTCGAGCTGCAATGTGGAGCGGCCTGTGCATAGCAGGAAGAGAAAGCAGGCTGCATTACTGAACAAATCTCATGGGAGGCAGATGGAACCCATCTCTTCTAACTGATGGCGTTCAAAGCTCATCTGACTTGCATTCCAAAAGAAGATAGCCAAGACTACTATCCCATAAGAGGAAAAAACACATAACCATTTCATCTGTGGATGGAAAATGCTTCCCCAATCTTTCCTTTGTAACACCTGGAAAGATTGCACAGCCTGCTTTCCACAACAAATGTTAACTCTATTCAATTTTTAGAAGCATATGACAGCAGTTTAAAAGTTTAAGAGAATATAATTGGCTGTAGGCTGGTCTGCTGAAGAACCAGGGGACCTGATATCATGAGATTATATCACTGATAGTTGCCCCATAAACAGATTGGTTATCATCAACTCACAACAAAGCATTAGTGCCTGGCAAGAGCAGCCAAGACTTCTGCTTCAGCACACACTTTTCGGACAAACTACAGGAAACTCAGGAAAGTCAAGTGAAAAATCCAAGGCAGACTTGGACACATGGACCTCCAGATGTTGGTGGACTGCAACTCCCAGCAGCCAAAGCCACCATAACCAATGGTGAGGGATGACAGAAGTTGCAGTCCAGCAACATCTGGAGTGCCACCAGTTCTTCATCACAGTCTAAAGCCTAAGCTTAGAGGAGGGATTGTTGTACAGCACATTTTTGCATACAGATTCCCAGTTCAATCCAACATCCTCAATTAAGTGGGGTGGGGGAAGAATCAGGCAGGAGGTGTTAGGAAAAAGAGTTCTGCCTGTGATCATAGGGAGTTGTTGCCAATCAGAATAAGCAATACCTGGGAAAATTTGGTTCTTCCTATGGGAAGCTTTACTTTGGTGAACAGGACAGAAGAAGCATCAGATATCTTCTTTGTTTTTTTAAGTCCTTTATTTTAAAAAAGCAACAACCCTGCCTCAAAGAACACAATGAACACCCACCATTTTCACAACTGCCTATGTCCCATGGATGTCATTTATTTCACCCAGGCTCCGAAATGTCCACTGTTCCTGAAACTCTGACCTGGTAGCCTGACTCCTACTTTAGTGACAATATTTCAGCTGAAAGCAACCAAATACAGGTATCCCTTGATTAATGCTTTTAATTGATTACACAATATTGCCACATATATCACAACCATGTTAATCAAATCAATGGCACAAATTATAAGCCTTACTATTTGCCTTCCTAAGTACAGGCAAAGAGTTCCTCTTACATCTTTGTAAAGCCCTTGGGTTCTCAGTTCGGTGGACAAGCAGCGGATTCAGTTTAAAATTTCCATTTGCATTCCCTCCAAGCGTAATAGTTATCCAATCTTCTGATACTTTATAGCCAGGATGCACTGCTTGTTTTGATATAAAATTTCTAGATGGCAGTTTTTTCCAGTATAGGGAGGTTTCATCCACAATGAAAATTTGGCGGTAATCGTAATTATTTTCAATAATCTTCTGCAGCTCAGCAGGAAATGCAGATACAGAAACTTCATCAGCTCTTTTAACTATATCAGGTTTTGTATCTAAGGATGTCAGTTTCCTTTTCCTTTTTTCACTTGATGGCTGCATGCTCTGATTTCTTGACATAGTCAATGAGTTCTAGAACTCATGATGAAAAATTGGAGTTTGCAATACAAACACCACCACCATTGGACTTGCAGGAGCCCTGAGATCACGGTTGGGTGGGAAGAATGATGTCATGATGTCCATGACTGTTCGTGGCAAATTTTAAAAGGTGCACTAATTAAAACTCTGTCGCATATATCAAGGGATTGTCACAATTAATTTTACAGTGTTAATCAAAACTGCATTAAGCAAGGGATACCTGTATATAGTTCACTCATACACACAAGAGACACTTGCAATTTTAGAGTTACCTAACAAGACATGTTTTTGTTGACCCATTTCAAGATATGTACTGTGTTACTTGGTAGAAAACATCACTGGGAAAAACATCACTGGGACAGGGGAGAATGATTTCTTATTTCCAGCAGCTGTGCAAATACTCACATCTGCAGAGCACTGTTAGTTGCATTGATAAGGCCAAGGTCTTGGGTTTCCCCCAGAATCAACAAGGCACACTTTTCATGACCCTGGAAAAAAGATAAATTGTTTAAATTAATGTTTTTATTTTTAAAAAAACTGGTGTCTTTCCTACATTGCATTCCACTCCATGCCTTAATTCTGATGATGAACATTATTTGGGTTTTCTCTATCCATCTCATGCACACATCTCCTCTAGTTATGGTTTGTGGTTTTGTCCAAGGTGGGTAAACTGGTTGTCATGACCAAGTATCATTTAGAAAAAAAACCTGGAAACAGTTAAGAGAACAAAAGAGAAACAACAAGCCCCCATAGCATGTTTCTCATCCTCAAAACAATGGACCAGTTCACACATAGCAGAAAATTAATTAATACATAGTTTACCATGCACAAACAAGCTGTTTCCAACAACAAACCATGTGTTAGGCCAGCGGTCCTCAACTTTTTCAATAGGGGGCCAGATGAAAGGCTGCGGTGACCGTCGTGAGGTGGGGGTGCCTGGGGGCACAGGCCGGGGAGGTGCCGTTGGGCGAGGCAGAAACGGGCATGCGTGGCGGTGGCTGGCTGGCTTGCTCGGAGATCTCCCAGCGAGCCCAAAACCATCTCCGAGCGAGCAAGCCACCACCTCCCCACCCACACTGCAAGGCAGCGGCAAGCGTGCATGTACGGGAGGCAGGCGGTGGGCTTGCTCACTCAGAGACCATCTCTAAGTGAGCAAGCCACCGCCTCCCCGCCCGCACAGCAAGTGCGCATGTGGGCGGTAAGCGGTGGCGCAGGCCGGATGGATGGTCATGGCTGGCTGGATCCGTTCCGCGGGCTGTAGTCTGAGGACCCATGTGTTAAGCAGTGGATTTTTTAGCCCTGAATGAAGTCAGCACTCTGGTTCTTAATTAAAAGTGGAAGTAATGGGGATACAGGAGGCAATGCTTGTGCTTTTGCACAGCAAATCGTGATCTGCCATCACACACAAGCCAAGCCAATAGTTTAGAAGTTCAGAGCATGAAAACTGGGAGTGCATACTATGTCTGAAAAGGAATGCTGCTATCAAAAACTGTTCTGCACTGCCCCCTTGTGAGAAAAACACAGTTTACCTTTTGCTGTATGGGAGTGGGGATACCACAACTTGGGGAGTAATTTCTTAGATATTGCTCAAGAACGAAAGAGCAAAAGGAATGGTGGCTCTTTATCTCTTTATTTTAGTGCCTCTCTATATATCCTATATACCTTTTTCACGTTATTTATTATGTATAATGTTGTGCTGATACTGGCAAATCTGATTTGTTCCAATCCAATTACCAGAAGTAGGCAGAGGAATTGTTGTTGCTCCCACAGATTTATCTCTAGGAGAGGCTTGCATATGCACATTTTTAAAAAGTCTAAGGAATTTTGCACATTTCATTCTATTTTTACATAATTTGTACATTCTGATACAATATGCTGAAATAACACTCATTTGCTCATTTATTCAACTTATGCTAATTGGCCCCTGAAAAGCATGTGGACCTGGTGCTACTCGTATAAAATCAGTGGATCTGAACAAATTGGTTGATTTATGCAGATTTCCTTAGCAAGTTTTTAAAGAAAACATAGAAAGTGAGTCATGACTTGCCCCATAGCAAGCTGGTGCCAGCACAGAGCTGAGATCTGAAAGGGTGAGTCTTGATAATCTGTTACAATTTCACACACACCCTATCAGATTCCTCACACATCCCTAATTGTACAAAGATCCTGTACACAATGTATTGAAGTCTGTACTTTTCTAAAGAAAGTGGACAAACTCTTGTCTACTTAGCAGTTGGCCTACACCACCAAATGACCGTGCTGCACCTTCCCAAGGCAAATGGGGAAGAAAGAGCAAAACAGAAAAAAGTTCATGGCCTTCAAATTTTGTAGAAATTCAAACATTTGGGAACAAAGTGAACTAATCAAATTTTACTACTATCTTATGGATTTTCCTGGGGTTTTTAAAAGGTAATTTGGATTACTTTCAGGGACAAAATACAGGGGTGTTTCTCAACTCAAAGAACACAGGATCCCTTCCAGCAATAACTCAAATAGCTATACAGAAGGCCACTGCCCAAAGTGCCTCGTGCAAGTCTCAGCCATGGGTGCTGTACCTTACTGCAGGCCAGGTGAAGAGCTGTGTTCTTGTTGACATCCAGCACAGTTAAATCTGCTTTTGCTCTGTACAGCAAAAACTCTGAAAATGAATGGAGAGGCAAAGTGAGAAATGGACAACTTTATGCATTAAAGTACTTACTATCAAGCTTTTCAGATCAAAGAGCCCCTCAAAGTAGTGAAAACCTTGAACAATCAAAACAATTAAAAACAGCAGCCAACAGTAGAAAAGTCAGATGAAGGAGCAGAGCTGCAAGCTCAGCCCCAAGCCTCCTGGACAGAAATGTTCCCCATGCTCAAGAGGCTGGCTCCAAATGCCCGCTTCTGACACAACCTGGCCTGTGTCTCTCACTGGATGGCCCACAACAAAAGGGGTTGCGGTAAGGCAGAAACAGCCCTAGACCGGGGATGGTGATCATGTGACCGTGCAGCTGTTAGACTACAACTTCCATCCTCCATGACTATTGGCCATGCTGACTGGGTGCTGACAGCCACTGAAATCCAACATCTAAGGATCTCTTCAAGCCACAGAATCCACACCTATATGCTTTCTTCCCAGGACAGAGAGAGTTATCATACTACCACTTTATGATACTTCCTTTCCATCTTCCTTTTCAAGGGAAAACATACTCACCCCTCAGCCAAATTAACTGCTACATTTCCCTATACATTATTTGCCTTTATGCATTATAAAGCTTGTGTGTACATGCATGTGTGTATGTTTCTGAGCATTTATGTGCTGAAGATGCAAACATGCTTCATCAGTCTAGCCCAGATATAAGGAACCTGTGGGATATCAATCCAATGAATGAAGAAGCATTTAAGCCATCTAAGCTCAAGGATGAGGAACCTGAGGGTCTTGTCTAGCCCACTGGGCTCCACAACCCAGCCAGAAAGTACTGCCTCTTTTTAACCACCATACCCTTGTGCTTTTTCTCCTGCCTCAGATTCTTTCTTAGCTGACTAGCACTGCACTTACAATGCCACTGCTCAACTCACAATCACTGCCCAAAGAGAAACATGATCTAGAAAGAGCCAAAGAAAGCTGCCAAGCAATCCCCACTGCCACTGCTCCTCCTGCCAGCTGCCTTATGGTGCAGCAGTCCCAGCGCTGCGGTCTTGGGAGGTCCTTCTCTTCTCATACAGACAGTGGCAGGAGCAACAGCCTTAGTCATGTGGCCCTGACCCCTTCATGTGCCCAGCTGGCATCAACACCCTCATCTCAACCATGCCAATATACATGTCTGCATGTGGGCACACTGCACTGGCAGTTTTCCAAAGGGGAGGACAAGAGGAGAGTAAGAATAGGTGCACACATAATCCTCACACCATACAGGCTGCTATATGAAGTAGAAGTATCAAAGTATCACAATCTCCCGTTCTTTCTATATGTGTCTGCCCATCCCTGCCTCCACTTTCTAATCAGTGAGAAATTGGGAAAGAAAACAGGCATGAGGGATCATAGTTTGTTTGGATGTTGGTTCAAGGGAAAGAAAGGGAATGGAATAGAACATGATGGAATGGGGCAAGAGGGGAAAAATACGGAAGCCAAGGTTTATAGGTAAAGGACACAACAGGCCCTGCCCCTGCTTGCAGAAAAGTGGGAATGGGAAGACTAAATGCCACATGTCCTGACTGACTCCAAGCCAAATCCTATGTACATTTATAGACATTACTATTCACTTAAAATAGGATTGGCCAGTTTGCCCTTACCCTACCTACTGCTAGAATGCACCCTACAGACCTTTCCCAGGCCGGAATTCAAATGGGCTGAAAGGGGCTCCCTATGCTTGGTTTAGATATCTGTTAATGAGACACATAATTATGGTGCTGATAATTATCTTGGAAAGAGACATCTCTGTGGGGTTATTACAATTGCAGGGTTGCTATACCTCAGTGATGAATCAAGCATCAGGCAGGCTCCTGAACATTTTTCCAAATTCATCTCCTGGGGGTAAGGTGATTCCGCATTCAAATAATCAGTGGAGCTCCCAGTTTGGTCCCCACACTGAGGACAGGATGAAGCAGCCCATGCCAGGTCTTTTATATTGGGTCTTTTACAGCTTTTATATTATTAGAAAGACAATCATTCTGTATTATACTTTCGCCACTATGGGCATATGCGATAATGGTGGGTGAATATATTTGAATAATTTGTACTAGGTAACAAAATGTCTTGGATTATTTGCGGAGGTGAAGAGTGGGAGACAGAGTACATTTGTCCAAGAACTACTCCTAATTTCTCCCTATGAAGTAACTCAGGCTGGGAAGTAGGGGAGAAGAAGGAAAGGAACAATCAGGCCCCAAAGCGGTTATTTTGACAGTCTTGTTCATTTAAAAAGCCTGAAGAAAACCAGCTGTAAAAACTACTAAAGATGTGCATCTTTTATAAGAGAAGTAGTCAAATATCAATTAAAAATGCTTTAGCAGGAAATGCCAGATATAAGTCTCAGGCTTGAGTCTGACTATCTGGACTTTTCAAAGATGCATATCCAGCATTTTCCTAGCACCTATTTTATAACACCAACTTGGAATAAGCAGACCTCAGGAAGGAACATAATTTGGCGGTGGGAGTAGGGGAGGGAAAGACAGGCATTAAGCAGAAATGTAGAGGATTCACTACACACCAACGGCGGCCATCTGGCCATTCTCAGCAGCCATCATCAGAGGGGTCCTTCCCAATTGGTCTGTCACATCTACCTCAGCCTGGTGGCGCAAAAGCAGTTGTAAACCATGGATGTTGTCTGCAAAGGCAGCAGCGTGAAGGGGGGTCCTAGAATGAGAAGAATTTTTTTAAAGACCAATCATTTTCCTTCCTATATAAGATGGTTGTAAATTAAGACATTCAGTTCATACTCAACTCCTGCATGTGGGTTATCATGTTGTTTGAACTAAGTCACTGTAACTGGCCAAAATACAACTCCTCCCAGTATCATTTTGCTTCTTCAGGAGCTGAGTGCTCTCCTACTGCCTACACTCTTGGCTAGACAAGCTGCCTGGAGAGTTTTTACCCTAAGGCAACCTATAAATATTTTAAGCAGGAAAATGGACATCACAGAAGAGGCGTGGCAGACCAAAAAAAATAGCACTTTTCTTCCCTGATCAGTGACAATAAGAAAGTGCATGATTCAATTCCTTCACAGAGGGGGTTTCCCTACCCTCATTCTGCTTCACTGGCTGCTACTTAAAGAGCAAGGAAAGGGAAGAGTGATGTTACACTTCACTGTATGTTACTGAATGAAGGGAGGAAGATAAGGGAGGCCGCTGAGTTTGAGGAGAGCCACAATCTCCTGTAATGTTTACTACCCCTCCAAGAAACTGGTAGCAAAGTAGAGAACCAAACTCAGTTCTTTAATGTTTAATACCATTGGAACATAAAACCTAAGAACATAAAAAGAGCAGTTGTGCTGTATCAGACTAAAGTTCTACTTAGTCTAGCAACTTGTTCTCAAGGTGGCCAACCAGATACCCAATGGGAAGCCCACAGGCAGGACACAAAGGCAATGAGGCTTCAGCAACTCACTTTATAGGGCATTCTGCTTCTGGTTTTGGAGGCCTTTCCTTCATGAATTTATCTAGTAGCCTTTCAAAATGGTCTAAGTTGGGGTCTGTCATAACATCTTGTAGCACAGATGAACTGTGCATTGTGAGAAAAGGTCTGTTCTGACTCTTCCACCGCTTCACTCAATGGTTCTGTGTTCTATCACAACACAAGAAGCATGTGGGACTACTATCACCACCTTGCTTCTCTAGTGCAGCCCTCCCCAACCTGGTGCCTTCCAGCTACATTTGGACTGCAACACCCAGAATTCCCAGCGGGATGGGAATTCTGGGAGCTGTAGTTCAAATGCTGCTGAAGGCCACCAGGTTGGGGAGGGCTGATTTAGTATCTCTATCACTTGAAGTGAAGCTTCCTATTCGAACAATGTCTGGCGCAGTGACGTCTGATGCATTCCAGGAGGAGACACCACAACTGGAAGTGTCCACCAAAGTGCAACCAGAAGGAGTGCGCGCTCACTCACCTTCCTTTGGCATCTCTGCTATTAACAATCTTGGCACCCAATGCTTCCACAAGCATTTCAGCAGTGCCATCCTGGTTGTTAATTCTACAAAAGGAAGGAAGTGTGAGAAACAAATGAGTTAGTGAAGCTCAGCCACGCTTTCCTCTGTAAGGTGTCAAAAGGAGCACAGCTGGAAATGCGGCACATCGCAAGCAAACATTATGCATGTTTTGGCAACAGAGCACATGCTCCAGCTGCAGCAGATCCAAGGCTCAGTCCTAGGTATCCCTATCTGCAAGGCCTGTGTGCAGCAGGGCTGGGAAGGGGCCTCTGCTCAATGCCTTTTGAGTATCGGACAAACTGGGACCAATTAACATTCTAACTGGAGATAAAGCAGTTTCATAAAGTATGTACTGGAAATTCATGGAACATTAGAGAGATGGGAGAAACATTTACAAACAAACCAAAATGCCTTCTTTGCAGCTTCCCCAGCTATGAATTTCCTTTATCCTGGAAGCTCATGCAACCTAAATTTGAACAGTACTTCAAAAGCTCTCTTTCAGCAGGCTTACAGAGATCAAAGTTAAGCCAGGAGAGGCGGGAACTTTTAATAGTATTTTAATGCAACCAGTTGTTGCCTTTACTTCTGAGCCTGTTGACATCCTGGTCACAACATCCTGGTCACAACAGGATCCACAGTTGAAATGCATTCTTCCCAATAGAGGTCCCCAGATGCTGCTGGACTGCAATTCCAACATGACTGAATGCCCTTGCTGGCTGTGGGTGATGGGGGTTGTAGACAAACACCACAGTAGTCCAGTTTGAGATTGGTTTACCTTTGGTGGTCCCTAGATGGGAAACTCTGGACACTGTAGTTATAGGAAGGGATAAGGATAAAACATGCTCCATAGTTGGTAAGAGTCTGTTACTCTCAGGATTGTGTGTGTGTGTGGCGGGGGGAGGCAAACAAACAGTAATGTTCATTGTTTATACGTGATATCATTGGCTTATTTAGCATAAGTCGTGTGCTATTTGCTGCATGCTACATGATGATAATAATATGGCCCCTGCATATATATCATCTAAAAATCACTCAGGACAATAACTAATCATCGCAAAAAGAGTTTATAGAAAGGTTGCGGCTCAGTCTCATATCACAAAATTCACCCCTCTTGCTTCAAGTGTTACATATGTACATCCCTTGAACCCCTCCAAAAGCCCAAGAGCAAACCATGACTTACACTGCACAGTGCAATGGAGTAAAGGGATTTCCTTCTAGGTATGCAAATGGATTGTGTTCAAGTAACAATTCAAGACAATCTTCATGCCCTGGCAAAAGGACAGAAGAGGCAGGAGAAATGATCAGATCACCGTCTACTTCCATGAAATTATCAGTAGAATCCAGAGATACCTTTGCTCAATTTGACCCTTTTTCAAATCATTCAGATGCTCTCTGAGAATGGTACTAACTGGGAATGGTACTAACTGGGAAAGGTAACTAACTAACTGGGAATGGTACTAACTGGGAAAGTGGTAGCCAGGAGTTTCTGTGGCTTGCTTTTACGAGCAAGCTATAGCACAGGCTATATGCACATGTCACACCGGGCCAAGCATTCCAACTTAACAAGCCTACTCAAGACGATTATAAGCAATCCTAGTAAATTCCAGGTGCTTTGCAGGTGATCTTCAATGAGAAGGTCAGTAATGGCAGGCGAGTTTGTTTCTCTGAAAGACAGCTTGCCTGCCACTATCAAATTCTCGTGCAATATGCAGCTGTAGATTATTGACTTCACATGAGACTGAACAGGAATGGCCAGTGCAAAGTAGAAATCAACTGTACATCCTAGAAGGTTTAGCACCGTGCTGAGACCCTGGAGCAGATGAGTGACTCTAGGTTGGAAATTTGGGAAGAAAAAAATACTGTTCTATCAGTATTTCAATCTCTTAGAAATGAGGGAAGGACTGCACAAATGTTGGGAAAGCACCAAGCACCTTGGGTTTCTGCACCCCTGCACTGTATGTCTGGTGTCCTAACAGTGGCCCTACTGAACTAACTTCTCCTTGGACTGGCGTTCTCCAAGGACTGACTTCCTCCATTTTGCCACAAGAAAAGACAGCTTGAATTGTGCCAAGAATTCAGCATCCTTACCACTGTAAGAAGCCCAGTGCATTGGTGAGTAGCCACTATAGTCCACCACAGAGTCCAGAGGGTCAGTAGAGAGCGCTGCCTGCAGCAAGGTCCTCAGGATTTCAGAATGCCCACACACCGAGGCAAAATGGATTGGGGTCCGGCCCTTGAAATCCCGACACAATACAAAGGCATCATGGTCCAGCAGTGCTGCAAGGCAGTCTTCACAGCCAGTCACCGCCTAGAAACAAAGGATGAGAGAAATGTGCTCAACCTACATACTTGTAGCACTGTACTATAAGGAATCTTGACAGTGCCAGCCTGGTAATGCAGAAATTTGCCTTGAGTAGCATATCAAGGTCTGCAAGAGAAGTTCAGGTAGTAATTTTACTTGAGGCACATGGAAGAGACCAGAAAAAAACCTGCTGGAACCCCCTCCTGGAATTTACAAATCATTGCAGAACAACAGGTAGTTTCTTACTAAGCAACAATCCATATATCATACTAACAATATCAGCACAACTTGAGACTATGATTAGCTGGACAGTCTTTCTAGACCCTTCTTTTCCTCTCTTTCAACCTATTCTGATGCACTTCTTTTGCCACTCAGATTATAACTGCTCCTAACAATCAGGCACATGCAGCTCCTCACAAACATTCAAAGAGGATATTGCAAGCACACTCCTTGGAATTGCATACCCAGTCTGCCAAGCCAATGATCTGGAACAGACAACGACTGACCCAATGCATCTATCTACACATCAGCTGAAGGTTTGGAATTATTAACTTAGGTTTACACATCCATGACTAAAGGGTCAAATAGCAGATCTCTCACAGTCAAGACATTTAGGGTATCTATCAGCTAGATGGCTACACCCATGACTACAGGAACACTTCTTCCACTCACCCCTCGGTGCAGTGCAGTCCTGCCTCTTCTGTCAGCTGCATCCACTGTGGATCCCTTCTCTAATAAGAGATGGACACAATCTACATGGCCATTCATGATTGCCAACATCAACGGGGTTCTAGGAGAAAAGAAGGAGTGGCTCAGGAATAGCACAACTAGCAGAGGTAGGGCTGAATTGGCTCATCCCTGCTTTAGTGCTAGAGGACTTCCATTCCCAGCTTTATGGAAGGGAAAAGTGGAAAGAGGAAAGAGAAGAACTGCATGATTAAAATGGGTAGGTTAAAACCAGGGCTGACTCCAATTCTAAGCAGGGTTTCAGGAGAAAATGAGAGTTTTAATGATCAAATCAGCAGTAGCTGGAAAGCCAATTAGAAGGTCTTATCTGTAGTAGCTATGTAGATCTTTTGTTGTAAATCAAGTTTAGGTGGGAGTAAGGATCTCTAGTTGCTATCTTCAGCTAATGGAGAGGGAGAAAAACCAAAGGCCAACACAGAAGCAATCACCATCACAGAATAAGGAAGCTCCCAGCCCTTATTAGTGCCTAGCAAAGGGCAAGGTCTTTCACTTATCTGTGGTTTCTTTCATATCAAAGGACAAGGTGCTCCTGTCTAAGGATTTATATTGTCTAGTTCAGGGTACACAAACCTTTTGACCCTAATGGTAGCCCTGAGGGCTGTGCCCATGTAGGTGCAAGATGGCTGAAGGAAGGGGAGACTTACATTCAATGGGCATCATAGCGTTTGTACCGCCACGAGCAGCGAAAACAGCAATGCTCGCTGTTGCTGCATCATGTGGAAGGGAGGTGTCGGCTTCAGCTACTCCTCAGCCTTGGGGATACCAGCTGACATTGCTGCTTCTGTGTGGTCATTAGTGATGTAGAAGCAGCAGTGCTTACTGGGAGTGAGGGGGAAGTGGCCCTGAGAAGGAGTTTTCTGGGGGCCAGAAAACATGCATGCAAGTGCTACATGTGGCCTATGAATTGTGCATCCAATACAGACAAGCAGAAGTACTCCTAGGCTAGGGTGACTCCTGCCATCAGCACCTGAAGGGACTATCCGTGGCCTGACAGGACTGTATTTTGAGGTTATGAATTTAAAAAGTTTTGTTTCTGCATTCAAACAATATAAAATGGCTTGGGTGCCTTGGCAGAAAGCTGGTACAGAAATGTAAAAAGTAGCTGAGGTAAGTGTATTGTGTGTCTGAAAAAAATGGAAGTTCTGCAAAGTAATTTGGATTTCAAAAGCTCTATGGTTTATTCAAACAAATGTGAATCTTAGGCTTTCTCTGTCTCTCTAATAGTTAGCATTCTTTACTCTGGTTTTGTTGGGTTAAATGGGGAGCTATGAAGATATGGCCTCTCAAATCTTGTTCAGAAATTATTTCAGCAAACGTGACTCATATTCTTTAAAATGTATCATCACAGGCATAAGGGTTAGAAACTTGTTCTCCTTTATAATGAAAGATGATACTTTTGCGAAACTGGATTCTGTACCCAATACTACTTTCTGCAAGTTGTTTGCACTCTGACAGAATCATATACCCAGCCTTGCCCATGATTACTTTCTACTTTCCCTGAATAACAAAGCTACTATTAGCCCTGCTTGTCTTCAGGAACAGAAGGACTTCCAGCCTGGGCAAGCAGAAATTAGCGGAACATAAATCAGTGAAAACATACTGTCCATGGAGGTCCATGACATCTGTGATGTCGACTCTCTCCCCACTGTCAATGAGAAGATGTAGGGAATCCGTATTCCCATAGGCAGCTGTGAAACATGTAAAAGGAAGGACAACAGAAAAATTACCCATCACATAATTTCTCTTAAGAACGTAAGAAAAGCCATGCTGGATCAGAACACAGGTCTATCTGGTTCAGCTCTCTGCACACACGGTGGCCAACCAGCTTTGCACAGGAACCCTCAAGCAGGACAGGTACAGCTCCTCAGTAACTGGTGTATGCAAGCACTGCACCTCTGGTAAAGGAGGGAGCCCACAGCCAGCAAGGGCAGTAGCCACTGACAGCCCCCTCCTCCAGGAATCTGTCTATCACCAATTACTGCAGCAGTGAGTTCCACAGTTTTACAGTTCCTTTACTATATCGTGTGAAGAAGTACTTCCTCTTGTCTGTCCTCCCACCCTCCCACCTCCCACCCATCAGTTTCATGTGATGACCTTGGGTTTGTTGCAAGAGAGGGAGAAAAATGTCTCCTCCTGCACTCTCTCCACACCACACATTATTTTAAACATCTCTATCATACTTCCCCTCACTCATCCTTTTTTTAAGCTAAACAGTCCCACTTGTCATAGCCACTCCTCACAGGGGAGTTACTCCAGCCCCTGGATTATTTTTGTTGCCCTTCTCTGCACTTTTTCCAACTCAATAATGCCCTTCTTTGGGTAATGTGACCAGAATGAAGACAATATCCTAAGTGTGGTCATACCAAAGATTTTTATAAGGGGAATAAGATCTCGGCAGTACTATTTTCTATTCCATTCCAAATTATGCTAGCATGGAACTTGCCTTTTTCACAGCAGCGTGCACTGGGCTGACATTTTCACTGAGCTATCTACTACTACCCGAAGATCCCTTTCTTGCTCAGTCACTGCCAGCTCAGTTTCCATCAGGATATTCTTGAAGTTAGGATTTTTTGCCCCAACATGCAGTACTGTACACTTGCTTATAACAAACCGCATTTGCATTTTGATGCCCATTCTCTCAGAGATATTGCTTTGGAGCGTCTCGCAATCCTTTTTGGCTTTAACCAGGCTCAATAGTTTGATGTCATCAGCACTTCACTTCACTGCTTCCTCCTAATTCCAGATCATTTATGAAAAGGTTGCATTGGTACTAATACAGAACCATGTAAGACTGCACTGCTTATATCTCTCCAGTGGGAGAAATTTCCATTTATTCTCACTATCTTCTGTTCTTTAACCAATTAGTGATCCAGAAGAGGCCACTCCTGCCTTTTTTCCCATGACTGCTTAGTTTGCTCAGGAGCCCCTGGTGAAAGACTTTGTCAAAAGTCTTTTGGAAGTCCAAGTAAACAGTATCTACTGGATTGTGCTTGATTACCTCCATATTGACACTCTCAAAGAACTCCAGTAAGTTGGTGAGACAGAACGTCCCCTTGCACAAGCCGGGTTGATTCTTTTTCAGCAGGGCTTGTCCCCCTAAAGTGCTTCTTGATTCTATCTTTATTAAACATTTTCAAGCAGTTTCTTCTAATAGTTTCTCAAACTGTGATTTCAACAAAGACCAAGTAAGTGCTCAAGTCATGTCTCTAAGAGTATCTAGGAGGAACAAAACCGGTGCCCCAACACAGCAAACACCATGCTTTCACCTGCAGCATGTAGGGGTGTCCACTTCTTCTTCTTTTCCTTCACAAGAGCAGAAGCACCATGACTGGTGAGCACCTCCACACACTCTGTGGAGCCCCTCTCCGTGGCAAGATACAGAGCCGTCCGCCCTTTGTGGTCCCGTACATCCAGGTTCACCAGGGTTTCGGCAAGTGTCTTCAGGGCTTCACAGTGACCATTATAGGCCTGGAACCAATGGCAACATTTAGTCAGTCTTGCCTCTTCTTGGCACAAGGCTGTCAATGTATCCTAAACATACTTTCTTAAAAGTAAATCCCCCAAATCTGATGGGGATTCATCATATTAAGCATTCTTAGGGTTTCAATCTAGATGAACTAAAGAGGATTCGATATGCCAGTGTCTGCCTAGATTTTAGCCTCTTCTCACTGTACCAACCATAACATGGGCACTCAAAAGATAATCACTGTAATTGTACAAACAAATCTCTTTACCATATAGGTACAGCGCACAATGCTGCAAATCCAAGTTTATGAGAGATATACTTACAGCTAAGTGCAAAGGGCTGACAGGAATGGTGCTTTCCACATCGTCCAGGCAGTTAAAAGACATTTCCAGGAGCTATAATAAAAGGGCACAAGGTCTATTCCCAAAGTATCAGTTGCACACTCGAAACATATTACTTTGACATCTTTCTAAAGGTATCTCCTTCATAAATGATTCTATGTCCAGGCTAATCACATACCTCAAAATATGATACACAGGAAGTTTTAACACTGTGAGCACTTATAGCGGTGATGGTCACTGTACATACCAGCTTACTCTCAATATAGCTATATGGATGTATGTTAATTTGTTGCTTCCAGTTTTCTAATGTTTTTGCTCACATTGTATTTGATTGTGATTTTATTTTGTAGTTGTTCAAATCATATCTGCTCTTAATTGTATTATTTTAATACAGCTGTGTGCTGCCCTGGGAGCTCCTTTTCAAATGCTCCCAGAATTGAAAGACTAGCTATTAGAGAAAGAAAAGAACAGGGAATGATTGCATTACTTTTATATGTGGATTTTGCAAAATGTATCAGGATGCAAAGTATATCTATTCAGAAAAAGATGCAATGGAAACCGATGACTATCTATAACCACCGTTCAAGAGTGACACTGACAGATCTTAAGATGTTTCATAAATAGGAGTACTGGAAAAACGAAGGTGCTGCAGGCTCTTGCCACACACAGTGGTTCTAGATGTACGTATACGCAGTTTTCTGTCTGCAGCATTCTATGGCTCTGTACTAAATGAGGCTCTGTGCAACCGAAATTACTTTACCTGGAAGCTGCTTTCAAATGTGGATTTTATTGTTAGCCACCCTGAGTGCAATTTTTTTTGGCAGAAAAGCATGCTATAAAATGAACAAACAAGTAAATAAGTGACTCAAATCTCAGAGCCCAATTTGACCGTACCAACTCAAGGTTCTGTCTGTTGCCATAGGCAGCTGCGTAATGAACAGCAGTGTATCCCTGCTTGTCCCGGAGAGATGGATCAGCACCGTTATCCAATAAGAACTCTAAACAACTGAAACAAACATAGTGAGATTAGGCCAAAAATGGAATCCCATGCATGTTTGGGACCTAATTTAGGCTCTGTCATGATATGTTATGACAACTGCATCTCAGAAGCCATATTTCTCTGTGAAGAAGGGAGATTCCCACACCCAAGACCAAAACACACAGCCTGCTGGATTCCAAGATAAGCTCAAATAAAGCATTTAATAAAACGCTTTCAACCCAAGGCAGAGACACGGGGAGGAAGAAAGACTCCTATGTTCTTCCCTATACTACTAGTGCATTTCAGTGCAAGAATGACACATAGAGGATTTAAAAATAGTAATCTAACATCCCTTTCCATATCAGAGATACGTCTAGTTGAATGCTTTATAAAAATCAAGTCAAAAACAGTGTTAGTCTCTATAACAAATCCATAAAGAATTCCTCAGTTATGAAAGTATATTTTATTTTAAAAATTAGAGGTGTGTTTCAATGTTCAGGCAGAAAAAGGGTACAAACTTGGCAAAAGGCTCAGTGAAAGCCACAATAAAGAAATTACCTAACAATGGATGCCCTTACCACAGACAGCACCACAAAAGGGTCCAAAGTGTTCAAGACTCAAAAAATGAGTCATGCTATATTAAATTTGATCTGGCATTCCAGCTGATAAATGGAAAGTGGGGAAAGGTGACAGTTGAACTTCTAAAGCTGGATGCCAAGGGAAGTCAAAATGTGCTACTCACAAGATTGCCTCCTTCAGTCGCGACTCCTTCAGTGGCTCTTCGTCAGTGTCATGGCTGTTTCCTGAATGAGTCTCAGCTCTGCAAATGGAGAAATCAGATCAGTTTTGCAGAAACAGAGCAGCCTTCCCCAACTCAGCACTCCAGTTATTTTGGACTACAACTACAGCATTCCTGACTATTGGCCACTGTGGCTGGGGCTGGTGAAAACTGAAATCCAAAACATTTGGAGGGCACCAAGTGAGGCCACAAGAAAAGAAAGATCATGTAACAAAGAAACCCACTTTCCAAAGAAATCCTAAACTTGGAGATCCTGTGCAGGAATAGATTACATGAGAACGTGTGTGTGAATCTGGCAATCAGAACAAGTTATAAAAACCAAGTAGTACATAGTGGATTAGGCCTATTGCCCTCATGATTCAGATGTTGCCAAGCATAATCTGAAAATAAATCTCATACAATGTACTTTAAACTATGTAGCTGATCAGCTCTCATCTCTTAGAATAAAGGGAAAGGGTCTGTAGACATTAAATTCCTTAGCCCAAGAAGGTTACATTTCAGATCTAATTGAGGGAACATTTCTAGTCCTCACTGAAAGAAAGAAAAAACTTGCAGTCTGTCCCAAAATCCAAAAGCAAAGCCATCAGGGTTTCAAACTGGCAATTTTAAGATCTAAAGTTGTCATTATTCTGGAGGTTGCATTCTAAACATTTGGGTAGGTAATGGGAGCCAAATAAAGCTTTAATCTGACTGAACCCCCATCCTCAAATTTAGCTGCTAGAAAGAATAAAGGCATTTATTGCAAGACTTTCTGATGAGAAACTTGGACTTGACTGTTGCTGTGTCATAGAAATCCCCCCCCCACATTTTTCCTACCTCCTGTAAGTGTCTGAAGCAGCAGCATAATGTAAGGGGGTGCAGCCTTTACAGTCAGCTTCATTAATACTGGCTCCGGCAGTGACAAGTGTCACTGTACACTGATAGCTGCCATTAGCGGCTGCGTAGTGCAAAGGAGTCCTGGAGGGGGAAAAAGGAGGATTAGATCTCTGTGGCTTACACTTGTATACCAAATACACGACAAGAGAGTAAATCAGGAGCAGCTCAAGCCAGTGCAGGAAATTGGGCCAAATCAGGCATTACTCAAACCAACAACTCTTCCTAACAAGGGTGAACTGTTCTAAATTTACCTTCCAAACTTATCTCTCCTCCTCAAGTCAGCTCCGCTGCTCAACAGCAAGTTAAGACATTCAACATTCCTACAGAGAAATCAAGGAAATAGAGGTTACACCTGAACAGTGCCAACTGCACATTGACGAAAGAATGACTACTTCAGAGTGCTGATTCTGCCTGAATGCACTGGGAGAGTCTTATTCAAAATGACAGCATTGGATGGGATGACAGATGTTCTCCTATTATACTTGAACTGATATGTAACTGGGGATTCTCAAGTTTTTGTACACTTTGCAAGCTCAACAGCTTCAGTTTCACTGATACAAGTTCAAAACAATGGTCGTCACTGTTGCCTGTCCACACTTTGGGGTCAGGGTTGACCTTTAATGATGATGCAGACTGAGGTCCAAGTATCAGGCAATGAAGTGGGAGGAGGAGCAACCTGTGCCGCTCCCCACCCCACCAGGATTGGAGCATCCACTGACACCACTACCCCACCAGCCACTCTCACATCATGGCATTTGCTGAGTGACAGAATGGTTGACAGGGCTTTTTGGAGTGGCTGCCCAGGCTCTGTTTCCCTTGCATTGCATGCCACCCCTCCATTTTAGTTTTGCTGCTATGAGAAACAACTGTGGTGCTGTCACCAGCTGAGCTACAAAAACCCTGCAGTGGACGAGCTAACAAAAGAGTGACAAGGGTAACAGGAAGGGGTTCTTGATGTAGCAGTGAGAAAAAAGGAAGAGGTGGAGGTGGCAAGTGCTCCCTTCTGCAGAGACACGTCTTGGGTTATGTGCGAAGAAGATGGCCTGACAGCACTCTTGCCAAGAGCAATATAGCATTGTGGGCATCTCATGAACCAAGAGAGAGAGAGAACCCATTGCTGGAGGAACTAGAAAAGATGGCTGTGCAGACATAGTATTCCTACCTGTGTTAGCAGGATCAAAGGGAAACCTCCCCTACCCATCTGAAATACATTTCATACCAACACAAAATCCCCAAATAGTTGCACTGCAGGCTGGAGACTAGGAACTTTGTTTTGATAACACTACTATTCCTGCCCTTTGACTAATGGAAATCCTCTGAACTTGGACAAATGTGTTCTCTCCCAGTTCAACAGAAGTGGCAAGACTCTTACCTTTCTTTCTTGTCCAACTAAAGGGAGCCAATAAAGACACAGGCAACAGGGACAAACATATTCAGCTCAGTCAAATAACAAAGCGGCTTAGTACTAAGCACTCACCCTCCGGAAGCAGCAGCATGGAGGCATGTTCTCCCGAGGTTATCTGGCGTATTGATATCAAAGCCTGCAGACAGCACGTGCTCATTGCTAAGTGAGGAGACGATGCTGTACAACTGACCTGTTAATTGCAAGACAGCAATTCACATACAACCATTGGGAGAGGTCATCTGGAGGTTTGAGCTGAAGTGTCACAGTACGCTGATGGCACTCAGCTCAAGCTCTCAATTACATCTGATCCAGGTGTGGCAGTTGAGATCCTAATTTGTGCAGCAGGATGGACTGGATGAGGATGAATAAACTGAAGCGTAATCTAGACAAGATGGAGGTGCGATTGGTAGAGAAAACCCTGATCCAGGGGGACACTATCTGCCCTGTCCTGGATGGCACTACACTTTTTTTTTTTTTATTATTATTATAACATTTCTATGCCGCCCCTTGCCGAAACCTCGGGGCGGCTTACAACATGATAAAATACATTGAAATACAATAGTACATAATAAATTACCATTAAACATAAAAATACAAAAAATACATTGATTTACAAATACAAAATTAAAATTATCAGTATAAAATAAAAATATAGGATGAGAAAGAGAAGGAAGAAGAAGTTGCCCAGGCCAGATCATATGTTTTAACAATTGAAATGATGTTTAAATAAAAAGGTCTTTACCTGGCGCCGAAAAACCAGTAACAACGGTGCCAGGCGGACCTCTTTGGGGAGTGAATTCCATAGGTTGGGCGCCACCGCAGAGAAAGCCCTCCTCCGGGTACTTACTCTCCTAATTTCTTTCATGGAGGGTTCCCGGAGAAGGGACTCTCCCGCAGATCTCAAAGGGCGGTCGGGCATATACGGACGTAAGCGCTCGTTCAGGTAGCCAGGACCCAAGCCGTTTAGGGCTTTGTAGGTCATAATCAACACCTTGAATTGGGCCCGGGCTTCAATGGGAAGCCAGTGAAGCTGACGGAGGACTGGAGTCATGTGAGCATAACGCCCCGTCCCCGTCAGCAACCTGGCAGCTCTATTTTGCACCAATTGAAGTGTTCGGACTGTCTTCAGGGGAAGCCCCACATAAAGCGCGTTACAGAAGTCTAGGCGGGAAGTCACCAGCGCGTGTGTCACCGTCGCCAGGCAGTCGTACTCCAGGTAGGGGCGCAGCTGATTAATCAGCTGAAGCTGAAGGAAGGCGTTCCTCGCCACCGCTGTCACCTGAGCTTCCAAAGAAAGCTCTGGGTCGAGGAGTACTCCTAAGCTGCGGACCTTATCCCTAAGAGGGAGTGTTGCACCATTCAGGACCAGGTCAAATCCACCCTCTCCGAAACCCGATCCGCCAACCAACAGGACCTCCGTCTTGTCTGGGTTGAGTTTCAGTTTATTGGCCCTCATCCATTCCCTTACCTCGGCCAAGCACCCGTTCAGCACAGCCACTGCCTCACCTGGATTAGTGGAGAACGAGAGGTAAAGCTGGGTATCATCAGCGTATTGATGATTCCGCAGCCCACACCTCCTGATGACCTCTCCCAGCGGTTTCATATAGATGTTAAATAGCAGAGGGGATAGAATGGAGCCCTGTGGTACCCCATGGCATAGCTGCCATGACGTAGAGACATGGTCCCCCAGCACTACCTTCTGGAATCGACCGTCGAGATAGGAGCGGAACCACTGCAAAGCAGTGCCTCCAACCCCCAAGCCCGCAAGTCTATCCAGAAGGATACCATGGTCGATGGTATCGAAAGCCGCCGAGAGGTCCAGAAGAACCAACAGGGATGTACTCCCCCTGTCCTTCTCCCTGCACAGGTCGTCGTACAGGGCGACCAAGGCAGATTCAGTACTGTACCCGGGTCTGAAGCCGGACTGAAAAGGATCCAGATAATCAGTTTCATCCAAGAGTGCTTGGAGTTGTCCCGCCACCACTCGCTCCAACACCTTGCCCAGAAACGGGATGTTGGCCACGGGTCTATAGTTAGTGGCCATCTCTGGATCCAGTGACGCTTTCTTCAGGACCGGTCGTATTACCGCCTCCTTTAAAGGGGCAGGCACTCGACCCTCCCTCAGAGAAGCGTTAACCACTTCCAAGATCCAGGTCCCAATCCCGTGCTTGGAGTTATTTATTAACCAAGACGGGCAAGGATCCAATAGGCAAGTGGTGGGACGTACTCTTCCAAGCACCTTGTCCACATCATTGGGCCGCAATAATTGAAATTCCTCCAATAATTTTGGACCAGACGGTGGCATTGGCGACTCCTCAGAGACCTCTGATTCATTAGTGGAGTCCAGCTCGTGACGAATCTGAGCGATTTTCTCCCTGAAATGCCTGGCAAAGTCGTCACAGCGGGCCTTTGAGGGTGGCATCGGATCTTCCTTAGGACCCAGGCGAACCAGGCCTTGCACCACTCGAAAAAGCTCCGCTGGACGGCATTGTGAGGAGGCAATGGAAGCGGAAAAAAACTTCTTTTTCGCCGCCTTCACCGCCACAGCATAGGCCCGATAGTGGGCTCTCAAGTGTGTTCGGTCAGATTCATCCCGTGATTTCCTCCACCTACGCTCTAGCCGTCTCCCAACTCGCTTCATCGCCCGCAATTCAGGTGTATACCAAGGGGAAGAGCGGACTCTGCCCGGTGGGAGAGGACGCTTAGGAGCGATCGTGTCCACAGCCCTGGTCATCTCTCCGTTCCACAGTTCGACCAGAGCCTCGACAGGAGCACCAGTCTTGTCAGCCGGAAACTCCCCCAGGGCCTTCAGGAATCCATCCGGATCAATCCGGCTCCGGGGGCGGGCCCATACAATCGGGTCCGCACTCTTATAGAGGGAGAGGCCGCTCTCGAGCACAAACCTCACCAGGAGGTGATCTGACCATGACAGGGGAGTCAAACATAAGTTCTTCACCCTCAGGTCATCCTCTACCTGCCCCGTCGTGAACTTCCCCTTAAGGACACTTCCCCTTAAGGACAGAGTGAAGACCCTGGGGGTGCTTCTGGACCCAGAATTGTCCCTGGGGTCTCAGGTAGCATCTGTGGCCAGGAGCACTTTCCATCAACTTCAGCTGATTTATCACCTATGTCCCCATCTGGACAGGCCAAACCTAGCAATGGTAATCAATGTGCTGGTAACTTCAAGTTTAGATTACTGCAATGTGCTCTATGCGGGGCTGCCATGTAAAATGGTCTGGAAACTTCAGTTGCTACAGAATAGGGCAGTTTGCCTGACAGGGACAAGTAGACATGAACATATTACCCTGGTGCTAGATCATCTGCACTGGCTACCAACTTAAGTCTGGGCTTGCTTTAAGGTGCTTAGACTAATGTATAATGTCCCAAATGGCTTAGGGTCTGGATATCTAAAGAAGTGTCTTCTCCCATATACCCCTAACCAGATCCTCGGATCATCTATGGAGCTCCTCCTGTGAGCAGCCCCTGAAGAGGGTGGCTGCAAGGGGAGGGCCTTCTCAGTTGTGGTTCCCTGCCTGTGAAATCAGCTCCCCAGGGAAATATACCTGGCACCAAGGTTATACATGTTCTGGTGCCAGGTTAAAACTCTTTTATTTTCCTGCCATTTTAATTGCTGATCATCAGGTTTTATATTGGCTTTTAAATTGTTTGGTACATGTGGAATAGTTGTTATGTATTTTACTGTGTTGCGGTATATGCCAGCTGAATTTTATCGCCATAGATATATCTTATGGCAGGCAAGTCTGTTTTAAACTGTTTTAACTGTTGTATTTGGTATATTTTAATCACATTTTGTAAACCGTTCTGAAAGTATTTGCTAATCCAAGTGTTTATAAATGCTTTAAATAAATACATACATAAATGTGGAAATGGACAAGACTATTAGTTCACCATGATTCTATGGAGTGGCTGATATTTGAGATGGAATTCAAATATTCCTGAGAATCTCAAGAAGTCTTTTCACACATATACAAAATATGTGTTGCCAGCCCTCATTGTTACGGAGACATTTCTGCAGATATTCAGTCAGTATGTGATGTCATGATGGTTAATAAGCCATGATTACTTGTTAACCATGCTACACATGCTGATCATTAATTGGCCTGATTTACAAAATTACCCTTGCCAAGTGCAACTTCTTCTGTTGTCTGAATCCAGTGAGGGTGGCTTGTTGGGGTGGTTAACAAACCACCCCACAATCCTTCAACAGGTGATAGATTCTGTGTGGTTTCTTTAACTACCCCAGCAAGAGGTTCAGACAGGTTCAGACAATATAGGAAGCCAGAGCAGGAGGCCTGAATTGGTAACTGGGTGCCTCTGGGGTGTAGTGACCATGTGAACCAGGTCAACAGCTGAAAGTTCAAGTGTTCAAGTCAATGGGCCTTCTGTGCCATATTACCTGCCAAACAGTATGAACACTTCATGCTCCTCATTTATTCATATCTCCTACCATATTGTTCTTACCAATCAGTACATCAGTTCTAGAAAACCCCAAATATTTAAGGTAAAACTAAGACTGTAAACTGGGCAAATCAATAAATTGCGAAAGCTTGCATTAACTTTTTCTAAGCTAGAATATGTGTTTTTTAATACAAGAAATCACCTGTGAGGAAAACAGACAGATGGGGCAGAAATCTTTCCGCACAAAGAACATTCCTGAAAATTGGCAAGAAAGTACATCTCCAGCTTCAAGATGAAAAACTTCTAAGTATATTGTATATGTATTCTTTTTTTTCTTTTTCAACATGTTTTCTGGTTTGCCTATTGCTCTGAAATAGAGGAAAATATTGAGGGGAAGGGATCCCAACTATCTTTTCTTAGGCTTTCTATGGCAAGTTACTGCCAACTGTTAAAAAATGCAACCAAATTCACCTATCTGTATTACTTGCTTTGAATTCAGGCACATGCACAGAAAAGGTTGGTTCCTTATAAACCCAACTGCAAAAGAACAAGAAAAGGTGTGCTAGCCACATACCTGAGGAAAGTAGCTTACGACAACAGTCTGAGAATCCAAAGAGAACAGCTAAGTGCAAGGGGAACATGTCATGGATCCCACGCCTAACATAACAAAAGAGAAAAGCATGCATCAAGAACCTCTCAAACATACGGCACAGAAAACCAGGGCAGGAAAAACATGGCCAATTTCCTACATGGGTGGCACAATTATCCCATTTACTTCTTTTCTTTCCTCAGCAGGAAAGGTTTAGCACCTTAAATTGTGCATTTGCACTAATGTAGGTTGGTTGCTACTTCACTGAAAAGGATGAAAACATCACTCACCCATCCCAGTTGTGTGTACAAAAAGAGTGGAGTGTGGTAACTGAGACTTAATTATGCATCCTGAGAGATGCCACTGTAACAGAAACGTCCTCACCTTGCAGTATCAGCACCATTCGTCATCAAAGTACTAATTAGCAGCTCATGGCCGTATCTAGCAGCAACGTGGAGGGGGGTATTGCCATATTTGTCAGCGCAGTCAATCTCACTGCCTGCAAAGCAAACACGATCATTCTTTACTCGAGTCTTTAAACTGACCAGAAGCAACAGGCAACTTTGCTAAGTGATAAGAATGCACTAGACAGAACTATGAATGATTCCCATGTTCTTCTGTTCTGCTTTTAATTTCTTTGGTGCTTTTGATGAAGTCCCACCTTGGTGCTTTGCTTTCAGAACCACAGGGAGGTGAATTAACACTGGACCAAAAGAATCACCAAGTGATTCTTTTGTGGTTCATGCAACAGTACTCCAAAACATGACTGTGGGCTTTAAGGAGTTAAATCTGCTTTGTACTGAATAAAACAAAACCCCTTTACACAGTAAGTGGGATTTTCTTTTTACCATAGAACTCAACGTAAGAAGAGAGTTCACTTGCTTAAAATAAATATACAGGATTTAACAGATACGTGTGAATTAAAGTACACTGCTATGTCTAAAGTGTTTATACTTACTAGATTGTTCCATGGATTAAAAAAAAAACCTTCAAGGAAAAGTGGAAGAATTCTGCCAGGAAGGAACACTGTAAAATGTAAACACTGAGCAACGGCTTTAGAGGACAGTGGACAGCTTACCATTTTGTATGAGAATCTGAGAGCGTGTAAACCGTCCATGAATGGCTGCCATGTGCAAAGGACTCTTCCCTTCTTTACTCTGCAAACATCAAAGCAAATTAGTCAATAGGCATTTCCTGCTACCTAGGATATGAACTCGCCTTTAAGTGTATCATAAAAGTATGTAGCTTTTAAATGTATACAGTAGCTTTCATTTTCACCTGCTTCACTGCTGACTGAATGCAGTTCAGCTGCTCATACCTGAAAGTTCACGTCAGCTCCATTATTAACAAGAAGTTCCAGGCACAGGGCTCCGTTGGTGGAGACGGCAGCAAAGTGCAGGGGGGTGAAGCCCTTCTCATTGGGCTGATTGACATTGGCGCCATAGTTGACCAGTTCATTGGCCACGGCATCCTGACCCATGTAACAGGCAATGTGAAGTGCAGTGTTGCCAAAGGAATTTGGTTCATCAATCTGTAAGAACAAGCAGCGGGAGACAGTGTTTGAATGTGCTATATCTGGTACTGTGTAGAAGGCTTGGCCACAGAGGGAAGCAGCAACTCCAGGACTGTGCTGACTCCACAGATTATCCTTCAAATACTGTCACCCGATGATACAACCTGTTGTGCGTGTCAATGTTCCCCCAGTAAATGCTCAGTCTATTGAATTTTTATTAATGTGATGTTATTTATTCCTTATCTTTCAGGTAGCAAACCCTCACCAAGGTAGACTAAAAAAGGTAGACTACAAGAATAGGATCCAATGTTGGGTGAGCATACATTTGCTCATACAACAGGACTTTCCCCTCTTTTCTTCCCCTCTGCAGCTAGCCAAAAATCTATTCTGGAGTAACTCTGAACACTAGAGCAGGTTTTGAGGATGTGTGCAGCATGGGGGAAGGAATTGCCTTTCTCCCAATTATATTAACAGAAGCAGTTCTCTGCATAAAAACATCCCTGAAGATTAAAAACAGGCTGTGATGAGTTAAAAAAAACAGCAGGTACAGCATGAAACTGGCACAAAACCATGAAGTTCAATTTAAGTTAGGTGGAATGTGTATGCGTGCATACACACTGTTCCCCGCTTAATGCACTAGCGGGGAAAGAATCTTGTAAGATTTAAAAGCCTCAAATAAAGTAAGTCCATGTTTCATGCCTGCCCCCACAAAGTCTTCTCCATCAACTGAAGACAGATTGATTCTAACAACTATGCTACTCCTGCTTTTTTGTTTTGCTTTTAAACTCAAGACTGAATTTAATGTCTTTTTTAATTTTGGAGTGTTCTCTTTTTAAAACCTTATTTTTCTACCAGGAAACGGACATTTTGGTATTCCCAGTGTGATCAGTACCATCTCAGAGAAACCATTCTAGCAACCTTGGATTAAGCTTGTCCAGTATTAAGATAATTAAGACTACAAGTCTGTACTCATGCATGTACATATGAAATCAGTGGGAACCCGCTTCTGAGTACATACAGAATTGTACTGTAAAAGCCCCTTAGTCTGTGCTGATACTCCTTCAAAAGGATGCCACACACTTTCCACCTGTAGCTAGCACATTGTATTTTACTAGTTTCTGGCACTGGCCTAAATTGTACCCCATGCAGGAACATACCAACCATATCTGCCCATATATGTAGGGCAATACTATTTTCTTTCTCTATTATAAAATCCAACAAATTCATTAGCAGATATTGAGCTCTAAAATTCCAGGGACTGAGGGAGTTAGATGCCCAAAATGCATTGTAAAAAAAAAAGAGAGAGAACTGAGACCATTCATAGGTAAATAAATTTGTTCCCTAGGAAGCTGGATTCCTAAATATTGAGAGGGGCCTGTCTGTACCTTTTGCTCTTCAACTCTACTTAAAACACCTCTCTCAGCATAAAGATACCTATTTCCCATTGGCAAGCCTTAGGGGATACAATACCACTTGCCAGGTGGTAAAATTGTATCCACATCCACCTGCCCAGCCACAATCAGTATCCTTGTGCAATTACTTCTGAAATATATTTTTAAACACGTGCCTCTCAAATGTGAGCAGCCTCCCAAGGTATGCAGCTGGCATAATGAATTGAGCAGCTACATCCATGTATTTCTAAGCTGAAGACACATGTGACAAAACAGTTTCCAAATGCTGCATTTCTTCAGAAAGTCTGAAGTTAAGTCTGTGCACATCGAAGCTACAGGCAAGGAAGTGTATGCCCAAAAGAAATGCAGTCAGAATAAACAAGCTGAGCCACACTGTAGTGTTCACCGAATTGGGGCCACCACAGAACTTGCCTCAACTCCAAGCCTCAGCAAGTGTTTCACAATTTCAATCTGGCCGCTGGCAGCAGCTGTGTGCAGCAGTGTATAACCCTTCTTGTCTTTGCACGTAACATCAGCTCCTCGGGCCACAAGCAGCTTCAAGACTTCCAAATGCCCTGGAAGGGAACAAGGAACACACAGAAAAATAAAACATTTTTTTTAAAGACTAACATTTCCCATAGAGCTCTGCTTCTACAGCAAGGGCCAGACTTGGAATTGATCCCAAATGTTGCTCAAACCATTTCACTGAACTGACACCACACAGAGATTATATAGTAATTTTGGCAAGATTCTGCTTCTTCATCTTGATGGAGGCTGAGGCGGATGTAACTTTACTGTATCACTTAACTGTGGTTAGGAGAGTAGTAGCAATCCATAAAATTGACTCTGTTCCCTGGACTCTGTACTGAGCATGAATTCCTACTAACTTGCTAAGTGCAGCCTGGCATTGTGAACTGGCCTGAATACCTAGTTAACTTTTGCTATAGCAACTTCCATTTTCTTAGGCACAGGGAAACAATCAAGCAGGCCTGGGCCATTTGGGAAATAACCTGAACCTATGATTTAGGAGTTAGGTGTATGAAATTGGGCTTGCACGCTTTGCCCTTCCTTCTCCCATGTTGTGGCCAAACAGAGGAGAGAAGAGGCTTTTGCTTCCCCTTTTCAAACCTGCAAGAGTTCTCCCAAGAACAAACATAGCAGAAGAACTTAGGTTAATTTAAAAATGAAAGAGTGTGCTTCAGTTTTCCTCCTTGCAGAGGAGGAAAGAACAGGAGAGTTTATCAGCTTACAGCTTATGCAGACAATACTAAACCACAATTCTACATTATATGCAGACCATCCCAAGCAACAAGGAACTACAGACTTCCCAATGGAAAAGTGGGTCAACTCACCCCAAAACAGTTGCAAGAAGTACACACACCTGTTATTGTCCTCTCTACTTAATTATTTTTGTTAATTTTTCTTACCTTATGACAACTCTTGCATGAATTGTAAAAATAGAATTGTAAATACAGTCTGACACACCAAATATGTTTCTATGGGAAATGGGTTGTTACAAGAGAACGAGTATAGGTTTATTTAGGTTTCATTATACATTGCCCTTTTACCTCCGAATCCAGGAGCTGGTAGAGCCCTCACATACAGAGTGAATAAACATGTGGCCCCATAAAATAAGACTGCAGAACATCTACTGTATAATATGACAGGGATGCATGCAAAATTCACTCTGCCAAGTTTTCTTAAAAATGGATTTATAAAATTTGAACCTACCAGATCTAAATGTGGACCTCAATGCAATTTGCAAGTAGAAATCCACACTTTTTTGAGCTTGTGATGTTTTTCACAAAGCAAAAATAATGTCTGGCAACAAACATACCAAAAAAATGTGTACATTTCTAAAATTTGCAGAAAACGCTTTAGTCAGTAGGCCCATGCACTGAAAAATACATGCTGAAATATGTACACCAAATATGTATACATCAACTTAGTATGTATTTCTGTACTGATTTTTTTAAAAAAATCTCAGGCTTCTGTGGAAAGAGGATGAAATAAGCTTAACCTCAAAAAAATGACACTCTCAGCAAGACCAAGACTGACAAATGCATCCACCACTAGTGTACAATTTAGCCAAAATAATCAGCCAATTTAATCACTCCAGTCACTTTATGGGGCTGTTTGCACATAACAGCATAGAAGCATGGATGAATTAATTCCACAACATTTTGAATGTTCAACCCTAATTGGACCAATTGAGGGGTGCTACATGATGTCCAAGCTCTGAATGTTGCCATTGTTTGGGTTTAGTGAGCTCTTGGAGGGACGATGACTTGAGGCTGGCCAGCTCATAGGCCAAGGAGATTGTGTTTGTGACCCAGGTTGCTAGTCTCTGGGCAGAGAGCAGTTCTCCCTTGTTCCTTCCACCCTAGCATACAAAGAGTTTGGTGACCGGCAGAAGAATTCTGTTCTGCAGCATTAAAACATGAGCGCCTTCAAACATCCAGGAGTGCAGGATGGATTCCATGGGAGTGGAGGAGACAGTGAAGAAGTCTGGGAGGATAATGTCCTGGATGAGGTGGAATGCCTATTATGACCTTGAAAAGGAAGATCAGGTCCAGCAGAAGTACTGAGTTGTCCCTGGAGAAGCTAAGGTGGTAGGTGTTACGTAGAGAACACATAGTCACTGGTGCATCAAGCTTATGTGATGGCCACAAGGCAGGCAACTTTCCATGAGGGGAGGTGGAGGTCAACTGTAGCTAGAGGTTCAAATGGTTTCTTGGTGAGTGCCTGTAGTACCACAGAAAGGCTTCATGCTGGTGCACAGGGATAGGTAAGTGCGACTAGCTTTTAAAGGCCTCTCAGGAAATAGTGGGACAGAGGGTGTGGGAAGACTGGGAATCCTTGGATTGGGGTGTGGAAATACTTGGATAGAGAAAGGTTTTAGCCCTATTTGCAAGTTCATGTGTAGGAAGCAGAGAATGTGGTTGACAGTGGCCTCCTGTGGGTCAAGGTCTTTGAAGGTCTTCAAAAGTAGAGAAGGCGCTCCATTTAGTTAGGCAAGATTTTCTTGTTGATGGCTTAATGGCTGCATTGCGAATGGTTCCAATGCCCTGACGTAGTGTTGGACAAGGGGGCTATGGTGTGTTGCACCAAACTGTGAGGTGTAGGGTACTGGCTGGTAGTCCTGGCGACCTTCCTCTCAGTACTGAGAGGTGCCGTTGTCTCCTTGGGACGATCTAGAGTCCCTATGGTACCAAGGTGAGGCTAGTGACTATCCCATTCCAGCAACAGGGAGTGAGATCTCTCGGAGCCTTTGCATTTGGGGGGGGGGGGATGTTGCTGTCAGGGAGGTGCACATGGATTGCCATGATGCTGATGCCTTGGAGGGTGGACAGGCTGGAGACCTGGGAGGGGTGTCCCCCACTCAGGTATTGAAGTTGCCAGGTCAGGTTCTTCCACTGATATTGAGGGCTCCAGCAGCTCCAGGCAATATCTCAGGGTCAAGGATTGGTGAGGGTTTGCTTGGCACTCATACTTTTCCTTAGCATTTACGCCATCTTTTTGGCACATTTGGCCCTCTTCCTGGCCATGCAGTCTTCCAGTAATAGGCTGGGCATTTGTGGGGTGGTCTTCATCAAGGCTTTTACTATAGTCAATGAGGGCCTGCATAGTGTTGCCATAGTCACGTTGGATATCCAATCAAGTCATGTTTGCATGGTGGATTTGGCAGCTTGCAGGGCCTGCTCCAGAATTCAGCCTTTAGTCAATTTGCCCTATTTTTCCAGGCCTGCTTTGTGAAGGCCTGACAGTGTGGGCAGGCATCCACCACATGTCTCTCACCCAAGCAGAAGAGGCAGCAGGAGTGCCCATCCACTGGTGTGGGTGGGGGGAGGCTTACTCCTGAAGCAGGACACATTTTCTAAAGGGTACCTATGAGGCCATTGCAGGAGATGGGAAAATGAAAGACAGAGGAAGGAATAGGGTTTTGACATGGAGGAGGAGAAGATGGGGGAAAGAGAGGGGAAGGGGGAGTTTCACTAAGGAATCTAGATGGTATAAAGCAGAAAGAAGAGAAAATGGTAGAGATATAGGTAGTAAAGAATGGAGATACTCAAATTTGTAAAGAGAGAAGTGCTTCCTGATCTAGGCATGAAGGAAGTCAAATAGAAACTAAGGGAATGGGTGGGAGCCCCTCCCATGTACACCACGAACAGGTAGGAGAGGGGCTCCCACCCAAATATGCACTTAGCTATAGAATCCTTCCAACAACAGGCTCCGTGCAGGCATAGAGCCCATACATGTGATGCACAGAGACCACAAAGAACATGGAAGCATGAAATAAGTCTTTGAGTGAATAGCTGAGTGGTTAACATAAAGGAAATGAGAAGCCAAGAGAATCTATAGATTTACTTCAGATGTTACTCTATTTGAGAAACCTGTAGCCCTGGAATATCACAAAATGAAAACACAGGTCCAAGGTCAGATGTGAGGATAAATCAAGCACTCTTATGAACACAAATCACTTCGAAGCAATATGTGGAAATGTCAAATGCAGCACATTTTAGATAAGAAAATGACCATGGGGATGGAAACTGAAGCTTTGATACTTTAGTATCCCTTGTTAAATATGATTGCAAACAAGCCAGCTACCTGCTGATATAGAATAAAATAAAAATACATTTTCACAGAATGGCCTCTTCATACATAAGAAAACTTCCAGTACTGAACTAAATTTCATGAGAGAATTGCTTAAATACTCTATAATGTTTGCCACATGCAATGAACACACACATATATTTTGTGGCATGTATATGTAATAAGAAGTCACAAACACAGTGTGCAAAGAAGGGGAGTGTCATGTGCAAGCTTTGGACATGGAATAAAATCATTTATTGGATTAGTAAAATCCCCTTTGTGGAACTAGCTTTCTTGTTTGAAATATAATCTTCCATGATATAACTCCCATTCCTAGGAGGATTTCTCAAGGTTCATCCAGTTTCAAGCAACACCACTAAACATGATCCTTACTTTAAAATGTCTGGAAATATGAAGCAACCTAATCCCAACCTTGACAGTTGGTTTGACAGTACCTCAGTAATTGCTGGGACCAAGAGGGATGGTGGGCTTGGGCGACCACTCCTACAGGACACTAGCCCCGTCACAGGTGCTGATTCGGATGTGGAGGAGGAGGAACGTCTCCGTGAGACGGGGGGGCATGGGTTGGCTCAAGGTCCTGGGACGCAACAGGAGGCGGCGGCTTGCTCATGGACAGGCACCTCGCTGCACCAGACCGTACATGGGAATGGCCCAGACGTGCAGCCGGGGGAGGGGCCCCTGGGGATGGGGAATTCCCAGCCCCAGCCCAGCCCCCCCCGCCCCACCCCACCCCACCCCACCCCACCCCACGGCAAGCTGTCAGCAGAGGCGAGAGGCCCAAGCAGATCAGCAGCACGGAGAGGAGGTGCACTTGCCTACAGAGAGACCTTCCTGAAGGGTCCGGATGCAGACATGTTCATAAGGAGAGTTGCTGGTGGCAACTGCTAGATTGGGTTCAGCAGAACACTCTATACATGCTCAGAGATCTGTTCTGGGTGATTAGCATTGGAAACGATAAAGTACATTTGCAAGGAAATGAACTGTGGCTGGTGTTTCTTCAAAGGAGGAACCTCAGCTTACAACAGTAATGTATACTTTAACAATGGCTCTCTGAAGTCTTAGGCTGGCGATTTTACTAGCTCTGTTCCCTCAGATATTTTAAGGGTACAATCCTGTGCATGTCTAGACAGAAAAAAATCTCTACCACGCCCAGCTTTCCTCAGTCTGCCATTCTGGCTGGGGTATGCTAAGAGTTGTAGGATCTCCTTCTATCAAAAATACATAGGACTGTGCCTTAACTGAAGATGTCAAAGATTGAGTCTGGGGTGCTTTTGCACACAAGGGATGTGCACAGCCTATCAGTGATGGCCCTAAAAGTGAACTGTGTACCATTAGGGGGAAACTCTTTACTTTCTTTGAAGGCTAACTTCAAAAGCAAACATACTGCATGGGATTTATGGTTTATCCTATCCTGACCATTCAAAATCATGAAAAGACAGAAAATGGAAGTTATTTAAATAGCTAGCATACTTCCTCTAAGAAAAATTACAGCTTATCCCTCACCCAATTCTCTCTTCTCAGCTGCAGTGCAAAAGAAACTAATGAGATATTAATGGCTGTAGATAGAATGATAGCAGCTGTTGATGTATCTTAATGACTGCTTGTGTGATTAGCTTCCCTCTGGGTAGGTGGGGGTTACATAATTCATAAGTGAATGCAGACGGGAACCATGAGCAGTGAAAACAGGAGTGCTTTAACTGGAATAATCATTCCACTAAATGAATTGTTCTATGGGATGTGGGGTGGAGTTGTTTAGAATTGGAAGGTGGAGTGCTTAAGTAGCAGATTCCATAATAGAAGTACTATCACTACAATAACAGTAAGATGACTGTCGCTGCTGCCACCAGCAACAACCCTAACACGCCGAAACAACCTAAGCCCTCGCTGATGCAAGCACCTTTGCAGGCAATCCCTAAGTGGCAGATACAAATTGGCACACAGTTATTTCATTTATCTTTCAGACTAACACAGGGAGAACTCACCTCATCAACAGCAGTTGGATGCAGCAGCTGCTTCCTTCTTGAGCCTCATTTGTGGGCCAACAGCCACTAGCTACCTCTGGCCTGGTCTTACTTACTAGGCCAGTCATGCTGTGCAGCCACCACAAAGTCATGAGTGGGGCAACTCCCAACACATTCTCCGTAGCATTTTTAGTACTTGATATGATTCACAGATACACCAGTAATCCTTGCAACAATCATGGGGGCAAGTCAGAATGCAAAGAACACAAACCTTCAAATCTACCAGATCAGATATTGCACATACCATCCATTTCCTTCCTGGTGGCACCCTCTGACTCTTCCCTCACTGATTTTGTGGGACATTTTGTATTTTGGACACAACCAGAGAGAGGAGGCAGGAAATGGAACTAGGCATAGAACAGGTGCAACAGGCCACTACCGCCCATCATCTTAGCCCCACCTGACATCAGCACTCAGGTGCCCCGATCTCTTGGCAGGGTCTAGGTCCAGAATAGACTGCTGTGAAAGTTCATTTTGGATTGGTGATAGAAGCATTCAAATAAAGGGGGTATCTCTTTTCACTGCCCAGGAACATAGGGATCACGTGGTTAGTGAAGGAAGTCTGGTTCCTTTAACTCTGTCTCCATTTTCCAAATACAGTCAAGCTCAAGACAGAAGAGCCTTAAGAGGGCAAAGCAGCAGAGCAAGGAAAACCACAGTCACCCTTCTGGAGGACAAGACAACAACCTAGAGTGAACAAAGCAAACTAACTTAATGGGGGGGGGGGGAGTCAGCCATTTTGTGGGGCAGAGCTGGATGCCTCTGGCACATCAACTCAAAAACGGACTTCCCTGCTAAGTAGGCAGCACAGCATTCTTTAGTTGGTGTGAGGTGCCATCCAAATGAGCAGGATGTGCACAAACCAAGCCTTGCTCTCCTCTCAGTGGCTGACTTAAAGTAGGAGAGACCACAGTCTGTAGAACCCATCTCCCCGAAGCCAGCTCTGCAGACATGAGTATGAGTGGTCTATAGTGACAGGAGAAGGTGTTCCAACAGCCCCATCATCAGTCGGCAGACCTCCACAAAGAGGGTTTAGGTGGAGAAGGCTGCCAAGTTAACTACAGGTCGTACGGAATGAGTGGCAATGCAGTTGGGCCTTGAGATATACTGAGTCATATGTTGCAGTGCTACTGCATAAACCATCCAGTAATGCTTTTCTTGGTGCTTTCTGCTCTAAAGGTTAGGGATATGGGGATGAATAATGCAAACACTGAATCAGTACGCTTAAGTTCTTTTGTTATATAGATCTACGTGTGTGAAAGACATCATCATTGGCCTGAAAAGGGGGCCAGAAAAAGAGTAACTGAGGTCTTTGAAATTGCAAAGATGGTCAGGCTCCCAGTACTGCCTTCATCAAAGGCAGGAAAGGAAAATGGACACAGAGCTAACGGAGAAAGGATTCTTTAAAAGAGCATGATATACATGACCCTGCCTTCTAGGTCAGGAAGAAGAAATGACCCACTCATTTGCATACCTTTGTCACACCAACAGGAAGATATTCTATAATTTTATATGCAACTCCCCCTCAGATGTCTGCATATATTAACATAATGAGAGAGAGAGAGAGAGAGAGAAAGAGAGAAAGAGAAATCAGAATATCTGAAAAAGTATGGAAAAACATACCAAGGAAGGCTGCCCAATGTATTGGCTGTCTCTCCTTCTTGTCGCATGTGCTCAGATTGGCCCCTTTATTTAAGAGCAGGTTTATCATCTAGAAAGACACGCAGAAGAAAGGGACACAAAGTGAAAAACAAATGTTATAATGAAGCCAAATCACAAGCCAATTTACTTGGTGCTCCATGGCCTCTAAAGTGTTGCAGAATCAACACCTTTCTCCTTGGGATGCAGCAACTCATGTTATGTATGTCCACACAAGTCTTAGGTTTGACAGGAACACTAAGAAACAAAGGAGAAGAGAAGCAACATGGGGAAGTTTCTGGTAACTCCCCAAAAGCCATCCTTAAATGCAAAAGAGAAAAATGTCCTTCACAGTATATCAAGTTCCACTTTTCAGTAAGGCATGCAACAGATGGCAAATTAAGCCTGTGGAAGTTAGGATACATTTTCTCATCAAAAAGGTTAGGGTTCTGAGATTCCGAAGAAATTAAATAAAAGTAAAATTAAATAAACATCTATAGCTGGATTAAAATAGGCACATTCTGACATTTTGCATACAATATACTTAATTTACACCATTTGCATGGTACTTGGGATCCTGGGGACAGCACCTTCAATTTTGTTATGGACTGGAGAAGGCTGGAACATCTGGCTCATTCCTCTGTATGATCTTGAAAGGCAGGTTGTTGGGACCTGTGCCAAGTCAAGTAGCACTATTTGCCAATGACTGTTAGTCTCACTCAAACATCCTTCCATTTCTAAACTCTGAGAGAAACCACAGATCTTGACATTTTTTTCTTTTTTAAGTCACAAGGTCTCAACATCTGCTCCTTCATTAAAAACTGAAAGAATGACCTATTAGGTCCTTCTGGCAACTAGTAGATTCTGTGTTACAGGCCATATTTCAGGCTCTACAAGAGCATCACAGCTATGCAGCTACCTAACCTTTTAAACCATCTGGCCAAAGAGTTTCTTTCTTCACCCAGATAATAATCTGCAGCAGAGCAAACATATCCTCCCTGGGGTTCCAGGAGCCTAAGATCAAAGCCTCACACCACATTACATGCAGACTTATGTATTAAAGCCCTAGTGTTAGCATCAAATAGGAAAAACATCTTTGGAAAGTGTCAACCTGAACCAACAAGAGGTGTGCTTAACTCATCCCTGACCTGCTATATTTTCTGCTGCAACAACAGTTACTGTGTTTTTGCAAATCTTCTAAACAAATTTCTCCCACAAATATGCTTCAAGTGGGGAATGAAAAAGAATAATAGATTAGGGGGTGTGGGTGGGGGCAGAGGAGTGAAATGCAGCAAAGAAGTGGATAGACAGGAAAGGGTTAAGCAATCTCTCTCCCCTGCCCCAAATTACTCCTCCCAAAGACACTTTGCATAATAGAAGTTGCTGTCAGCATTTAATCACACAGATTTATGTATAGTGTAGTTCCATCCAGCTGAGATGCTGTTCACACTAGAGCATCTTCTTCCACTGCTTATCCTTGTCTGGTAGAGCTGGACTGCATAGAGATCCACGAGAGAAAGCAGTAAGTACGCCTCTTACCTCAATGTGCCCACTGTGTACGGCATGGTGCAGTGCTGTGCGGCCAGTGCGGTCGGCCACGTTAACGCTACTAAGCAAGGGGATGATAGCCTCAGCACACTTGGTGGCTCTGTTGGCAGCAGCAACATGCAGCGGTGTTTGCCAATACTTGTCGCGAGCGTTGACATCTGCCGAGTGCTTTAGGAGGAGGTTAAGTGCCTTCTGCCAGGGACAGAATACAGACAGCTTTTAAGTCTATCTGAGCAGAAACAATCAGGAACAGGGAGGGAGGTGATAACACTATGTTATGGGGCACTGAACAACCTCATGGCTAAAGGGAAAACACGTTTGTTTTGAATTAATTAGGACCTGAGTTTTTACTAAAGACATCAGAAAAATCTGCAACAGATGAGTTGGAAGGAGCCAAGAAGGCCCCTTCTGTTGCAGGACACCAATTTACACCATCTCACTAAGATGTCTCTCCAGGGTTTGTTTGTTTGTTTTTTAATGTCTCTAGTGTGAGAGAGCCCACGACCTCTCTAGGCAACTAGTTCCACTGTCACCTTGCTATGACAGTGAGGAAACTTTTCTTGGTATCTAGCTTGAATCTGGGCTGTCGCAACTTGAATTGATTATTCCATGTCCTACACTTTGAAATCAGATAGATCAAAGATCCGTGAGCCCAGTAGGCCGAACTTTTCTGAAGGGGAAAAAATCTGACCCTATCAAAAAGCAGATGATGGAGCATAATATGCCTGACATAATGGTATTCACAAAATCCTTACATCCCTGGTCCTGTTGATTTCAGCAGGATCTAAGTTCAATGAAATCTGGATCCCACAAATCAATCCCTCTTTCAGTTATATTCTTTAACCATTCTGGAAGGGTCAATCAGCTCCAGACCAGGTTTGGGGAGGAAAATACAAGGGGATCCAGGTCATGGTGCCAAAATTGATAGGCATGAATTCAAGTATCAGGATAACTGTTGCCACAGAGTATTAAATAAAGCAACTAAAAGGATAACTACATGAGATCTCCTCATGAATAACCTTTCAAAGTGCATATATGCTGTGATTCACAGTTTCATCATGTCCAGGCTCTGGCTCAAAAGAGATTAGTCTGAATTCTAAGGAAGATCTCTCTCTTTCTCAATGCTTATTTAGAAAAAAGTCAATACTTCAAAGATCCAAAGAGCTAGAACAAGAATGCTGGAGGCTATTAGGAGAATGAGTGGGGGCAGTACCAAGACTTGGTAACAGCCTCCAGAAGCAAGGTGATAAGATGGTAGCCATGGAGTTCAGTTCTATGGCCTCACAAATATGGCAGCAGGATTTATTTCAGAAATGCAACCATACTGCATAATTTGCAGAATGTAATGTAATTTCTATTCTCTATTTTATTTTACATTATGTTGCTGTAACCCACCCAGGGAATTATATGGCTAATGGGGTGGGTTAGAAATTTAATAAATAAATACATAAATAAGTTCTAATCAAGCTACTGCATAAAGAAGTGGCAAGCAGAGGAAGCTACTATTGGCTGTCCTTCTGGGGTCCGCTGAACTGATGCTGCCACTGAACTGTGTGATCTTGTAGCTACTAGATTCTCTTTAATGGCTCCTGAGATGTAAGAAATTTGGCTAGATGCCAACCCAGCCCAGTAGATTGTAACTTGACATAACTTTTCCCTTCATTCATGTAAATGATATACCATAACTCCATTAACATACCCTTACAAGTTCTGCCTGGTAGAAGGCCCACCCCTTCACAGGCATAAAATACTGATGCTTTAAAAAAAAAGAGCCAAGAGGTGGATTAATCAAGCCAGCTAAATGATACTTCTCGGCTGCTGAAAATGGCCTGAAGCTGCAAGGCCAGCAGGAAAAGGCAATTATACAAATTAACTGACTCTGGTGAAGAAGAATAAGAATGGAAGCTTTTTCAGGAGTGCATTCTCTAGGGAGTCCAGTCTTTGTGCAATTAATGGCAGAAATTTATTCCACAATTATCTTTACAAGAACACCACTGAGACATTCAGCAAAACCTTACAAAAGAACATTTAGTATCCAGAGTTCATATATTACCAACTTATGGATGCCATCCTATTAACTGCAATGCAACCTTTTCTCTCACTGAATATAGGAGTACAAAGGTAATAACAGGATGTTCTACAGTTGTATAAAAAAACACTCTATGAGAGAAATCAGGTAACTACAATTTACTGAACTATTTTGATGATGATGTGCATGTGGGCAAAAGTTGGCCATTTTAGCTAATAAAGAATGGGGATCTGCATAGATTTCTGAAACTCCTATCTTGAACACCCACAGCTCAGTTTCTTAAGTATGAAAGTGAAATGAGAGTAATATTAATAGACCCTAACCCAGCCTTGTCAATACTCACATGGGCAATAGTGCAATCAAGTGATCAAGCAAGAATTTTTTGCAAAAGCTTGCCAACCCACTTTTAGACTACAAACAGCTAGTATAGAATTGTGAGGACTAGTATGTCATTAACTTTTGCAGACCTATATGTAAGCATTCACTTTTTTATATGAAAGTTAAAAATCAGTATTTGTGACTCAGACAGACAAGTTCTGCAATTTCAGCACAAGCTGAATATATAATAAATTATCTCATCCTGCCTTGTACCATGGACACCTGAGTGAACAAGGCTGGGGCAGGGATGAATCTCTCCTGGCTTTGTTCTTCATGCAGCAGCAACAGCAGGAAATGCACTGGGACTGGGGAACTGTTCTGTCATGATTCTATCCTTGTGGCCAAGTGTCCTATCCATCCAATTTTGAGGGTGCATTTTAGAAGGGTGCTGTACAGAGCAGACTAGTAATTCTATTGGTGTCTTGTCCATTCAACAGCTTTCCTTCCTGGACTGGCAGGGCTACTTCAGGCTACTGGTGCTGGGAGATTGTCACATACATGCTGAGGTCACCTGTTGAGTGTGGTCCAACCTTTCGGGTTTGGCTCAGACTTTAATGACTTCTTTGTCAATCATGGTTTTTGCTCTAACTTGTTTCTGTCCCCACTAATTCAATAGGACAGACCCTTGCTCTTGTTTTATTACTTGGGTATGGTGTTCACTACTGCCCTTATGCACTAAGCCAGTCCCTACAGCAGCTTCTATACACTAGGAAGGTCATGCATTCAGTACACACTGGATAGGTTTCACATCTGTCTACCTCAATTAGACCTGGGCAAGCAGGAGGCCAAGTTGTGTTTCCATGGTGGAACTGGAAAAGACACAGCACCTTCACAACAGAGGTGCCTCTGTCTCATCCAGAAGCAGTTGCTGAAGGAGGTTAGGCTTGCTGTGCCATTTCTCAATTCTACCAATTTTTAGCAGACCCAGAAAGAATACTAGGAATAAGAATCGGCAAATGAACTTAAGCAAGTGTGGTTATAACAGTCCAACATATGCATATTTCCTCTGTCTCTTTAACAGAGTCAATGGTAACAGGCCAAAGCCAAGAGAATGACACCTACCTCATTGCGAGAAGCTGCAGCACGGTGTAACGGGGTTAGCCAAAGGGTGTCCTTTGCATTAACGTTAGCACCTGTCCAAGAAGAATAGGAGGGATGAAACAAGACCTCATACAAATGATTGGCCAATAACAGGTACTAAACTTTTCATCCTTGACCCTGCTTCTCTACACAAACGCATTTTAATCGTGGCGTATCTGTGAAATTAGTACTTGTCTGTTTTTCAACACACATGGCCAAAGACTGACTTACAGAAAGACAATACCAGCAGGTATCTACATTCAAAAGATACCTCCTATTCAAAAAAGTTAGCTGCAAATTAAGAACATCGTACCATACATATGTTCAGAGAAGGGCAAACTCTGGCCTTTGCAGGGGCTTAACTTGATCTACATAGAGTTGAGCACAGGATTGACTCCCAAGCACAGGGAGGCAAAAATCTACACAATTATTTTCTCCAAAAGGTTTTATGCGCAGGAGCCATACTTAAACGCAGTTTCAAAGGAAGAGTAAGAGGGGGGACTACAGCCCATTCTCAGCATGAACAATTAGCATTGTGCAGCCCAGCATTCGTATCACCATTCAGCCTTTTAAAAAAGATGGATCTCATTTGGGGGAGAACTAGTGGTCTTTACAAGTTAAAACTTCCTTTAAAAATTATACTTCGACAGTAGCTGGCTTGTTCCCTTACTGTTAATTTGGGGAAATTTAGCACATACATCAAGAACCATCTGTGCAGGTTCCACTGTCCAGAAAGCTATCTGTGTCCTGCAACCTACACAGGGAGAATTACAGTGGATAGAGCTGTCAGTTTAAAATAGCTTCACTAAATTGAATCAGAACATTTCCATAAATCTCTGCTGCTCTGGAATGACTAGCAATAATAGTATTACTAGCAGCAATCTGCTAACTATAGCACTTTTAATATGGAAAGAACTAAAGCGCTTTACGATCCCTCATTCATTCTTGCAACCATCCAAATCACAGATCATTGTAACTCTTGTTTTAAAGACTGCCAGGGGATGAACAATAATGTCTTGCCAGGGGTCACAGCTTAATAGGGGCTTGAACCTGCGTCTCTCACATTTAAAGTCAATGCCCTCAACAGCAGGACTATACAGGCTCTATCAGCATTACTCAAATCTTTCTTCAACTCTGCTATCTCCATCCACCTCTGACAATTTAGCTAATGATATGCCAGCCTATCAAAAAAGTGACTTTCCTCAGAGTATAAGGAAAGTCAAGCTTCCTTCCTCCATTCAGCAAATGCCCTGCAATTCTGAGCCCTGAGCTGCGTGAGCCACAGTATCAGCTCGGAGTTCCAGCTACTCTTCCTTCCATGAGAGCCACAGCTATGTTTCTGAGCTTTCTCAATTTACAGGCTGCTTATAAAGCACAGGCCTTCTGTTTTAAAGCATATGAGAAATCTTGCCAACTAGAAGGCACATCTGTGTCTTTTACCTGATAGTATTAGGAGTTCAACAACAGGGGCATCTCCCAAGTATGCAGCTGCATGCAAAGGGGTTCGTCTCTCTTGGTCCTAATTTGGAGAAACAAAATAAAGGTTATTAAAAGATATGCAAGCAGAATTCCAAAGATGTGCCCTTCAGGATCCAGTTCTTTTAACACCCAAAGATGATCACTCTGCTGTCCTTACATCTGCACAAAATCTTGGGGCTTACGCAAAATTATCACAGACTAAGGCTTGAACAGCAGGGGTCAAAAATTGTTCCCAGATACAAAAGCAGGAGAAATACTGAAACCCAACTGCCTTCATAATGTCTCTGTGGGTGCACACAATATTTATCTGCCACAATCCAAATAAATTCAGGCAAATAAATGTGGAGAAATAAATTAGAGAAATACAGTCGAACCTTAACTTTCACAGGTTTAACTTTCAGGATCTGATTATTTGTGAGTTTGTCACCAATAATAAAACGCCTTTTTTTTTAAAGTTTGTGCCCTACTACAGGTTACTGCTTACTATACCACAGACAGGCACACAGGGAATGCTACCTGGGCTGACCACCACCATGGCCAGTCCAGAATGGTGTGCTGGCAGGGCGGGGTGGATGCTGTACTTGGAACTGGGTGTATGGCCACACACAAGGCTCACAATATGACACAGGATGGGCTCCCCTGGAGCAGGCTGCACTCTGGCATGTCAGGTCTTGTTTTAAGCTAAAGGTTATTCAAATTGTGAAAGAGGTAATTGTAATGCCACTACAGGCACACGTATGGTCTATTAAGAGTTAAGTTCTGGGGGAGGGCAGGAGAGATTCCTAGCTTTTCTACTTTCGCAGGGGTCCTAAACCCCTAAACACTATGAATGTGGAGGGCCAACTATAGTTTGTCTTGAGCCAGGAAACTGTGGAGCTCGCAGAAGTTTGGAATGCACATCCTGTTTCACTTGCATTTCTCCACTGACAACACAAAATACATTGGCCAAACATAAACAGCCTGCTTGATCTTATTGCCTGGTCAAATTTACATACTGTTTTGACCCATGCATGACGCTAGCTCACAAGGCTTCCAATGCTTTTGAACACAACGGACTGCTCTGAACTGTCTCCATGTTAAATGCACTCAGTACACTCAGGAGGAAGATATCTTGTCAAAGGATTTGCTCATCTACCACCCTGACATACTATCCTGTTTTTACTTTGATGTTGTTCTTTTCAATTAATCTCATGGGTAACTTAGCTAAGAAAAATTTTAGCTGCAAAGAGTAAGCATGCCAAAATGCTTTTCAAGTTGTATTCCTGTGAGCTCTGGGATTCCTTGGAAGCTTATCTAGGCTTCTTCAGTGAGAGGAACAGTAATGGTAGGCAAGCTTTCCTTTAACACAACTACTGATTTTTTCCTATGCATTTGTAGGAATGTACCAAGTGTGATGCAGCTCAAACTTGAATGCAGCAAAGGCCAGTGCCCCAAATTAACTAAAGCAGTGTCCCAGAATCCTTTGCAACCAATGGCAGTCCTAACATGTGTTGGGGTTCTTCAACAGATGGGCTCCAACAGAAGAGGTTTCCCTGAAGTTAAAAATGTTGAATATCACTGAGTTAAAAGACACAGGGCCATAAAACAGAACTGATATGAAAAATATAGTAGCAAACTCATTAATCTTATATGCCCTCCCCAAAGCCAGTCAGAATGGACAAAAGGAGTAATTAGAAAAGGCGAAAGAAATGGTAGCACAAAGCATATTACCATTGCTAGTGGTAAACTTGAGGACCAACTGGCCTCCAGCCATTTTGGAACTCAGATTTTATCAGAAATGCGTAAGAGTCAGTCAACCTAACACCTGTAAACTCACATACCTTTGCTGATTCAAATTACATGGTTCTGACAATAGAGATGTTTCTAACAATTAAATCTACACATAATGTATATCTAAACTAACTATACTTGGTAATGATTAGTTATTTGTTATCAACTGTTAACTAGTATTAACTCCATTTCCAGGAACTCATGATTGCTTACGATAATGAATGAAGCCGACTACAAAACAAATTCAACTATCAGTGCAAAGAGAAAAGAACAGCTCTTGCCAATAAATAAATAAACCAACTAACCAGACAAACCAAGCAGAAGCTTATAACAAATGGATGTGTGGGTTCTCTGATCAGCATCTACTGTATCTTAGATTTAGAATCAGATTAGCGAGTTGATCTTTTAAGATGGTTCAGAGCCAGGCTATGGAATTCCAAGCAACACAATACAGCAGGTCTAGACCACTGGTTGAGCATCGACAGCCACATTAGAAATACATAAAGAGTCTTGTGCCTGAGGTCAATTTGTACAGCTCAGTTGCAAATAATTAACTAACATAATCTGCACGAAATGTTTTTGAACACAGAGGTTGCTAAGCCGATACCAATAGACATATTACATTTATCAGTTGTTGCCCTCAAAATTTTAAATGCAAGTCAACAACCAAGAACATAGAGCTGAATACCTGGGACAGGGGAGATTCCATATATTGTATAAAAAACATCCCCATCCACACTTCAGAATTTTGAAAAGGAAAATTTTGGAATAAACCATCCTATTGAGTATCTTCTCTTACAGAATAAGCAAAATACTTTTTAAAGAGGCACTTTAAATGGTGCACGGCCAATTCACACTGCTGCACATGCGTTAGATCTGAAAAGAACTGACATGTGGCCTGAGGATATGTGAAGCAGTCAGCTCCTTGAATCAGGCCTGGGTGTGGTCAGGACCAGTAAGGGCTACCATAATGTTGTAGAAGCACAACCAGCAGGATGGTGAGCTCAGAGTTTGCTGATTGTATTGCTCTTGCAACTGGCAAAATATTTCTCTCTTCCATATCCCTCTGTCTTCTGTGTCACATGAAAAACCTGATAAATATTTGTAAATAAGCACATACAGTTAAGGAACATGTGAAAAAGAATAGAGTTGTGCAAATTTGCCATTTTTAGGGAAGAAGAAAGTTATAATTTAGGATACAAAGCTATGGGTCTATCCAATAGTAGTTCTCGTTAGAGAAATAAGCTTGAGTTTAGCAATTATTTTAAGAGCATATCATTTGCTGCAATAGAACAGAATGTAGTTAATGTTGTATACCTTCAACTGCAGTAAAATTTGATGATTGAACACTTTAATAGCATTATAAAAGTGTAAGTGAATATCCATATTTTTGCTACCCATTAATTACACTACTGGGATATTTAGTTTACTTGCTTTAATTTACATGAATTCCCTTTGCTTTTGTACAATCATTGTACAGGTTTGTACATAATGCTGAGATCTACATTATGTTTTTAGATAAGAAGACTTTCCAAATAATAAAACCTTGCTTTGTTTAAAACAGTGCAATTTGTTTCTGTTTTCCTTTCACCAACTGGAATTAAGGTCTTTGCAATGTAAATCATTCAGAATTAAATCCTACTGAGTTTAACAGGACTTACTCCCAGGTAAGAATAAGATTGTGGTCTCTGGCTGCAATTCTACACGCACACACATGCACACACACACACAGGTGAATAAACCCCTCTGAAAAGAACAGGACTTAATTTGACATATATTCAGAATTACATAGCCAGATAGTTTAAGACACAGCAGCATGCAGATTCATCTTTATCAATAAGATTGGGCCCATTTTGCTTCAGTAGAGTGAGGCAGCATTATTGAATGCACATACAAAAAAAGTACAATTCCATACACTAAGTTACACATAATATATTTAACATTCTTAACTTAGTGATGTGCTTAATTTTAGAAGCACTGTATATACTGGGAGCCACTGTAACACAGTGGTTACAGTATCGGACTGGGAGTTGGAAAGTCCAGGTTCTAGTCCACACTCAGCCACTGGGTTAGTCACAGACTTTCAGTCTAACCTACCTCACTGAGTGGTTGTTGAGGAAAAATGGAGAGGAGAACTTTGTAAGCTGCCTTGGATTCCTTGTAAAATGAATAAAGGTGTGGTTTTCATGCAATAAAGCAGTAGCAGTAATAAAACAATACACTGCAATTTCCCCCACAAAGTCTGTCTTTCCACCAATTAAGCCCATTTTTCACCATGACATCAACATTTCTAGAAGTTTTGTTTCTCTTAAAAAAGGGGTTAGAAACATAATTATTTTCAGCAATACACACAAAGGAACATTGGACTTCTACATGAGAGTCCATAAGCCATCCCAAATTGTTCAGAAAGCCATTATTAGTTGCCCTTCTAGATCAGACAGATTATAGAGCACAGTAGCTGAACAACAAAGAACAGGCTGAAAGCTCCAATGAACATTCACAAAGCATTCAAGATACTTGGATGAAAGACTACCTCAAAGACAAAACAATATTGTGACGTTGCTCTGGAAGCATTATGCAGACCTTTCCACTCCTTTTGCTTTTAAACTTGTTGCCAACAACAATCAAACCCTAAGAGCAATGCAAGTAACTCTGATAAGACACAAAATCTACCTCATTGTTGAAGGCTATCAAGAGGTGGACAGCACCACTTAGATCTTGGATTAAATCAACCAACATTTGGCCTTTGGATTTGGCACCAACTCCTTGACAGTCACTGCTCAGAGTGATGTCATTACTGTAAGGTCAAATGATGAAAAGGCTAAAGTGGTAAAAGGAGATGGATTCATATCCAAAATCTAATCTGACTGAGACATGGCTTGTTTTGCAGAGTCCTGACCTAATAGAAATAAATTCCTCATCAGTGAAAAAGAACCACAACATGGAAGGGCAATCAAGCTAAACTTACTTTCATTTCTCGGCCTCAAAATAACCAAATTCTAATAATGTGAATCAGCACAGATGAATCAACCTATTTCTCAATCTTCATTTGAGAAATATTTTCTTAGACATCACACACAAGCATACACAAAGAGAACAGGTTGACAAGTTGGCATAATGATAAGTATGATGCTTGCTTGTTTTCCTTTTAGAAAACACATGGCAAAGAGTCATACTTTTTAAACATGCTTCCCAAGGAATTCCTACATTCACAACTTCTTACTCTGAACACAAAAGAGGATTCTGCCTCCCAAAAAAAACCTCTCCCAA